TGAACATGTGACGATCTACCATGCTGGGAGACGTGAATATATCACGGTTTCGTCCGTTCAAACGTGACAGTTACACGGTATTGTTAACATGGCCCAACCAGTGGAGAAATACCCGGAAGTGCCTAGCAAATGGTCTACCGCGCCTATTGGTCGGTTTTTATTGTCAAAATTAGATGTTTTTAATTTATTTTTTAATCGTCACACTCGATTTTGCCAATTTTCTTGTTGCCCTAGCTGGTCGACACCTCATGTTTTCACATAATTGTACAGGATATTGCTATATTATTTCACATGTTTTACTTCTAATATCTGATTTGTAAAACATCACAGACAGAAAGGTATATCCGTCATTTAACAGTAAGCTATTGAAATTCTGAATCCATAGATGTGTCTCCCATCGCCCAAATCCCCTGACTATTCTCTCAACTCAGTATTTACATTCTTATATTCAAAGAAAATCAGTAATATCTTTAAAAACGACAAGTCTTTTTATATCAGCTGTGCACCGTTATGGTGTATAACGTATTTTTTTTCGGATTTCACATCAACAGTAAGTCCGTTTAACTCAAATGTCCGTGCGGAACAATACCCCCAACCCATAGATCCGTGGGTGAATAATGTCAATCACCACATTACACACACCCCTTCACATTTACATTTTAATTTACATTAAAGTATTTCGTGAGGCCTTCTAAAATGTTTTAAAATATAATTAGGGTTGGAGTTGAAGAGTTTGTAAATTGGGTTGCCTGGCAACGCAATCGCACAACGTCACGTCCGTTAATTCCACATCCTGGCCTCCACACACATGGATTAACATCGATTTAATACATTAATGTAGCCTTTGTTTCTGCTAAAAGAGGTGTCGACCAGCTAGGGCAACAAGAAAATCGGCGAAATCAAGTGTGATGATTAAAAAATAAATTAAAAACATCTAATTTTGACAATAAAAACCGACCAATAGGCGCGGTAGACCATTTGCTTGGCACTTCCGGGTATTTCTTCACTGGTTGGGCCATGTTAACAATACCGTGTAACTGTCACGTTTGAAGGGACGAAACCGTGATATATTCACGTCTCCCAGCGTGGTAGATCGTCACATGTTCACGTCTTGCCGTGATACCGGGTTGGATTAAACGTTTTATTTTAAATTTGTATTCGAAAATCACCGACTAACATCACAAAGCAGAACACTTTTGAGCATTTGTGGCTAACTTTGTAACACAACATTTCCTGATTCTGGTAAAATATAGTTCCCAGCTAATTACAAGATCTGATTTAAATAAATATCCGGTCCTATTTCAGGAAATCTTACTAAGCAAATGTTCACTTGTTCTATTGGCAGATGAGTTTGACATAATACAAGCGAGAACACCTTGTTTTCATTATTTGTTTATTTGTTTTTGGAGAAGCATTTTGTTCCAGTGTAGTAAAAGAAAATGCCTTTTTTGAGTTTCACCTTAGAAAATGAGGGGTGATAAAGGATCGTCTGCTTCACCACTGACTCTAACATGTCTTTTTAAAACATATTTTGGAGAGCCTCTTCCTGACGTGGGAGGTTGAAAGCTGGCCGTCAGTCCGATGACAACAGGTGGCTTTCTGCAACACGTCATGGTGCTCGCAGCCTCTCGCACCACAAGCTGGTCACCTCTTTAGCCCCCACACAAGGCGACAGACGGCTGCTTAGACTGACACCATCCCATAATGTGCATCTGCCCCGAATCATCAGCCCACTTCCCATCCACTCCACACTGAGCCTAAACATAGCCTATAGCTCACTTTCCTTGGCTTCAAAGGCTCTGGAAATAGGCCTGTAGGATGTAACGGTTAACTTGTTTGTTGTCCGTGACTTTCAAATATTGAAGCTGTGGTTCCTCAACAGCTCCACCAATACGGCAGATTTTGCATGTGGTTTCTAATCCGGTAGAAGCATGTGGTGGCAGCTGTAGGAGCACTTTAAAAGGTTCAACCAAGAGCTGCCAAAATGAGACTTGTGATGCAGAGGACTTTAGAGGAGAAACACAGAGACCGAGAGCTGGTGTGTTTCACTGTTTCCTCTCCTGCCAGAGGAGCATGCACATCAGTTTACGCCGAAAATATGATTTATAGCCATCCTCTGAATGTGGATATCATATCACGACACACGTGATATGTTTTAAAATGACTATACTGAAGTTAAATTAGCAATACCACAGTGTAAATAAGTCTCAAGTTTCTCAAGAGTCTGAGCAAATTTGAGCAAACTTTTTATTTATTCACATGGATTATAATCTTCATTCCCATTTGTATTTGTACATTCAGCTGCTTACTTTATCATGTTGCTGTTATTTTGAATTATACTGCAACATGTTTGATCCTTTTATTAACTCTTACCTTGTCTGTGTTTCACTCTTTGTTTCCGGTTGACATTCAAAATAAAGGTTTATCCTATCTTATGTTAAAGTACCAAAATAACTTTAATTATGCTATAATGATAAATGCATTCATGTAAACGCTTCACTCATATTACAGCTGGTAAAGATGGAAATATTTGTATTTTTCAATATGCTGTCGGGAGCTTAATCCAAATATAATAGAATACATAGTTATTTATTTGTTGATTTATATTTTGTAAAGTACAAAATACCTTACACTTGTAATTAAGTGCAGTACCTTAAATAATGTACTATTAAGAATAAGTGATTATGTGACATTTAATCCGGCTGTTTTTGTGTGTGTGTTTGCTTGTTCTAGATAAATAAAAGGATCAGCAAAAGTGGATTTTATAGAATAAAACTTCCATCATCTCTGAGGAACTTGGGATATTGCAAAAAAGAAGCAAATATGACAATAAATATGGCTGTAAATATGACTAAGAGTGACAGAAATTACAAGTACCAAAAAAACGAAAATATATACAACGTGTTAAATATGAAAAAGTATGACAAATATGAAATATGTTGCGGTGTGACGTGATTGTAAACTTGTCAAAACAGCATGACATGAGTAATAGATCACAGGGCTTCACTGCGCAGCGACAGACATTTAACACAAAGCTGTTCTGTAATCATTTCCCCAAACTTAAATACAGCCCTGCTCCATAAGTGTGTGGCGGGTTGAGTCCACCACCATCCTCAGGGCGGCTCCGCTGTGGCAAAGGCCAGAGGAGGGAAGTAGAGGAGTACAAATACTTTGTTACTGTACTTAAGTACATTTTTCTGGTATCAGTACTTTACTCCACTACTTGTTCTTCTGACCACTTTTTACTTTGACTTCTTACATTTTGAACACAAATACCTATACTTTCTACTTCTTACATGTTGAACACAAATACCTGTACTTTCTACTTCTTACATGTTGAACACAAATACCTGTACTTTCTACTTCTTACATGTTGAACTCAAATACCTGTACTTTCTACTTCTTACATGTTGAACTCAAATACCTGTACTTTCTACTTCTTACATGTTGAACACAAATACCTGTACTTTCTACTTCTTACATGTTGAACACAAATACCTGTACTTTCTACTTCTTACATGTTGAACTCAAATACCTGTACTTTCTACTTCTTACATGTTGAACCCAAATACCTGTACTTTCTACTTCTTACATGTTGAACTCAAATACCTGTACTTTCTACTTCTTACATGTTGAACACAAATACCTGTACTTTCTACTTCTCACATTTTGAACACAAATACCTGTACTTTCTACTTCTTACATGTCGAACACAAATACCTGTACTTTCTACTTCTTACATGTTGAACACAAATACCTGTACTTTCTACTTCTTACATTTTGAACACAAATACCTGTACTTTCTACTTCTTACATTTTGAACACAAATACCTGTACTTTCTACTTCTTACATGTTGAACACAAATACCTGTACTTTCTACTTCTTACATTTTGAACACAAATACCTGTACTTTCTACTTCTTACATGTTGAACACAAATACCTGTACTTTCTACTTCTTACATTTTGAACACAAATACCTGTACTTTCTACTTCTTACATGTTGAACACAAATACCTGTACTTTCTACTTCTTACATGTTGAACACAAATACCTGTACTTTCTACTTCTTACATTTGAACACAAATACCTGTACTTTCTACTTCTTACATGTTGAACACAAATACCTGTACTTTCTACTTCTTACATGTTGAACACAAATACCTGTACTTTCTACTTCTTACATGTTGAACCCAAATACCTGTACTTTCTACTTCTCACATTTCCCAAACAGGCTGGTTCCTTTAGTTTGAATGTGTGTTTGGTGGCGTGATCATTATTATTTAGAGTCATTGCGTGCCTATTGATTTGAACACGATCCGTGTATCCATCATTTCCTGGTCTTCTCTAAAGAAGAGGGACCAATGAAAACGTTGTCATGTTGCCGTTGTTCAGCATGGAAACATTCATTAGCTAACAATGACATTATTGTTCTATTAATATAAAGGGAGGTCAGGTACTCTTTAAAACAGCTGCTAGTTATGGGTACTTTTTACTGAAGTACATTTCAAAGCCCTCTTTACTTTTACTCGAGTAAAGAAGTTTAGTCAGTACTTCTACTTTTACCAGAGTGTTTTTAAACACGAGTATCCGTACTTCTACTTGAGTAAAGAATGTGTGTACTTTTGCCATCTTTGCAAAGACCGGACAATTTGGGCGGGTTGACAAGAAGCCATGCCTGTTTCTTTTGATGGGTGCAGCTTTAAAGCAGAGGGAAGGAAAAAAAGGCCCAAAATATCCAGAAAGTTGCGTCTATAATTGGCTGCGCCTCTCAGCCTTTTTTTATGTGTGAGCACAGCCCAGTGAAGAACAGTAGAAGCCACTTGCTCCCCCAGTGAAACCCTACACTCCCTCCCCCCCCCCACACACACTGCTCCCTCCCACTCTGTCCCACAAGGTTGCTGAAGCTCACCTCACCTCACTTTTTGACAACACTGTACACTGGATTGTCTCCCTGGATTAAATGATAATCTATTTGTGATTTTTTGACGCGTGCAGGGGGAGATATCTTGGATTATTATAATCACTTAGATAATGATGCTACTCACCCGGTGCTGATTCAGGGTGTGACAGCTGGAGGCAGAGAGAGAGAGAAACACCTCAGGAACGCTCACTAACAAGTGAAAGGACAGGTAAGAAAACAATTAGCATCATAAACTCTGATTTCCACCCTTAAATACATATTATTTTTTAGCATTTTTGAGTTGTTGGCATGCTTTTTTTGAACCCACAGAGGATTGTCAGATAACAGACTTTTTTCTCTTTGGTTGCACGTGAAAAAAAAAGAAGCTGTTTCTGTTTTTTACATTTTGGGAATGACAGATGTGGAGCTTCTGCTTTAGACATCTATTGCATTCCCAGGTTTCACCTTAGAGAGAGGAAGTGGAAACGGGCCTGATGATACACACTCACCGTTTGTAAGGAATCTGGCCTCAGGTTCAAATGTTGACAGAAGCAAAGCAGCTTGTTTTCAGCTTTACCTCGGATACTGTTTCTGCTTATAATATCAAGAATTGATTCAGTGCAGCACTGGGAGAGACGTACAGTGCATTTAAATGTGATCAGAGATGAAAGAGAGACAAATTAGAATATGTACGACTTGCGCAAAGTTGGGTAAAGTGGATTAGGAGCATGAATACAAATCGTGTTCATCTGCTTTCATTGGGCGGCTGAGATTTTTTTATATTCCATTGAAGTCTCTGTGCTGAATCTCTGAGATGTTAAATGCGAATTAATTGGGGCAATTAGAGTGATTCAGCTAGTATGCCTATTATGCTCATTATTAGTACCAGTGGAACCAAAGTAGCAGAAATAACCCAGTGGAGAATCAGATAAGGAAACTTGTATCTGGAGGCCAAAGCACTTTTCACAGTAAATAATGCACTCTCTATTTCACAGACTATAGGCCAAGCCACAGTCCACAGGTTGCTGTTTTTAAATTGTCCGTTTCCTGGAATAATGTTCCGCCTAAATCCCTTTCTATTTCAGTTATACACACATGCAATCACTTTAATTACATAATACACTTTCATACTAGGTCTACTGTATGTTAAGCCCCAGAACTGAACTCACCTGACCTTTGAAACAGGTGAAATGTATGAGTTTATATCAACAAAGCACAGTCAAATTGAATCACATAACTTCTGAATGATTAAACCCAAATATAAGGTTAACATCAACTTAAAAAATAAATACAAACATGATCATTTTTGTCAAGAGTTAGATGAGAAGATTGACTCCATTTATATAAAGCTTCAGCAAGGAGAGGGTTAGCTTAGCTTAGCATAAGTAGGCTAAACAGCAAGCATCTGTCCAATGAAAAATATCTGTTGCTAATACAAACCTAGGTTCATGTATTAACCCTTTGTTTTGGGTATATTTACATTTGGGGACAACAAAAAGTATGTAAAAAAAGAAATGTGTGGTTTTACAGGAGGTTATATGTTTGAGGTCTAATCGTGGTCGCAAATTAAGTCAATCTGCTCAACTAAGCATGTATTAAGACAAACTGGATACTGTATTCAATCATGGAGCCTTGTTTGTTTCTCTAAAAGTTGCTCACTGGGTGCATGCTATAAAAAAAAAGCCTCTATATTGGAGCTTTATCATTGTAAAAGCCTCCAGTGTTGGCTCCGTGCACACATGGATGGACAAAGTACTAGTTTGGCTTCTCTAAATCACTAAACTTGTGATGCTTAAAAAAAAAACGTTATTCTCTGTCTTACAGCCACTCCTTTCCAAGATTATGTATACATGCAAAAAACCTTTAATGCCAGTGTGCATCATGTAATGATTGCTAACATTGCAATACCTGGCGCGGCCACAAGGCCAGAATAGCTTCATGTGTCTCAGTCCGCTCTTGATTTTAATGCTTTAAAGTGGACCTATCATGCTATATTTGAATAATATAGTGTAGGACCATACCTATATAAGGCATATTTATACTTTTTTTTTTTCAAAATACCAAACAGATCATGCATTTTAGCCATGCCTCATTTCGCTCAATTTAAAAAATGTTAGCTCTGTTTTAGCAAGGGCTGATTCAGTGAGAACAGCACCACCTACAGGCCTGGCATATGTACTACAGCGTCTCCAGCGCTTTCTAACGGCAATGGCCGTGGCTGTCTCCTCCTGATTGGTGGAGTTGGCCCAATAGCCGTAGCGCCACCGTCCTGACGTCAGGACAGTGTTCAAATCTGGATCAGTTTTTATCAGATCCGTTGCAGCCCCTTTTTTAGAGATTTGGGTATGGAGGAAAATAGAGAGGGTTGTGTTTTCTGACACTTGGTGAGTTCCCTGGAACACCGGGGACACATATTCATGTAGAAAAGACGTACAAAAGTGCATTTTGCATGATAGGTCCCCTTTAAGCCAAGATAAAGCACGTAACCCTTATTTTCAATTCATTTTTACACCTCAGCTTTTTTTCGTATAACTAACAAGCTTTAACATGGACAGAGCTAGGCTAACAGTTTGCCCCTGTTCCACTCTTTATGCTAACATATGCTAACTGTCTCAGAAACGTAAGTAGTACCGATTGTCTCTCCTAACTCTCGACAAGAAAGCAAATAAAAGCTTTTTGAAATGTCAACGTTTCCTTTAAATACATTATATTAAACACATTCTGTACAGCAGCCAGTTGGTTTGAAAGCATTTAGAAAACACCTATTTACCATAATTCAATGGACATGTCAGGAAGCGCAGAGAGGCGATGATGTATGGAGAAGAACTATTCAGAACTCAAGGGACTTGTGTTATTTATTTCCAAGTCATGCATATCTCAGACTTTCCTCTTCCTCCCCCAGTGCCCCCCGCAATGAAACAATCTAACAGTCACGATGAGTCCTTGTTATGGCTACGGTCAGTCAAACATCAGCCCTAAAGGCTCGCATCACAACCACCGGTGTACAATAAGAGCAAGAATAGTTTTGTGTTTATATAAACGGTTTCTGTCAGTGCCACCCAGGCACAACGGCCTCGTAAATGAATCCAACAGAGGCTGAGTTATCGGTCCTTTGCAACATCTTAATGTATAGAAAGCTGCATAAATGTCCCTCTAGCAGCTCCAAATGACAACTACAGGCACCTGCAAGGAACTTTAATTCATCAGTATGGAGAAGTTTTCCAGTGCAACATCAGCATACTCCCAACTTTCTTATTTTACTGTCTTGTGGGTGGATATGGTAAAAAGAATTGTATGGCTGTAAGTTCCAACAATCTTCAGTGAGTCCAATTTTCTCTGGATGAAGTATTCACTTGCTGCTGTAGAGAGATGTGTATTTCAGTCCAAGGGTTTAATTATCCCGTCCTGAGAATGGAGAACATTTCCTGCCAGCCTCCATACCAGAAAGAAATTCACACAGGGGACACAAGAAAACCTGGACAATAGGTGGGATGAGATAGAGAGTTCTTTTTTAGTTTGGAGGACCTTATACAAGACATTTCTTAAAGTGCAAAATGCAATCTGAAATCAACCTTCCACAAGTCCCTTCTCAATATGTAGTAGAGATGTGAGAGTAGTTCTTGTAAGAGTCCTGCTTCTTGCACAACAGGAAGTGTTTCATCCACTTTGGTTGCGCTGTTGGAAAGAAATAATCGAAAATCCTGTTCGCCAAGGGACAGCTTGGAAAACAGGATTTCGATTGTGAAATGTCTTAAAGGTCTGTTGTACATTTGCAAAGTAGCTCTCTGTAGTGGCTGCTGCGTGAGGCCTTGTAATAGCATTGTTGATGTTTCCACTGACCTTTTCCGCAGACTGGACAGCTTGATGGTGATAATAAGCTAAACTAAACAGACCCAAACCGAGGCCGAGATGGAATTACGACTGGGATGTAGGATCACCCTGGTCTTGGTCATCCTCGCCTTGACTCTTTCCGGAGAGACGGTGGAAGCACAGAGGGCAGGTAAGACCATTATCAAGGACCCGGATCCAAGTACACTTGACCCCAAAGTCAAGTTTGTTTGAAAAGTCTGAACATTGTTTACTGTACCTTGGCACGGTGCATTGATCTGTGACAGGGTTTACTCAAAAAGGTGGTTTCAAGTAAGATTCATGGTATACTTCTGTACCAGCTACATGTTGGCTCCCTGCACACATGGATGGACAACGTGATAGTTTGGCTTCTCTAAATCACTAAACTTGTGAAGCTAAAAAAAAACGTTATTCTCTGTGCCACTCCTTTCCAAGATTGTGTATGCAAAAAAGCTTTAAGGCTACGGCTAGTGTTCATCATGTGATGATTGCCAAAATTGCAATACCCGAGTAAACTTGACCCCAAAGTCTAGTTTGTTTGAAAAATGTGAACATTGTTTACTGTACCTGTACCGGGTTTACTCAAAAAGGTTTCAAGTCAGATTCATGGGTTCTCAGGTATACTTCTGTACCTACTACATACACAAATGTCTCTGTCAAACGGAGATGATTGTGTTAGTGTACTCAGGTATGAATCCTCATGGGACAATTGAACTCGGGGCAGGGTACAATCAATCGTGCCCAATATGAAAACACTGTATTGTATCGAGCTTGTATTTATAGTTTTTTGACTAAATCCTCTTGTATTTTATTGGCAGGATGTAAGAATGTCCACTATGACTTAGCGTTCATCCTTGATACCTCGTCCAGTGTTGGAAGAGAGAACTTTGAGAAGATCCGACAATGGGTGTCCAACATTGTCGACTCTTTCGATGTGGCACCAGACAAGACCAGAGTAGCCGTGGTTCGCTACAGCGACACGCCCACCACTGAGTTCACTTTGAGCAAACACAGGTCCCTGGAGGATGTGAAGCGAGCTGCCAGCGAAATAGTTTACCGGGGGGGAAATACAATGACCGGGGACGCTATCAGCTACACCACCAACAACATCTTCACGGAGCGAAACGGAGCCAGACCGAAAGCCAGAGGCATTCAGAGGGTGGCCATCCTTCTCACAGATGGTCTGAGCCAGGATTACGTTTTGGAGCCCTCCAAAGCCGCTGCCGCTGCCGGCATCAGGATGTTCGCCGTGGGGATCGGAGAGGCGCTGAAGGTGGAGCTGGAGGAGATCGCGGCCGAGCCAAAGAACGCCCACGTCTTCTATGTGACGGACTTCAATGCCATCGACAAGATCAGAGGCAGGCTGAGGAGGAGGCTGTGTGAGAGTAAGTCAACACACTGGCTCAGGGCCAACACATCACCCACAATGCATGCCACATGGCTTCTGTTTGAAGCCTCACTTTACAGAGCAGGCCTCACCCTGAACGTGCACTTAATCAAATAAGACTCTTATTTTAACCTTTAGGCGCTATTTGGAGGAAAAAGACCCTAACCACGAAACCCCACCCCAACCACAAAGCACTGCGGCACATGTACACATTGCTATCATGGCTGAGTGAATATGAAGCGTGTGAGGGGCGTGATGCGAGAATTGGTTTGCAGATGACACTTTTCTAACCAAGACATTTCTGTGGTGGAGCTGCCTCTTTGACTGCTGCTCTGCTGCAGAGGTGTTTAGCACTGGAAAGCCTGTCTTAAGCTAACCTCAATGGTTTTCCACCAGTGTGATGAGAACATCTTTCAACACAGGATTAGAAAGTAGCTCACAAAGTTAAAATCATTTGCAAAAATCGGCTTAGAAATGCAGCTTTATGTTGTCTGCTATAGCTGTGAAGAAGACGAAGTGAAGAAGTATTTTGGTGTGAGTGTTTTCATAAAGAAGATGGATGCTTTGCTCTCCAACACTTACATTCCTGCCTAAAATTAGCCAGACAGGAAAGAAAAGGATGCCATGAAGGGAAATGACATGATTACATGGTTTAGTGCACGGATGAGCAAAGACAAACTCTCAACTGTTCAAAGTTGTCAAGTTTGACGAAAGCAAAAAGTGAAGATTCCTCTGAAGAAAGTAGTGATTGAGACTCTTTTAGGGACATATCATCTTTCTGGTGCAAGGCCACTGACCTTTGACCGTGCTCCTTGACTCCATAGATCAGGGCTATTCAATTGGCGGCCCGCGGGCCAAATCCGGCCCCGGGGTGATATTTACTGGCCCTTTGAGTATAATGTTAAAAAGTAATACATTTTTTTTTTTTAAAGATTTTTTTTTTGTGCCATAGTGCCTTTATTCCAGAGAGGGTGTTACATTGAGAGATAGAGGGGTAGACAATGCTTGAAAACTTCGACGGGCTCGGGTTTCGAACCCACCTACTATACTGTAGTGACAACTCCTGTCATTGATTGCATCTCTGCGTGAATGATTAGATAATTTCACCTAAATGAAATCAAATGAAACATGTAGGCCTACTGAGTTCTGAACTTGCCATTTAGATCTATAAAGGCCTTGGGGCTATGTTGTTTGATTGAATTAAACACAATATATGCACTCCACTATGCTGTTGTAGTATTTACTGTATCTGAAGCTCTTAAATATGATTGCTCATATTTCAAGCCATCTTTTTCCCGGCCCCTTGCTTTGGATCATTTTCATCAACCGGCCCCATTCCTAACTAATTGAATAGCCCTGCCATAGATGTTCAATCCGTCAACTAATAATGTCTTAAAATCTGCCTCGCAAGCAAGTTCAGGGTTCAGTATAACTCACCAAAGTCTAAATTTACCAAGACAGAGAGTCCCAGTGTTTTTCTTTCTCTAATCTCTAAAGTCACCACGACCGAGTCTCTAAGTATATCAGTGGTCAGAACAACTGGCTCACTGAGCGATGCAAGTTATTTTCTCCCAGAAAATTATAGCTCTAATGTTTCAAGTGCAGCCTCTCCAGTGTCCATGCTGAACGTTTTCACCTTTTAATCTTTAGGTATAAAAATGGACGCTACTTATTATGTGCTGAACTGATTCATTAGAGCATGTGTGGCCTGGCTTACCCATGTGTGTCTCTTTAAATAGTCCTAAGAAGACAAAAATGTTCCAGTAAATGAATGAACTAATTATTTTACACCTCCGCTGTGTTAAATCTCTTAATCCAAACTCAACCAGAGTCCTATTGATCACAACCTCACCTTTTAAAGGTCACCTATCATGCTATTTTTAGGCAATAGCATAGGTCTGAGATATATAAATATATATAAAAAACATGTCTATGAAGTGTTTTGCTGAAAATACCAAACAGATCAGCCATTCTAGCCATGCCTCATATCCCTCTATTTCACTTCCTGTTTCAAAAGTGATGATTTGGGGTATAAAGCTTTAAAAAAAAAACTATTGATAAAAAAGAAGGAGGGGTCTGAGCTCACGCGGGACCCGGCAGCTACTGTCTAAACTAAATGCTGCCGTGATGAAACGCCATATCATGGATTATCAAGGATTCTCTCTGAAACAGTATGGAGCTCAAAGGCTTTCTCTCTTGCCGGTTATACCACAAGGTGAGTTCCTTTTGATTTCCTGCTTCTTCACACACATGCTCTCCAGTACAGGTTAGCTCTGAGTGTTAGCGATGCTAATGTAAACACCGACCATATTACGTCCAAAACAGTCGAGCATTGTTTCTGATAGCAACGTCTCTGATAGGGCCGTGGGTCCACATTTCAGATATTACGTCATATCGGACGCTAATCTGGATCAGCTCCGTTGTTCCCCCGTTTTTAGAGATTTGGGTACGGAGGAAAAGAGAGAGGGTTTTATTTTCTGATGCTGCGTGAGTTCCCTGACACACCGGGGACACACCGGGGACACACCGGGGACACACCGGGGACACATGTTTATGTAGAAAAGACATCACAAAGTGCATTTTGCATGATAGGTCCCCTTTAAATTCCAGTTTCTTTAAAAGAAAAACTAAAATGGTACTCTTTGTTGTATACCAAATGCATATGTGAATGATTAGAAACAACATTGATTGATATCAAAATAAAATAAATACAAATAAATTAAAAAAAACTCCCACTTGAAGCCTTAAAGAACAAACATGTTATTTTCTAAACCTGCTATAAATGAGTAAATAAAAATAAAATGTTACTATTTCATTGAGTTAGATATTTGAACCAACCTATGACTACAAAATACTCGTTTTTATTTTTGTTATTTTAAACATACGGTGTATTTTCAAAAGGCAACTGTTTTTATTTTTCCATCTTTTACCCATAATAATACAGCGTAACTATCAATGCATTGGATCCCAAACTTGACCTGACATTACCCCAGTGACAGAAAACTCAATTCTCCAAGCTCATGTCTAACGCCTGCAGTGTGTTTAAAAAATTCAGCAGTCATAATGATGACAGTTAACGCGGGTAATAGTAGGAATGAAATATTGATGACACCTTTACTGCATTCAAAAAGGGGTGATTGTTACGTGTGAAATGCTCAAAGCTTCTGCAGAAACTACCAACCTGTGTGAGATATTCATTTCCAAAGGCAGGTTTGGCATTGCTTCCATTTTAACTCACAGCCCGATCCCTAAATTATAGCTCCAGGGCCACGAGTGCAGGGAGTAGCTCGGCTATCTAGCATGCTAAGTGCCAGGCTCGTGTGACAACACCGTCTTTAAAAAAGGAATGACGCACTTCCATTCATTCACAGAACCAGAAGGGTCATTTTTGGTAGACTCGCTGGCTTTATAAAGCATAAAGTATCTTTTCTTAGATCTTCAATTATCACTGAAAAACAAATTTAAAAAAGAAGACAGACACAAACAAGGACAAACTGTACAGCTAGAAATAAATCATGTGAAATGGAGATAGCACCTCCCGTCCAATCATTAACAAGTATGCAAGCGTTGACAGTTAAATGAACTGCTTGGATTTTCCAATTAAGCAAGGTCTGGGCTTTGCAAGGGAGAAAAGAAATGTCCACAGCGCTGTCCTCATTAAGAACAACGCAAAGGTTAAAAGCCACTCCGACATGAAGGTTTTTATAGCTATGATTTAAGGAAACTGCAGGGCTTGATAGTGGATGTTTGACAGATACTTGATCTATTAGAGAAGTCGGAGTGTCTCAATGTGATATTTTAAGCCACAGATGATATTTAGGGCTGACAGTCCAGACGCAGACAAATTGTTGGGCTGATATTGGGTTTAATGAGAAGCTCCTCTGAACAGATTGATTACACGCCGATGACAGGATGCTGATTTGCTGTCGTACATAATCAACAATATGAAAATGTATCTTCCCATGTGGGACGGGAGAGGGGGTTTTATTCAAATTCACCTTGTCACTTGAATGACAATGAATGCAAGGGATCAAAGTTATTTTCAAACACTGATGAGATTTGTCTTGATGCTTCTAAGATTTGATTTGTGCAAATACTCCAATTAGTTAATGGAGATGCGACATTAATCTCTGCTGCCTGCAGCCATGATATTTATTTTAGCTTTAAGTGGAATGCATTCTCACATAAAAGCTTTACCTAATGCTGTTGTAAAGGCACCCGAATGACGAACATGTCTTCCCACAAGCAGACATTTAAGGTTGTATTTACCCAGGTACCCAGGCTTTTTAACACCAACTAAATGCAATGGTTGTGAGAAGAAACTTTGTTTATTGCATAGACTGTAAAAGTGGTAGTAGCCAATTTGAAGACAAGCCTTGGTTTGTTGAGTACCGTTTTGAAGCCTTGAGTACGGCATTTTGCCACGTAGTTGGTCTGCAAGGTGCATCCGCAATTCTATCTCATGTATGTTAAATGGAAGCTTATTTTGGCTGGCGAAAAAAATACTTAATAAAGAGTAAACAGTCGACAACACAGCCTTTGTTGCCACATCATGCTGTATCAAAGAACACCTGAAACTAGGGGTTGCGACTATAAACTCAAAGCAATATGTTAACTAAGTTAATAAATCAAATGAAAAGTAGGGTCATTTTCTCATAGACTTCTTTACACTGGATGTTAGAGAGAATGCTGGTTTAATAAAGCACTTTCACATTGCCCTTACTTTTCAGAACACAAGGTTGTCCTTTGGTTTATCGTTCATACAATAATACAAATCAATGACTACGGTTCTAATGCTAGCATGTAAGACACAGCACTGCAATCAACTAAATGCTAAAATCAGAATGCTTACCCGCTCACAATGACAATGTTAACTGTCTAAGGCGGATGTGTTTCCTTAGTTTTGCAGGTACTTGAATTGGAGGAGGTAGAAATTGACATGAGCCAGTTTTTTTTAATTATCACAAGATAAGTATGACTGTATGTATCAAATTGCATGGCACTCCATAAAGTATAGTGGAGGAATCTCAGTCCTGGCCACAGTGGTGATTTAGGTGAACTGCCTCAATGTTTATGGCTAATAAACTATACATGATATGCAGTCTTTAGCAGTAAAGCTGGCATCTTGACACAAATAGAAAATACCCCTCCTGCCTATAAAAACATGGTGTTGCCCTTCTCCCTGTCTTCACCGTGACTGAAATATGTGTGTGTGGAAATATAAAACTGTTACTGCTCCTTGGGCTTACGGAGGTGCCTCTTGCTTTGTCGAGCCACACACTTCACTCTCTAAACATCAGACAGAAGAGATGGAGTCTGTCTGCACCGTCGCTCCTCAGATCACATATCAGTCCAGAGTGTGTGTTTCAATAACAGTACAGTTTCCTAAAACATAAAACAACTTTTATCGTTTGACCCCACAAAAAGTTTCAGAATGACTTTTCCGTGTCGCAACAACACAATTAGATGTCCAATAAGAAGACACAAGGTTAGCAATACAAGGGTTTGAACAGTTGTCTTTGTATACCCTGTGCTCCCAAAAGATCTCCCTGATTTACAGCGTGTCTAACTGAACTACTGTCTTCTCTCCTCAGATGTCCTGTGTCCAAACATGAAGGTTCAACCTGATCGGTTCAAGCCCAACAGCTCCAGTTATGGTCTTGAAGAGGTTCCAGGTATGTGCAAACTACTGCTTTTATAACGTGGACACGCAGTGCTGGCAATACTTATCAACCACAACGGCTTGCATGACATTTCATACATTTCCTACACAGGAATATCAACTTTTTATATGCAAAGAAAGTTTCCCCTCACAAGTTCCTCTATTTCTTTCTGATTGGAAACCAAATTGGTTTTATTCATGACTTGGAAAGTACATTTTCGGACACGTTCATTTTCTGTCTTGTTTTAAAACTCAATATACTTGCAAAAATAAAATGCTTGCCGAATTTAAATCACTCAGATTTTGACACTTTACATTTTAGTTTATCATTTTGCAAACCAAGCTGCTGTGTTTTAGATATTTTTGTCTATGGTCTGGTGCAGCCATTGACTTCCATCCATTGCCATACGATATGAAAAACAACTATTAACATTTGAATTGTGTTATTGATCACCCTGAATATCCACGTACACCATTTATTTGTCAAAATTGGTCCAAACATCACATATGAAATAGGCCTTTTCCCATTTTTAGGAGAAAAACACATTCATTTAAACACAAATATCCAGTTAAACCGAAAATAAAGTGTATCAAACCAGCTGTTTTCACCCTGTATCCAGTGTTCATGCTAAGCTAAGACAACATTCTGTATGTTGTACATTAATATCTATGATTAGTAAATGTATATCCCAGTCGGTAAACCATTCTCTCTGGGAGGGAAATCTGCAAACAAAACATTTTCCTTTGCGACTTTTAATGAAATGTTTGTCAGTAGAGAGTCGTCAACCCACGTTACTCTGCCATTTGGTGTTGTTATTTAATAAATTCCAAGCTGCTGTGTTTCAGGTTTCTCAGAGCTCTAGGATAGCGTTTAACCAGAAAGGTCGGATGTTGTTATAAGAGTGTCTTTTGGGGGCTCTGAATTCCTGTCTGCGTCTCCCACCCACATCCATCACACTGAGGGAGAAAACAGATGCACTGGCATGCTGGGACTCCTGCTCTGTTGAACCTCATGGAAACAGAGATGTCAGAGCGGGAAAGCTGTGTTTTGAGAGTTTGATTCTTAACACCTTTGGCTGGCACAGTGACACCTGATAATCTGTGTCAACTGATATGGGTTTTTGTAGTAAATTGCCCAATTTGTACCTGTTCTTTTTGTTTTTTTTACCAAGTTGTAGTCTGGGTTTCTTCAGAAAAAAGCTATTTTCCGGCTATAAAACATATCAGCTGTCATGGGTTACTTAACGTCCCTGAAAGCAAGACCAATGCAATTCTTATTTCACCATGAAAGAGGATTTATTCTATGAGAAATGAGAATTACATCCACAAGAATTACATCCATGATGGGGATGGATCTTACCCCTTGTTAGGAAAATATCACTCGACACCGGGATGAGAATCAATAGTCAGGTACTAATTTATTCTAAGGAGCAGAGTTAAGTCACATACAAAGGATATGGTTCAACTCACACACATGAGGTATGCTGCTCAAAGGAGCCGGAAGTAACATCAAGCTTAGTCTAAAGTCAGGAGGTACCAAACAGTGTCGTAAATCAGTTTGGCGTCATCAGGTGTCGGGAAGGCGTCGGGACATCTCTGGAAAGGCAGTGTTGCTCTTTGCCCCTCAAAGAGGAGAGGAGACAAAGTGTGTGTGCTCTCGTTGGAATCAACAACATTAATTATGCCCTGCCTTCTCCTATCTACGAAGAGGCAGCTGCAAGGTCACACAGTGCAAAGTCACACACAGTATCATGCCCATCAGAAAACCCAAAATAAAGAAGACACCTTGTATTTTCTCCAACACCCCTGAAAACTAAAACAGGCACATCTACTCCTACGGACAATTGAAAGTCACCTCATTCATCTAACCTATTTCTTTTTTATCCTGAGGAAACCAGAGCAGATGGTAAAAAAAACATGCACACATTTGATTCAAACTCCAAACAGACTTATGTGGAGTACTTTATCATCTATGCCAATCACTGAACTAAACAAAAGACTTGGCAATATAATGAAATGTCTGTAATATATTGTTCGAGGGGGCTGACATGCAGGAGAGAGCCACAGGTCGGACTCGAACCTCCGAACAGGTGTGTTTCTTTACCCTGGATGAATAGAGGTGGAGTTAAAACACTGCAGCCCTCTGATTGGTCAGAGTGAAACGTGAGGATCACCACACAGGACCTTCTGCAGAAACCCGGAACTTTCAAATAGCGGAGCTACCACCTATATTGATCACAATTGTATTATTCTTTCCGCAAATATTTCGTTTACAAAGGCACGTCGTGGTTAATGACGTAGTGCAATGTTTCTCTGTTTGGTTGCTGTTTTACGCGGCTTCGCTGTGTCGGTCAGGAAGATCTCCGCCTATAGAGACAGCGGGAAACCAAATCTAGAAAGCCAGATATATAGGAATACACCTGGGACCTAAAGTAAGTTGATATGAGTCAAACCAGCAGTTGAAATGAACCATTAGTCACGTTTCTTCACTTAAGATAAGTTAGTGTTGCTCTTTTGGTAGATAAAGCAGTCAAAAGAGCAAGTATATGAGGGTCATTGTGCAGGATAGAGTATACTCTCTATAATATATATATATATATATATATATATATATATATATATATATATATATATATATATATATACACAATACATTTGTATGTTTCTGATCAGAGCTGCCAGCATCACTTCCCACTGTCGAGACACATCAGATAATCCACATTGAGTATGTTAATTATGCTTATTATGGCGTTAACTGTAAACCACACAGAAAGTAAGGAAACATGAGATAACATCAACAGATGTTTTCGTACACAGTGTACCACTTTGTCAAATGTGCTTTAATTGGCATAACTCCTGTTGGGCTGTGTTTTGTTTGTCTTTCCAATTCAAGGCTTGTTCCACTTGGGAAATTATATGAGACGTTTTTTTTTTTTTTTGGAAACCATAAGCTGGGTTATTGTGGAATACACCATAAATATACTGTACACTATTTACTCTACTCCAGCATACCACGTGAACTGGTGCCACTTGAATCATTTTGAATCCTTTTTGACTGTAATAGAGTACGTTGATTTCTATATCGTAGCGGTTTCCAAAGTATGGTACGTGGACCACCAGGAGCTCTTGTTAAGGCCACATTTGGTCCCCAGGATGGTTCTAATTTTCCTTTGGATGTTTGCACAGTGCGAGAAAGTATAAGGAGGTTATTTGATGGCCTCTACCTACACTACAGCACAGACAGTGTGTCATCATCAGATCCCAATACTGCATTCTGCCCCAGACCGCTGTTTTCAAACACTCTGACATGACAAAAATGTCCGGGGTTTTCCCCAAAACACATAAGCTGTGTTTATTGTGAAACTCATTTGAGTGAAGTCCTTTTTTCTCCACATTTTTATAGGCACATGATGATTTTTCTCCACATGCAGATAAGTTCTTTGTCCTCACTACACCGGCTGCTCCTGTAATTATAATTGCCCAATGTTCTGTACGCCGGTGCAAAGAGAGTTTAAGTCTCCTAGAGAAATGACAAGACTATTTCACCACTGATTATGATTTGACAGCCAAGAGACCTGCGGTTTGAGTCAGACTTGTATTTATCATAGTCTAGTCTAACCCCTCAGGGTGCTGAACACTTCAGAGGCTGCAGAGCGTCTTTGTGGACTTTTCTCTCACTATCGACGACAAACTACTGCCATCTGCTCTGATCAAGAGAATGCTGTGTGTATGCTTTTTCCCTTTTTTCCCAGTCAGTGAACTCATCTGGCTTTACCCGCAGATCACCCCATTGGTCCTTTTTTCTTTAGCTGTCCAAAATAACTTTTTCAGCTTGATTATACGCTATCCACTGCCAGTCCAAATTACAGCTCTGAGCTGAAGAAGGCCCCCAAACAGCCACAGAAACTGAGTGAATGTGCTCGATGCAAGCGTGGTGACAAAGAGATTCAGGGAGGGAGGGAGGCTGTGGCTCAGTGGAAAGTGTGCTGGACTTCGAATCAGGGGGTAGCAAGTTCGAGTCCCACTGCAGTCAGCATGTCGTTGTGTCGTTGTGTCCCTGAGACACTTCACCCCAAATTGCTCCTGTGGGGATTGTCCACAGAACTCAATGTATGTTCGTCGCTTTGGATAAAAGCGTCTAACAAGTGACATGTAATTCAGAGGCCAGAGAGACTCACAGCTGTATGGCTTGAGACAGTCTGATAATCAGCAAGACCTCCTGCATTATGGCATCACCAATTCTCAAGGTGCAAGAGTTGTTCACTTGCTAAATGAGTTTGAATGGTCTCTGTAAAAGACTGTGATTCAGAAGTGAGAAAGGCATCTGTAAACAAGGTTTCTATCAGTTGATTAAAGTGGTATGTGTTCAACCTGAGATGTTGTGTTTATGTTGTGTCCTCAACATTATAACACCTGGAAAAAGACTTACACAGGTACAGATGTTTTGATTTAGTTTTGCCTCTTTAATTCATCAAAGAGCTTCTTAAAAACGTCTTTCACCTTGGAAAAATGCGAAAAAAACCAACGTTAATTTAATTGAACACCACCAAATGAATATACAAACAAGTTGAAGTTGAACACAAAGCAGAGACAGCCCCATCTACTGACCAGTAGGGGTAACTGTTGAAGATGCAAGTCAATTACTGGCCTTTAAATGAATGTAAATGTCTGGGTATTTTCCCTTTTTTAAAGTTGTATTCATGTTCAGACCTGCACAGAGAAACTTTCCCCCTGTGGAACGTGTCTATTATCGTTTCCATCCATCTGAGGCCCTTAACTGACAGACAGAGTATCAGGTGGACGTCCGACCCCCCCTCAGTTAATCCCTCTGTTAAGAAGCCTCTTGTTTTTAATGTTATGTTTCTGTTGCTCATGGTCTGTGTCTTACCACCTGTTTCCAGGCTATTTCTAATGACCTCCACTAAGCTCCTGCCAGACTCTCACATTACCACCTTAATGTTCCGGTTTCCTCCTCTGCAGATTAGTGCGCTGGTGTCCATATTCCCCACCGGAAACCTTACGTCTCGTAGATTTCGCTGCATTACTGAGGCCATGCAGGAATATGTGGAGACTGTACTCGTGCTGATGGATGACTAATGGCTCCGTCTGCTTTCAGTTGAGCTCAATGCACACACACCATGAGCAGCAGCTGGGCCGCTCTCCTCCTGCTGGCATTGCCATAGCTACAGCTCTTGTTTGTTGTACAAGGGAGTGTCCTCTATAACCACCTAAATATGACCTGTGGTGAGACCACTTCAAATGGCACTCGCAGGGCAACGTACACACACGTGCACACTCACTCTCAGAGTCGCACACAGACCCTACCAGCGATGGCAATTAGTTTTTTCCTCTGGCAGCAAATCAAACACATGTTGAATGGCAAACACACGGCCCTATTTTCCAGTCACTCAGTGATTTTAATCTCTCTCTGAGAAGCCACAAACACAGTTGCTGCAGGGTGTGGTGGGACTGACCCAGTTAAACCTCAGTATGCCCCGAGAACTCTGACAAAGACGTAACTCAACCTCAAGACATAAGAGCCTTGTGCGCCTGTTTGTGTGTGTGTGTGTGTGTGTGTGTGTGATAGAGAGAGAGAGAGTCCAACCTGGCTGTTTCACTGTGTTGCTACAGGGTTCGACCTGATGGAGTTCTTCAAAGTGAGAGACATCCTGGGGACCAGAAACGATGAAGGCCAGAGTGCTTACGTTCGCCTCGGCACCATGCCCATTGTACAGCAAACAGAGTAAGTGACCTCACTGTCATACTGCAAACAAGTGAGCATTAATCACCAATATCTTCCTATGTTGTTTCCCAAATGTGTCCTGGAGAGAGACTTCTTGAAAAGTCATCGCTTGACTCGTGATGTGTTCTTAAACTGCAGGATTGTTGGTACCTGTGTGTTATAATGATGAATCCCATCGTCAGCCAAAATTAAAACATCTGCCAGTTTATCCTAATTAGCAACCCAAAGGTTTAAAAACTGTGGAGCACTGGATGCCGAAAGTAAAATCAATTGGAAAAAATGCCAACAAGTGTAGAGTTATTTAATTCAAAAATAAATAAATAAATACAATTTCCTTAAGAAAATAATGCAAATAGCTATTCAAACACAATATTAGTGATAGAAATAATATAGTAAATCCTTAATCCTAAGCAATAACCAATTATTTAGCACAATCAGCATGGTAATGTGAGTGAGCATGGATTCTGTTCTTACATTAGAACAAATCCCAAAAGATAAAACATTGGTACATTTCAGAAAAAAACCCGCCTTTTATTTGGTTATTCCTTTTAAGATCTGTTGGTGATTAATGCCAAATAATCTGCCAAATGTCTTCTGAATAGTTAAGAAGTGATTTTAAAGTCATTGATGGAGAATCCTGTTGGGACCCTACTTTGAATATACACAATTTATGGCATTTACATGTACTTATGCATGTTTTAATTAACCTCAGAAGTCATGAAATGTTCTCAGATCCATCAGGACTTCTTACAGTCGTTGTCAAATGAAGATATTCTATACAACAGTTTTGTTCATAATCAAAATATTATGTTACTCTGCTAAGGACAAAGAGGCAATAAACTGTATAGAGACATATCATTAAAACATAGACACTGTGTTTAATTTGAAGTTTTTTACATTCAAGTCTAAACTTTAACCGGGTCACTTCTACCTTGTGTTTATCAGAAAAAGTAGAATTAAGAGCAGTTTATTGTAATACTAACAATGTGCTTGTTTTCTGTAGGGATGTGTTTCCTCAGGGTTTGCCAGATGAATACGCCTTTGTGACCACGTTCAAATTCAGGAAGACCTCAAGACGGGAAGACTGGTACCTCTGGCAGGTCTTCGACAAATATGGAATCCCACAGGTGGGTCTGCCGAATGTAAACAGTAGTAAATATGACTATTACTGTATGTGTCTGGATTTAGACAATTACTATGTCAACTCAGAATAGACTCTCCTCACCAACTGTTCAGATCTTTTTTTAAATCATTGGGCATAGAAAGAGGGAAAATGTGTATTTAAAGACATTAGATTTAGACTCCCAGTCATGCTTTTTAAATGCAATGTTATTATTACTATCTGTAATACTATCATGATTGTGTTAAGCTAATATTTGAGACGACATTTCTACACTTTGTACATCAAGTACGCAAATCATTTTGAAGTTAAGGAAGCTTTACTGCAGTTTAAATTGTAATGTAATGGTTTTGTATCGGTCTCCAATATAAGCGGTATTGAGCGATCTTGAATTAATATCTACTTAAAGCACCAAAAGTAGTCATTATGCACATATATTATATTACTGTATTAAAATGATTGATTACATAATATGGACATATTGCAGCTGGTGAATAGCGCGATTATTTTAAATTCTTTATAGACTTCTGAGTAGCTTGTGAATTCCCCCTGGAGATCATTAAAGTCTTTAATAAAACATCATAATTCACTTTTTGGAATAGAAGAACAAAGTAGCAGTGAATAGAAATACTCAAGGAGCGAACAGGCACATCAAGATAAGATAAGAAGTATTTTATTGATCCCAATTTCAGTGTGGAATAAACAAATACAAAATTATAAAAATTTAATAAAAACTGTAATTGACTGCCTGTATTTCCCCCCTCCTATCTTTAACATGTCCTGTGTCTCTCCAGGTGTCGATACGTCTGGACGGAGAGAACAAAGCGGTGGAATATAACGCCGTCGGCCTGATCAAAGACGCGGTCCGAGCCGTGTTCAAGAACCCTGAAGTCGACAACCTGTTCGACCGCAACTGGCACAAGATCGCCATGAGCGTGGAGGCCAAGTCCGTGTCTCTGTATCTGGACTGCAAACTGATCCAGACTCTGCCCATCGGGGACCGCGAGGACATCGACATCCAGGGGAAGACTGTGATCGGGAAGAGGCTATACGACAGCGTGCCCATCGATGTGAGTCTTTGTGGTTTAATAGTTAAAGGTCACCTATTATGCAAAATCCACTTCTTCATGTCTCTTCTACATCAACATGTGTCCCCTCTTCTTCATGTCTCTTCTACATCAACATGTGTCCCCTCTTCTTCATGTCTCTTCTACATCAACATGTGTCCCCTCTTCTTCATGTCTCTTCTTCATCAACATGTGTCCCCTCTTTCTCATGTCTCTTCTACATCAACATGTGTCCCCTCTTCCTCATGTCTCTTCTACATCAACATGTGTCCCCTCTTCTTCATGTCTCTTCTTCATCAACATGTGTCCCCTCTTCTTCATGTCTCTTCTACATCAACATGTGTCCCCTCTTCTTCATGTCTCTTCTTCATCAACATGTGTCCCCTCTTCTTCATGTCTCTTCTACATCAACATGTGTCCCCTCTTCCTCATGTCTCTTCTTCATCAACATGTGTCCCCTCTTCTTCATGTCTCTTCTTCATCAACATGTGTCCCCTCTTCTTCATGTCTCTTCTTCATCAACATGTGTCCCCTCTTCTTCATGTCTCTTCTTCATCAACATGTGTCCCCTCTTCTTCATGTCTCTTCTTCATCAACATGTGTCCCCTCTTCTTCATGTCTCTTCTTCATCAACATGTGTCCCCTCTTCTTCATGTCTCTTCTTCATCAACATGTGTCCCCTCTTCTTCATGTCTCTTCTACATCAACATGTGTCCCCTCTTCTTCATGTCTCTTCTACATCAACATGTGTCCCCTCTTCTTCATGTCTCTTCTTCATCAACATGTGTCCCCTCTTCTTCATGTCTCTTCTTCATCAACATGTGTCCCCTCTTCTTCATGTCTCTTCTTCATCAACATGTGTCCCCTCTTCTTCATGTCTCTTCTACATCAACATGTGTCCCCTCTTCTTCATGTCTCTTCTACATCAACATGTGTCCCCTCTTCTTCATGTCTCTTCTTCATCAACATGTGTCCCCTCTGTGGAAAGAGACTCTGAAAGTTTCAGGAACAAAGATTCTCTCTCTTTTTGATCCATTTCTATAAAAACCTGTCTGAAAATGAGCTGATCAGATTTTGGCCACTTGATGATGTCATAACGATGTTTTGTCTTGTGTAACCATTAGCCAATCACCAACCAAGGTAACCCCCCCCCCCCCCCCCCCTTATCACCTGAATCTCCTCCTAGAGCACCATTGAGTTCTTTGTAACCAAATCTCTCTCAGAGGGGCGTGGGGAGGGGCTCCTTATTTTCATCTAAAGTAACAGACAGAGAATCAGCACTTTGGAAACAGGGCTGAAACAGAGGGGATTATGGGTAATGCTGCAATGATCTGTTTGGTGTTTCAGCCAATCAGAGACAGGCTCTGTATATATCTGAGACCTGTAATATATTGATGAAAAACAGTATAATAGGGGACCTTTAAGTGATAGATCGCCACTCCTGAGCGATTGTTATGTGTTATTGTCTTGAGGTTTATATCAATTATCTGTGTGTTCGTGCAGTTTGACCTCCAGAGGATGATGATCTACTGTGACTCCAAGCATGCAGAGCTGGAAACCTGCTGTGATATTCCCGATGGACCTGTGAGTAGATCTGGTTCTGATCGCAGGTTACTTTAACTCAGTAAGCAGCACTGTCTTCTTTCCCAAGCTAGATTTTAATTTAAAACACTTTTCAGCTTGTAGACACACAACTTAGTTGACATGAGCGTTCACTATTTAGCTTTGTTAGCTTCTGAAGCTAATATGACAACAGAGTAAAAGGGCTGATCATTTGGGAATGAACTCATAATTTCCATCATTAAAGCAACAAATTATACAAAAAGCATTCTCAGAGATCACAAAGTCATACCTTTTCAAGAAAAAACGTTGGAAATTCTGTGAAAGTAATCGCGAATGTTGTTATTGTTCCTTTACACAAACCATCAAAGCCTTTTTTAATAAGCAAATAAGGTGTTATTCCCACATTTTAACCAATTTCTAACAAAAGATTAATGAGCCGAATCTACACTGATGACTTCCAAGGTGTCGTGTAAGCCGTTTACTGTCCACCCGATACTTCTGATAGTCATTTAATTTGACCATAACTCAGACTAGAAATATTGTACAAGTCTATCTAAACTAAAACTATTATTTAGAAACCAAATCATTAATGGTTATGAGCAGGACCTGTGAACTCATACTTGTTATTTCTTGTCATTGTAAAAGTGATTTATTTTTTGGAGGGTTAGGGTTATGTTTGTTTACAACATGACGCTGATGACGATGACCTAATCTTTAATTTTCGGACCAGAAAAGTATTTGTTAAGCTTCTTCTTGCCCCTGTTGAACATGACCGAGACTATTTGAGAGTTTATTTATTTGAACACTAAAACACTAAATAGAGAAATTACTAATCCTATCATTTCAGTGCCCTAAGAAAGTGGTTACAGAAGCCCCCCCCCTGGAGATCCCCACCCCCACACCGGCTGCAGTGGAGCAGAAAAGAGGCCCTGAAGCGAACTGCTCGTGCCCAGAGGGAGAAAAGGTAAAGCCCCCCCCCTACTCCAGCAGTCTTTATCCCCATCTTTTAGTTTCACAGATGAGTGGGAATCCTTTCTGAAATGGCTTTCCAAAGACGTCTCTATTTTCATTTCTCACAGGGAGCTATCGGTGTGCCCGGTGTTGCAGGACCTAAGGGTGATAAGGTCATCTACCGTTGCCTTTAAGTACTAGTGTGTGTGTGAAAGAATACAAATTCATTGTGTTTCACAGTGTGTTCAACTTTTTTTACTTTGGTGAACGTACGCTTTTCAGGGTGTCTCTGGCCCTAAGGGCGGCGTCGGAACGTCTGGAGTCAAAGGAGCAAAAGGAGAAACTGTATGAAAACCTAAAGTGTTTATTTACAAGCGTGGTTTTTGTTTTAATGGAGAAACATTGTTCAGTTATGAAGTTTCAGTTCATAGAGTGGTGCAGGAATGAGTCCAACAACCCGGAAAAGAGTTAGCATTTTACCATTTCTCAAAGTCCTTAAAAATAAGATCTGTGGTTAACAGAAGCTGAACAGATTTTAATGTTTTGTTCTAAGACATAAAGAAGACATCAAATCGACATCAATAAGATGAAACACTCCACTGGTGAAAGGGTCTAAACGTCATCACAACGAACATTAGCTGCCTTTAACTTAGCGGTTGTGTGACTGTTGCTAACAAGTGACTAAAAGAGACTTCTAAACGTCATCTCGACATACATTTTTTCTTCTGGCGATTCCATTTACGCTTCAATAAAAGTTGTGTTAATATGTGGAGATTATCCTGCTGAGCAAAATGTGTAAGTATCATAAACGTGTGTTAGCCACTGAGCTAATCTTCTGCATTATTCCAAGATCCAATGGTAAAATCCCATTGCTTTTGTCGTGCGAAGCTAGCTTCAGGGTTTACCTACAGCAATACGTCATGACTGCATCACTCTATTATGTGCATTTCATTTGTTAGATATACTATTATACACATTTAGTTCAGATTGCATGCCTTTTCAGCTTCATTTCCATCTGCTTTTCTGCCCGCCTCGATAATAATTGATCCTTGTCGATGAATTATTTGCAGGGCAAAGTAAACTCTGTTAAAGGTGACAGAGGAGAGAAGGTAAGTACGCCTGCTCCTCCTGATGCTGCATGAGCATCATGCTAACATCACGTTTGTCTCCGTGCATATTTATATGCATGGAAGTCCTGGACGCAAATGTCTCTCTCTAATCTTTCTCTATCTTTCATGTTACGTGCTTTTTTCATGTGGTTTTTCTAGTTATGTGTTTTTACTTTTCTGCCAGGGAGTGGCTAGAGGAAAATGCTCAAGCAGCTGTTATTGTTAGAATTACAGGACAGGCGACCACAGAGGACGCCCCCCCCAGCCCGCTGAAATCACAGCTCTGTGCTGCCAGCTGAGGCTCACAGTGTCATTTATTCCTTGAGACTAAATCCTCTGTATGAATCATTGGATCTGCCCAGAGAAGGATGCTTGGAAGGGTCACGAGAGGACTGGAAGACGAGATGCTGTGTTCTCAATTGTGTTTTCTACGATACGACAATACTTTATACGATATAAGATCTTATTTTGAAGTCTTAGAACAGGGGTGTCAAACTCAATTTCATCACGGGCCACATCAGCATTATGGTTGCACTCAAAGGGCCGGTTGTAACTTTAAGACTATATCATTAATTAATATAACTTCATAATTAGCTACGTCTGAAAGCAGAAGTCTCGAGCAAATAATTGCAAGTCTCTTCAGTAAGAATGTCACAATATGATTTTAAAAGAAAAGCCACATTCTGGAAAAACATTGATTGTGACATTTTGAAAAAGAGAAGTGACATTTAAAAAAAAAAATCTATTTATGAGAAAAAGGCTAATTCTAAGAAAAAAGGCATATTTGAAAAAAAAAAGTCAAATTCTGAGAAAAAGTCAAATTTGAGATGCATTGTGGGACATGTCGTTTATGGGCAACGTGCTTCTGTAAAGTAGCATGTAACCGTATAATAAACATATTATATTCTTTGCAAGCTCTTGTGGGGCCACATAAAATGAAGTCGCGGGCCGGATTTGGCCCCCGGGCCTTGAGTTTGACACCCGTCTTAGAACAAGGTAACAGACTTAAAGAGGTCTATTATGCTTTTTCGGCTTCCTCTTATACTGTAGGTTTGTGTGCATGGACTGTAAGTGGTTTGCAAAGGCGGAAATCCCTAAGTTCCTTTCAGACTGGTACATATACGAGTGCTTCAGTCTTACATTCTTTAATCTTGAGAACCTGTATCTCGGTTTTGATGTCAACAATTGAAAGTGGCAGTACAGGGAATAGTTGCGCTCAGAGACAATGTTGTTGGCTATGCTTAGGATATCACTAATGTATCTTGATTTATGGAGTTGACCTACAATTTCCTGAAATCAGGAGAGAGGAGAACCATTTTAAAGTTTGGCTGCAGCACGGTGATTGGCTGCTGAGATTGAGGTGAATGTAACAGGTTAGCAGGAAGCCCGTGATGAGCTGATTATAAGCAGCTGTGGAGGGAATGTACACAAGTCTTCCTGAAAGAACTTACGCTGAGCTTTATTTGATGGAGCAGTTTTGACTTTAAAGCATTGGACAAACACTTGTACCATGTAGTGTTACAATACAGAAAATCACTCAAAATCTAAGTAGAAATTGTCTTCTTGCCCCAAAAGACACAAAGTGGTGGAGAAAATGCATCTTCTTTTTGTCCTTCAGCAGATATATTTATGGTCTTTCCAGGATAGAAGATGTTCTAGCTTTTACGCCCATGTATTTATATCAAAGTACATCTGTAATTCAGCAGGGAGCTTTTTTTATTTTCATGTGAAAGAGACAGCAGTGCTCTTTACATGATGAATGGATTTTATTGCCGCTGGATACTTTGCCGGTTTGATGAAACTACATTAAATCAAACTGTAACGCAAAGCGTCCCCTGTTGCTTTTCTATTTCTCACTTTCTGCTCGAGCATCCGTCTTCACTTTCTCCCCTTTTGGAGAAAGCTGCAATTTGTTGTCGTAAACTTTCCCAAAAGCTGATGCAAGAAAACATGACGTAAGCCCCCCCCCCCATCGGTCATAGGGTCGAAGGACTGAAAGTGAATCCATCCGCCTGTGATTGCTTCTAATTGCATCTTTAGACAGAACAGGCAGCATTGTTTGAGATAATGTTCAAGGCTGCATCACAGCTCCTAATCTCTGTTATAAGAGAAGTGACGTGTGTTAAAATGATATAAGCTCTTACAGTAATTAAAGGGCTGCTGCTTGTTAAGTGGTTTATGAAGCAGAGGGAAGTCCTGCGGCGGGTAAGACCTCGCTGTAACGTGTCATTTAACAACCGGTGCTTCTCACTCAGTCCAGTCTTCTGATTCCTTGGCCTGTGACATCAGTTATTCAAAGAGTGTGAAGACAATGTTCCTTGAGTCTTTGTTTGGGTGTCTGAACAGACCATAGCGGGTCTTGGTGAAGATGATGACAGCTGTTAGCATACTCTGGCTCTCTCGATCATTTACTCAAAAGTGTTTTGTGTATCCTAACTCTTTGTCTTCTGTGTTATATTAACGTCTGTCTTTTGTCCAAATGTCTGTATTACTGTTTGATTAATCACGTCGGTTAATTCATGTCTAACATTTGTTTATGTCCCAACTGTCATGTACTAAACCAGGCCTTTTCAATTGCTGTAACATTAGCCGAATCCCACTTTTTAACAATCTCAAACCGGCCCTTTGGTCTTGAAAAAAATTGAAAAGAAATACGTAAAAATGTCCTCAGAAGAGTTTTTTTTAAATTAATTTACTATGAAATTAAATTTATTTATTCATTATTTATTTCATTACATTTCTCCCTATTCATTAATTTTACCATCCTTGCTATTAACACTTGAAACGGACGGTTATAAGCAACACATTTATTTCTAAAAAACATTTAACATTACAAGTTTATATCAGTTAGCCTTGTATGATTAAATAGAAGATCATCATTATATCATTAGGCTACTTAGTCCATTCAGTAACTATGTATTTAGTTAAGCACAGACATCATGTTGTTGTTTAACAGTGTGAAATGATGCTCTTCATACTGAGGATATTTGTTAGATGCAACATTTTCCAGACTAAAAAGGTGCATTTAAATAATTGGCACTTCCCTTTAAAACATGAATTGAACAGGCCTGTACTAATGTCCATGTTTTCTTACGCTACCAGGTTGTTTCTTTCTGACAGCACGCCATCGCCGCCTGTGTCCCCGGACATCTTGCATGCTTATTTATTAAAAAACCGTCAAAGTAAACACTTGCCTTTTGTCCACAGGGTGATTCAGGCAGGATAGGGTTGACAGGTGCTCCTGGACATAAAGGAGAGAAGGTGTGCACCGTGTGAACCTGGACGTGGAGGATGTCTATAATACGTTGAATTTCGATATAAAACTTCACAATCTGTTATTAATGATGTGTTTCTGATTATCTGACAGGGGCTCGGTGGTGTGCCAGGTATCGACGGATCATATGGAGACAAAGGAGGCAAGGTAAGAATAAGGTTTCAAACACAAGGATGTGTGTTTTCCAGAGGTGGGAAGTACTGGAGTACAAATACTTTGTTACTGTACTTAAGTACATTGTTCCGGTATCAGTACTTTACCCCACTACTTATTTTTCTGACGACTTTTTACTTTGACTTCTTACATTTTGAACACAAATACCTGTACTTTCTACTTCTTACATTTTGAACACAAATACCTGTACTTTCTACTTCTTACATGTTGAACACAAATACCTGTACTTTCTACTTCTCACATGTTGAACACAAATACCTGTACTTTCTACTTCTTACATGTTGAACACAAACACCTGTACTTTCTACTTCTTACATGTTGAACACAAATACCTGTACTTTCTACTTCTTACATGTTGAACACAAATACCTGTACTTTCTACTTCTTACATGTTGAACACAAATACCTGTACTTTCTACTTCTCACATTTTGAACACAAATACCTGAACTTTCTACTTCTTACATGTTGAACCCAAATACCTGTACTTTCTACTTCTTACATGTTGAACCCAAATACCTGTACTTTCTACTTCTTACATGTTGAACACAAATACCTGTACTTTCTACTTCTTACATGTTGAACCCAAATACCTGTACTTTCTACTTCTCACATTTTGAACCCAAATACCTGTACTTTCTACTTCTTACATTTTGAACACAAATACCTGTACTTTCTACTTCTTACATGTTGAACCCAAATACCTGTACTTTCTACTTCTTACATGTTGAACACAAATACCTGTACTTTCTACTTCTCACATGTTGAACCCAAATACCTGTACTTTCTACTTCTTACATGTTGAACACAAATACCTGTACTTTCTACTTCTCACATTTTGAACCCAAATACCTGTACTTTCTACTTCTTACATGTTGATCACAAATACCTGTACTTTCTACTTCTTACATGTTGAACCCAAATACCTGTACTTTCTACTTCTCACATTTCCCAAACAGGCTGGTTCCTTTAGTTTGAATGTGTGTTTGGTGGCGTGATCATTATTATTTAGAGTCATTGCGTGCCTATTGATTTGAACACGATCCGTGTATCCATCATTTCCTGGTCTTCTCTAAAGAAGAGGGACCAATGAAAACGTTGTCATGTTGCCGTTGTTCAGCATGGAAACATTCATTAGCTAACAATGACATTATTGTTCTATTAATATAAAGGGAGGTCAGGTACTCTTTAAAACAGCTGCTAGTTATGGGTACTTTTTACTGAAGTACATTTCAAAGTTCTTTACTTTGACTTGAGTAAAGAAGTTTAGTCAGTACTTCTACTTTTACCTGAGTATTTTTAAACACGAGTATCTGTACTTCTACTTGAGTAAAGGATGTGTGTACTTTTGCCCTCTCGGGTGTTTTCATGTGTGTTTATCTGTAAATAGGGCGCAGCAGGACTGGCTGGTGATGCAGGGCCTGAAGGTCCAGCTGGAACAAAGGTGAGTGAATATCGCGTTCAGAAGCTTTGGCTCATCGTGATGTTTATGTTCTGATAATTAAGTGGGCGTACAGACGTTCTTCTGCACAATTACAGCTCAGCCCGTTATTGATTTCCTGTGAAAAAAGAGGCAGGTTTGGTTGACTTTCCCTTGGATGAAGCAGCAGCTGGTGAAAGAGTGAGGAGGGGAGAGAAAAGGGAGAAATGGGAGGGGGGGCTGCCACAAATGTGGGTATTGGATGTGAGGGAGTGATCGCCCCCTTTTGATAAACACAGGGAATACTCAATCAGTGACATGCTGAATCATAGCAGAGAATAGAGACTATGGAGCAGGGGGGTCAAACTCAAATACACAGTGGGCCAAAATAAAAAAATGGGTACTAGTGGAGGGCCGGACTGGTTCAATGTTTATTGCAGAACTTATTGAAATGAACTTATTGCACATATTAAACCTGGAACTAACAAAGCTTCAATGATTGCCTATAAAAACAACAGAAATATCATGCGAGGTGAACACTCAAAGGAAAGCCTTGTTTTGTCATACGAGCCTATTGACAGGCCCTAGCATTATAACATTTGGCCAGTAATACTCCAAATTGAGTATTAATTGAATGGAAATGCAATTATCTAATTGTATTCACATATTTAAAAATAAGTTTTCCTACTATTTCATATTAAAAGGACAGTAGAAAAGCTGTTTGACTTGTATTTGACCCTGCCGTACGGAGGATCATATTTAAGTTTTTAATTCAAATTTTAAATGTTAACAATACGGCCTGATTTCTATTCATAAATTCAGTCCCAAAATACAAATTAAAAGAGATTTTCTTAACAATTGAGGCAGCTTTTGATGAGTTTTCTTGCTCCAATATCGTAAGTAAAAAAAACCTGATTATGAGTTAAAATGAAGTTTAAGTTGTTATTAAAATGGTTTTTCCAGCTTTAAATGGGTTCCACTGTGTTGACATGTTATTGGTATGACTTCAAATATCATTAAAGCCAACATCTAGTCTTACTTTGGGGTGAGATTGTAAAACTATCTCATATTTAATGAAAAGAGCAGTGATGAGAGAAAATATAGCTCTCAAATAATTTAGAGATCACACATAGGTTCTCTTTTTGGCATGAGGAAACAATAAAGCTGAGGTCAGAGGTCAAAGTTTAAGGTTCTCCCTTGATGGGGGGGGTCCTGCCACTGACAACTGCTGTTTCTTTTTTGGGGTTTCAGGTTTCTTACATTGATTCTCCTCTGACTCAGCACTTTGCCAGTTGGCCCTAAAGTATATCGCTGAGTAACACTTTTGGGGAGTCCAACTTCCTGCTAATAAAATGTTGTTTATATCCTAACAGGGAATTCAAGGAGATGAAGGAACTGCTGGCTCATCGGGACCAAAGGGTGTCTCTGTGAGTATGATCTGAGGTCACTTTTATTATCATTTAAAGAGGGCCTATTGTTCTTTATTTCCATTTCCTGTAGTGTGTTATACAGGTTTCTGTGCATGTCAATGGTCTGCAAAGGTTAAAATCCCAAAGTTCTGTAACAAAGTGAAGTCATTAGTCATCGATTGGCTAGCGCTCCAACACATTGAACGTGATAGGCTAAGGGGCGGGACCTTTCTAAGCGGTTGATCAATCACAACAGAGCCGGCCAGCTAACCAATCAGAGCAGACTGGGCTCTGGTTTCAGACAGAGGGTGAAAAGAGGTGCTGCAGCACAGGCAGTATGAGAAAAGTAAATAGCTTATTGAACATTAAAGCATGGAGACATGTAGAGACACTACATACTGATATACACCTGAACATCAGCAGGAGAGGACTCTTTAAAGTAGAGACACTACATACTGATATACACCTGAACATCAGCAGGAGAGGACTCTTTAAAGTAGAGACACTACATCCTGATATACACCTGAACATCAGCAGGAGAGGACTCTTTAAAGTAGAGACACTACATACTGATATACACCTGAACATCAGCAGGAGAGGACTCTTTAAAGTAGAGACACTACATACTGATATACACCTGAACATCAGCAGGAGAGGACTCTTTAAAGTAGAGACACTACATACTGATATACACCTGAACATCAGCAGGAGAGGACTCTTTAAAGTAGAGACACTACATACTGATATACACCTGAACATCAGCAGGAGAGGACTCTTTAAAGTAGAGACACTACATGCTGATATACACCTGAACATCAGCAGGAGAGGACTCTTTAAAGTAGAGACACTACATACTGATATACACCTGAACATCAGCAGGAGAGGACTCTTTAAAGTAGAGACACTACATACTGATATACACCTGAACATCAGCAGGAGAGGACTCTTTAAAGTAGAGACACTACATACTGATATACACCTGAACATCAGCAGGAGAGGACTCTTTAAAGTAGAGACACTACATACTGATATACACCTGAACATCAGCAGGAGAGGACTCTTTAAAGTAGAGACACTACATACTGATATACACCTGAACATCAGCAGGAGAGGACTCTTTAAAGTAGAGACACTACATACTGATATACACCTGAACATCAGTAGGAGAGGACTCTTTAAAGTAGAGACACTACACACTGATATACACCTGAACATCAGCAGGAGAGGACTCTTTAAAGTAGAGACACTACACACTGATATACACCTGAACATCAGCAGGAGAGGACTCTTTAAAGTAGAGACAATATACACCTGAACATCAGCGGGAGAGGACTCTTTAAAGTAGAGACAATATACACCTGAACATCAGCGGGAGAGGACTCTTTAACATCTGATTTTGATAAATGATGATACATATATATATATATATATATATACATATATTAAATTGTATTGTAATTGTGTTTTTTTGTAGGGTGAATCCGGTACAAGGGGTGACAAAGGAAGTACAGGAAACAAGGTTAGTAACGCTGCATCCCTTTCTTTTGTATTATAAGAAATCCACAGCTAGGGTTTAGCATTTTGATGAAATCCTCAGGTGCTCAGGGACGAGAGAGACTTACACATTAAGTTTCCCTGTTCATGTTTTCCCATCATGTCCCAGTATTTGAACATGTATTGTATGTTAGATTAAACCTGTACAAAGTAGACCTTTTACCGCAAATCCTGAGAACGAGGTTAACTCCTGAGAAAAAGCCGTTCTTCTTCAGAAGGACTGAGAGCTGGGGGGCGTAATGGTGCGAACAGATGTGGCTTCCTTGATTCACTCTCCACACTTCCTGTCTGGGGTCCTGTGTGGGCGTTTGGCTGAAATGTAACTCATTGAGACCCTCTGAAGCTTCAGTATGTTGACGTATGAAGTCTTCCTCCGATCTGCCAACACGATGATGTTAGAAACCATTCAAAGAAATCAGGTTTTCTCCCACTTTAGTCAATATGTTTTTGCAGAAACAGCAGTAACAGCAGTAACAGTGGCTTTTGTGTCACGCTGAGACGTCAACTTGAATTTAAATGACTTTAACAAGGGGTTTGTATGAAGCCATAAACACACAGTCAGTTCACTGATGACTTCTCCATGTGGCCTGAGGATGTGCAGCATGTTCTCCACACACTGAAGCTCCTTTCAAACATGCTAATGCCAAAGTTAGAGCTGTCCATCATCCAGCAATTCAGTCAGTAAGCAATTTCCTGTGAAAACTGGAAAAGTACTTTCCTCAGAAAAGCGATTAAGGAACGTTTAGAGGAGGCACCTGGGGTTGAAGTCAGGCCATGTTTCCTGAGTGAAAATGTGAGGATGTGTTTTGGGTTACACAGCACTGTTTAAAAGCTAGCAGCGTAGCTTCATGGTAATGTGGCCCGTGGCTTTGATCCACACAGAAATAACAAAACTGGATTATTCTCCATTGGATTTGGAACGCATATCAATGGGGTCTAAGGGAAGAATCCTGAGGACTTTTGTGCTGCCGATTTTATTATCTTGCAACACCACACGGTCAAATTGTCTACCAATTACTTGTAGTTAATTATACTAGATGGACTGGAGACATGTTAGCTCCCAATACTGTACAATGTAAAATCCCTAAATATGTTATAAAATGTGCACTAGAGAATCACAATCAGAAATACTTTATTCATCACCTGGGGAAAAACCGATGATCCATTTTAGAATAACATAAAAATATATATTTATAATATTGTTTTTATTTCAATTGTATTCTTTTTTTTATTATACATTTGAATTATTTGTATTAATAATGCCGAGTTGACTTTGGCTTTGGCAAAGTATAGCTGCAGATATGCTAATTAGGCTAGCACTTAATTTGACTTTACATACCATGGTCTACAATTAATCAATCAATCAATCAATCAATCAATGTTTATTTATATAGCCCAATATCACAAATGTTACATTAGTCTCAGTGGACTTCACAGTTTGTACAGAATATCAGTATGACAATAAGAGACCCTCTGTCCTTAGACCCTCCGTCCTTAGACCCTCTGTCCTTAGACCCTCTGTCCTTAGACCCTCACATCGTACAAGGAAACACTTCCAGAGAAACCCCACAGTTTAAAGGAACATGGGAGAAACCTCAGGGAGAGCAGCAGAGGAGGGATCCCTCTCCCAGGACGGACAGACGTGCAATAGATGCCGTGTGTCAATTGAAAAGATAATACATTTACAACATAGGTAGACCAAATGTTTGGAAATGCATGTGTCTATAATAAGAAGATGAATCCAAGAGGATGTCAACAATCATGTGGGAGCCATCAGGGAAGTAGTATGATGAGAGTCAGGCAGGACCACAGTGACAGGTTCAGCCACGACTCGAAGTCCAGGACTCAAATCCAGGACTCAGGATAGAGGATCCAGGACTCAGGATCCAGGACTCAGATCAGGACTCAGGATAGAGGATCCAGGACACAGGACCACAGCAACAGGATCAGCCACGACTCAGGATCCAGGACTCAGGATCCAGGACTCAGGATCCAGGACTCAGGATCCCGGCGTAGATAGACACCAAAAAGAAATTTGGGGGAAGCTGGGTTATTGGGAACATGAGAGTACACAGGTACAGACAGACAGAAGTAAGGTGTCCCCCGACAGTCTAAGCCTATAGCAGCTAAACTAACGTGTCTACGTACGTGCACTCCCTTAGGATAGGTTGAGGGATAAGGGGTAGCAAGTAAGAAGTGAGGAAGAGAGGTACATCACTTCTAGAGTTGATTATTTGCTAAATACTTACAAGACAAGGTTCTGATAAGCACATTTCAACGTTTTCACGAGTGTGATTTAAGAGACTTTATTACTCAACATTATATTTTCCTCTACACATTTTAGGGCGAGGCAGGTTTCGATGGATTCCCCGGCAAACCTGGTGTTCCTGGGAAAGATGTAAGTGATGACTCTGTTTAAGATTTTACAGAAAACCCCCACAAATAATAATCTTTTTATGATTTAATGAGCCACTTTTGCATTAATGAAGCTTTTCTCTTGAATGTGTCAGGGTGTGAAAGGACTGTCTGGTGCTTCTGGGCTCTCTGGAGTTAAAGGCGTCAAGGTACGTCCCTCCTGTGCTTTATGAATAAACACCACTTCATTTGGATATATGTGTTGCTTTAAGCATTTCGTTAATAAGCTCCGCTGATATGAATCATTTTTAAAGAGCTATCACAGGTTTCCCTAGCTTCTGTCTGCTCTCTCCAGACATTCCTCTGAGTTTCAGCCCACTCGTTTGTCTGACAAAATGAAACGCTGACTTCATTTGTCTGTCTGTAATTACCCACTTTGATGATTCCTCCAGCGGTGCACAAACGCTTTTACCACAGCCATATGCATGCAGGAGGATGCACGCATACATAGAATACATTCCCATGAAGCTTTACCCACACGTTTCACTTTCCTTTAAAGGGGACCTATCATGCACAATGCACTTTTTGATGTCTTTTATACATCAACATGTGTCCCCGGTGTGTCGGGGAACTCACGCAGCGTCAGAAAATAAAACCCTCTCTCTTTTCCTCCGTACCCAAATCTCTAAAAATGGGGGAACAACGGAGCTGATCCAGATTTGCGTCCGATATGACGTAATATCTGAAATGTGGACCCACAGCACTATCAGAAACGTTGCTATCAGAAACAATGCCCGACTGTTTTGGACGTAATATGGTCGGTGTTTACATTAGCATCGCTAACACTCAGAGCTAACCTGTACTGGAGAGCATGTGTGTGAAGAAGCAGGAAATCAAAAGGAACTCACCTTGTGGTATAACCGGCAAGAGAGAAAGCCTTTGAGCTCCATACTGTTTCAGAGACAATCCTTGATAATCCATGATATGGCGTTTCATCACGGCAGCATTTAGTTTAGACAGTAGCTGCCGGGTCCCGCATGAGCTCAGACCCCTCCTTTTTTATTTTTTTAAAGCTTTATACCCAAATCAGCACTTTTGAAACAGGAAGTGAAATAGAGGGATATGAGGCATGGCTAGAATGGGTGATCTGTTTGGTATTTTGAGCAAAACACTTCATAGACATGTTTTTTATATATTTGTATATATCTGAGACCCATGCTATTGCCTAAAAATAGCATGATAGGTGACCTTTAATAGAACAATAACCAGTCATCTGATGAATGATGGTCGTTGCAGTGTCATTACCTCGAGGTGCTTTTATCCTGACAGTCTCTTGATTCTAATGACGGGGTTTTCATCTTTCTTTCTTTGAACTACGTCACAGGGGGAGAGAGGCCTTCCCGGATTACCTGGGGATGTGGTGAGTGCCAAAAATACACCAAAAGGATCAAAACATTACAGGCTTGTTTAGGGATGAAAAACATGATTGGAGTGAAGAGCTTGGAGATATTTACAACCCTTTAAAAAAAAAAAAAAAAAGAGACATGAAATAGCCATTTTATTTTTAGCGTTTTTGACTAAATCCACTCAAATTAACCGTTTAACCATGTAGAAGATTGACCTTTTGACCTTGTTAATGAACTCTAGGCACAATGGTACTGTTCTCCAGACAGGAGAAGATAAACAATTAGTCAATTAACTGATAAGTTAAATTATAGCAATTGTAATAATTTATTCATAAAACTAATTTTGCTGGAAATGTAATGGATCTCTATTTTTTTCCAAACTTGTTTTTTGATATATTTTATTTATTTTATATAGAAAGCAATTAATTGAAAAGTAATTAATTAGAGATAAGGGTTGCTAGTTTTTTTAACTGTGGCCTCAGTTTTTGCACAATAATTAAATGAATGTAGCACAATGAATCTCAATGGTTGAATATTTGGTATTTATTTTCATCTTCATTATTTCAGGTTCAGAGAGAAGGCTTACGGGGTGACAAGGTGAGTAATGTTCAATAAAGAAGTAGTTCAACTTGTTTAATCACAGGACAGTGAAAATTCAATGTCTGCTGTACCTTATAGTATGATAAAGTAGAATAACAACTGTTTATTAGGAATATTACCGCATTATTAACGGGTTAATAATAGTGTTTCTTAAGCCATCTGATTCAAATCTATTTACCTTTTACCGTGGATTTACCTTTCTTTGATTATTTAGCATTTTATTGTTAAATAAAATAAAAAAATCCTACCGGTCATTTGCTGATCTTACAGTAACTCTTATGTTGTTATTATTATTATTTGTTAAAACTTGCATGTTTTATTTATGTTAACTTATGTTTGATATTTGCACCCTCCTCAAATTCACGCTCCTCCAATTTCAGTGGCATCTCACACGAATGACTTCTACTTAGAATAAAGTATAACTTAATATAATACATACTAACACATACTCGTGTATTTGATGTGTTTTAGGGAGAAGCTGGTCCTCCTGGTCCTCAAGGGCCCGAGGGTCCCCAGGGGCCTCAGGTAAGGATCAGGATTTATGACTTCCTTTTTCCTGCTGATTTTGGGGTATTTTGTTGTTGAGAAATCCAGCTGTTCTGATGCGGTGCTGAGCAGCTCATGAAGACATCAACGTGCCGTTTGAACTGAAGCTGAATGTTTTATTCCTCAGGGTTCTCCCGGGATAACGGGGCAAACCGGGACCCCTGGAGAGTTCGGTCTGAGGGTGAGAAATTTATTTTATTCATCACTTCTCAGTGTCATTTCACTATTTAAACACCTAATGGGAGGACAGACAGGTTGGCTTCACAACTTTCTTTGAAATCATGAGAAAGTAGAACCATCGTTAAACAACAAGTATTTTTGTAGTCACGAGAAAACAAACCTTGCAATGGTTGAATCTCAAAACGATCATTTGTAGAGAAACTCTAAGAAGCCAGTTGAGGTGATACATTTTATCTCAATTTGACTTTTCTTAACAATGACGTGAATGCAAATTGTGGTTTTGGGCTTGTTTTCTTCTCACTTGCCGTAAAGGTTCTCCATCAATGTGGGGCAATGACAGAAAGACAGTCATAAAGCACATTGCATGCATTGTTGTAGTCAGTGTATCTGCTATTAGTTGCTCTAGTCCATCGAGTTTTGACTTAAATGAAATGACTTTGCCTTTTAGAGAACCCATGTAAAACAAAACAGTAATCTGCAGTAATCAGAAATGCATGTAGTCCCTTAACTACACTTATCTTATTCCAGTGGGAATGAAGAAAGCCGATGTTTATTCCTCATAATAATGAGAGCTGAAACTGTAGCTGTTATCAGTGGTTGTAGAATTATCTGCAGACCCTTGTCTCTGGTATTATTTCCCCTCTCTCTGGTCCCATCACACTGGTGTGTAATTAAAACAGGCACAGCGGTTCTGCATGATTTGTTCTTCCAAAACATTAAAAATATTGTGACCTCTTGTCTCTATCGGGAGCAATTAGCTTCTCATCAGCAATATGTTACATTCAACATTAGCAGCTGCTCAGCTGGGCAGCCCCTCTGGACTCAAACTCAGTAACATACTTTTCTACAACCAGAATATAAGAGCTGTCAATGTCAACGCTGGGGATCCATCTGGAAACCTAAGCACGTAGAAACATCTACGTGGGACGAAAATCTCACTCGTCCCCGGCTTGAGCTTCAATCTCAGGATCCATGTATTTATTATCCTCTCAAGAATGATGAGAAAAATTCTGACTTTTTATCAAAATCTCAAAATTCTGACTTTTTATCAAAATTCTGACTTTTTATCAAAATTCTGACTATCGAAAAATTCTGACTTTTTTATCAAAATTATTACTTTTTATGAATACTACTCTGAATAAAATGTGTAATAATCACTCGTCCCCGGCTTGAGCTTCAATCTCAGGATCCATGTATTTGTGATCCTCTCCAGAATGGAAGTAGTCAAAACAAAAAAAGAGAATTTGATGGTATTTTTCTCAAAATCTCAAAATTCTGACTTTTTCTCAAAAATCAAGACTTTTTCTAAAAAATAAAAAAAAATCTGACTTTTTCTGAATACTTAAATGTTAATAATCACTGGTCCCCGGCTTGAGCTTCAATCTCAGGATCCATGTATCTCTGATCCTCTCCAGAATGGAAGTAGTCATCACATACAGAGCATCAACTAGTTCCTGAACAGTGTCCTTCACATGCTGATATCCAAGAGAGGGAGTTACACAGTCACAAGATGGAGGAATAGAAAGCAGTATTCAATGTTTACTTCAGATTAGCTCCACGTCAGAAATGAGCATGCTTGTCATATGTCTATCTCCATAGAGGCTGAATCATCATGTTAATCACATAGCTATCATATGCCTCAAACAGTCCTGATGCTCTTCTAGGTAATCATACATCCTGTCATGTTCACAGCTACAGTTGGGATACCTTTGTTATCATGTGGACTCTGATACTGGAAGAGGACATTCAGGATTTCAACAAAACAAATTAATTATATTACTGTCTGCCTCTTACCTCAACTTCCGCCAGTCATTTCAGCGTGGATTTGTACCCTTAATTGGCTTTTGGAAAGGCAGAGAAAGGGTAGGAATCTGCACAAGCTGCACTGACTGGAGACCACTGCTCATCAATAAGCAGCCCCTGGTTGTCGCTGCACACCTGATCCATGACTAAATGTCCTGCACTCGTTCTTTAGGCGTTGAAAACAGGAGGGAAGTAATTTTTTAGACTTTTCCTTAAAGTTGACAGGGTCACAGCTGTAGGAACAGAATGATAGCAGCAGAGATAAAATACCCTGTCTAGAGCACATTATACACTGGGTGATCACAACATCAATACTACCAAATGAGTATATTTGTAGCGCACATTACACAGAGGGTGATCACTATATGAATACTACTAGAGGAATTACAGCAACTCTCTCTGACAGCGGCTTTGTCCATGCTTCAGCTAAGTGTCGGGAGATTACCGTACTTCATGCTTAATAGTTTGAAAAATCAATAAAACTTTGCTGAGATGTTATTATGAAGTTAAAAACCCTCTGCATATCTTTAATCAAACACCACACATGTACTGTAGTTTGATTTATCTCTCCCCAAAATACAAGTCAATACAAGATGTAAAACTTCTTTCATCATGATTAATCACAGATCATTATTGTGATTACATGTTTTAATCGTCTCACCCCACTACAAACTACACGTTGTCCTTAATATAGCTTATCATACCTAGAGCGGTCACATTGGTTTCAGTCTTCACGATATCTCTGTGCAGCTTCCTAATAACATTTTATTGGCGGTCCCACTGGAGCATTTACAGCCCCATGAGAGGCTCTCTAAGTGAAACCATTACAACAAATGGTGACCTATTTTCTGCAGGTGTGGAGTTGTTATACCTCAGTGAGTGTGGGGGGGGGGGAGCAGTCTGAGAGCAGTGATAATAGGGTGGTCTCCACTGCTGATGGAGTGGGCTTCATGGTTGAGTTGGTATAGATTGAGCCACTCTCTCCTCAGTGGTGTGTGTCGCCGCCGTCTATTCACCTCCAGCCTGAAAGTGAGCTGCCGAATTCAGTAAATAATTCAAGAGCAAGGGCCAGGACTTGTTATATGGGAATCCAACAAAAGAATATAGTGTGCACAAAGTTCATTGTTGTAAATATTAACTACTTTATTCCAGAAAATGAACTTTATTTCTTACTATTTGTAGTTTATAGCGTATATTAAATGTTCAGTTGAACTGTCCCTGTCTGTCTTTCTGCTCGTCATTTCTATATTGTAATCAGGGCCGTCCCTCCCGACAGGCCGATCATGCAGACTGCGTGCAATCAGCCGCTGCGAGGCTTCAATAGCACCCCCCCCCCCCCCGTTGACGCTCGCGAAACAGAGGGCCTCATCATATAACTTTGCGTGGGGCCTCATGTTGGGCCCTGATTGTAATCAACACAATACATCATTTTACAATGCACGATTTAAAGAGAGTTTAACCTTGAGTTGAGTTGAACACACTTAACTTAGAAATAATCATCTGGGAATTAGTCTCGTTTATATGTACCATGTTTTCTTGGTTTTCCACTTTGAGTTTCTATCTTGGTAACATAATGCTGGGTTTACAAATACCACAATGGGCGTAAGAGAAAACACATATTGTGGGGTTTTATATATTTGTTCTTTGTTATCTCATCAAATAACTATGGAAAACATGGCTATCTGCAGCTGCTTGTCTGATAACATTTACTTGTAAATTGAACAATTTGATAGTTTGATAATATGTTATGTAGAAAAGGGCGTGAAATATGCTTTAATTGTTTAGCAAAACTGCTGAGTTCAACACACTTAACTTCAAAATAATCATCTGGGAATTTGTCTCTCGTTTAGAAGCACCTTGAGATGACATTGTTTTTAAAGTGTGCTATATAAATGAAATGTATTATTATACTGTATGTATGTTTTCTTGGTTTTTCTACTTTGTTACCAAAATAGAAACTAATGGGCGTGAGACAAAAAATAAACATATTTCGGGGTTTTATATATATTTTCTTTTTCATCAAATAAAATAACTAGGGAAAACATGTACAGTAGCTACTTCAACCAACTCACCTCATCCATTGCATGTTTTTCATCATTTCTATGTAGTTTTAATTGAATATACATGTTGTATTTCAGGGCAAGAAAGGTGAAGGTGGATTGCCTGGCGTGGACGGGCTTCCTGGAATCCCTGTGAGTACAACTTCACTTTCATGACAAAATAAATGTGCATATGAGTAACACACTTGTTGATAATGACCTCTTAGTTATGCCCGTGCTTGTTCTTCACATCGGGGAGGAGAATTAATTTGGTATTTGAATTGCTCCATATTTAACGTGACCCACAGAGTAACCTCGCTCTCAAAGGTCTCTTCACCGTGTGCTTTGATAAGGGGGAATATAAAAAGGCTAGATTGGAAATGATTAGGACAACCTGTTGATTTCAAACTGCTCCCTGGAGGAAATAGCAATACACTTACCTTTAGGTGCTGTAATACCGCCCTCTAGTGGCTGCTTTCATGCACACTGTCTAGTTGTGTACATAAATAAATACATAACGGTATATATAAAGTACATATATATATATACCTTCAAAAACCATTATATGCAGTGGCAGAATTTAATTAACCACATGTACCTAATTATTAAGTAGATGTTTGAGATACTTGAACTGTCATTTATTGTAAATGTTTACCTCATTTTGAAAGGCTTTAGTTACTTTACAGATCCAGATTATTAGAGAAAACTAAATGTGAATTAACTAATGAATAAACAGTGACATATAATTATATTTTAAAATCATCAGCAAAGTTATTAAAATGATCTCCACATTTACTAACTACGCATCAGTCGTCATAATACTGTAATTTATATACATAATTTAATACATTTAATATATGATATATCTGAAATGTGCCATAAGGCATACCAAAACATTTTGGTACCTACATTTATATATTTTTATGTCAATACTTTTGTAGTTTTATTTTTAATGCCTGACTTATACTTGTAACAGAATATGTTTAAATAGTATTACTGCTTCTACTTAAGTATACAATCTGAGTACTTCACCGCTGGTTATATAAGTATGTTCATTAAAACCTTAAAACCTTCGCAGCAGCTGGCCCTAGGCTCTGGAACACTCTGCCCCTCCATGTGAGGTCGGCCCAGACCCTAGGGGTTTTTAAATCTACTCTTAAAACTCACTTCTTCTCCCTGGCCTTCTAGTCAGAGCGGAGCACGACTCCTGACTTTTCCCTGTGTTTTTTTTTATATATATCTGTTGTAATTTATTGTCTTTTATTGTGATTGTAGTAATGTGTTTTTATTACATGTACAGCACTTTGGCTCGACCAAAAATTGCTTTTAAATGTGCTTTATAAATAAAACTTGATTTGATTTGATCATAACCACGTGATTTATTTACATTATTGTACCTTTTCTTTGTGTTTTTGCAGGGTATTCATGGTCCAGCTGGGACAGCAGGAAGCAAAGGGCAGACTGGACCTCCTGTGAGTCTCTGAGGACACACTCCGTCTTAAACATCATCATTTGACAAATAAATCATGAATTAAACCTGTCTGTCTTCATGCAGGGTCTACCTGGTGAAATTGGATTTTCAGGCAAACACGGGGAGCCAGGGAAGTCTGTGAGTCGGCCTTTTGTTCTGAAATAACAGCATTTGATGTGAATGCTACCTGAAGTCTTGGTGTTTAATCCCTGTTGTTGTTCCTCTGTCACTAAATGTCAAACCTTTCTCATCTTCAAAGGGTCTCTCTGGTAAAGACGGACTGGACGGTCTTCCTGGAAACGGCGGTGCCACGGTCAGTGTGACCTTTAGAAAAAACGTTCCTTTATTTCTGTTCTGTTCTTTATGTCCTCCGTGCTCACCAGAGGTGGGAAGTAGTGGAGTACAAATACTTTACTGTACTTAAGTACATTCTTCTGGTATCAGTACTTTACTCCACTACTTATTTTCCTGACGACTTTTTAATTTGACTTCTTACATTTTGAACCCAAATACCTGTACTTTCTACTTCTTACATGTTGAACACAAATACCTGTACTTTCTACTTCTTACATGTTGAACACAAATACCTGTACTTTCTACTTCTCACATTTTGAACACAAATACCTGTACTTTCTACTTCTTACATGTTGAACACAAATACCTGTACTTTCTACTTCTTATATTTTGAACACAAATACCTGTACTTTCTACTTCTTACATGTTGAACACAAATACCTGTACTTTCTACTTCTTATATTTTGAACACAAATACCTGTACTTTCTACTTCTTACATGTTGAACACAAATACCTGTACTTTCTACTTCTTACATGTTGAACCCAAATACCTGTACTTTCTACTTCTCACATGTTGAACCCAAATACCTGTACTTTCTACTTCTTACATGTTGAACACAAATACCTGTACTTTCTACTTCTTACATGTTGAACCCAAATACCTGTACTTTCTACTTCTTACATGTTGAACACAAATACCTGTACTTTCTACTTCTTACATGTTGAACACAAATACCTGTACTTTCTACTTCTTACATGTTGAACACAAATACCTGTACTTTCTACTTCTTACATGTTGAACCCAAATACCTGTACTTTCTACTTCTTACATGTTGAACACAAATACCTGTACTTTCTACTTCTTACATGTTGAACCCAAATACCTGTACTTTCTACTTCTTACATGTTGAACACAAATACCTGTACTTTCTACTTCTTACATGTTGAACACAAATACCTGTACTTTCTACTTCTTACATGTTGAACACAAATACCTGTACTTTCTACTTCTTACATGTTGAACACAAATACCTGTACTTTCTACTTCTTACATGTTGAACCCAAATACCTGTACTTTCTACTTCTCACATGTTGAACACAAATACCTGTACTTTCTACTTCTTACATGTTGAACTCAAATACCTGTACTTTCTACTTCTCACATTTCCCAAACAGGCTGGTTCCTTTAGTTTGAATGTGTGTTTGGTGGCGTGATCATTATTATTTAGAGTCATTGCGTGCCTATTGATTTGAACACGATCCGTGTATCCATCATTTCCTGGTCTTCTCTAAAGAAGAGGGACCAATGAAAACGTTGTCATGTTGCCGTTGTTCAGCATGGAAACATTCATTAGCTAACAATGACATTATTGTTCTATTAATATAAAGGGAGGTCAGGTACTCTTTAAACAGCTGCTAGTTATGGGTACTTTTTACTGAAGTACATTTCAAAGCCTCTTTACTTTGACTTGAGTAAAGAAGTTTAGTCAGTACTTCTACTTTTACCAGAGTGTTTTTAAACACGAGTATGTGTACTTCTACTTGAATAAAGGATGTGTGTACTTTAACATCTCTGGTGCTCACAGTAACCAAACTCGCTGTAACACTTTAAAACTCAAAACAATGTCTATAAATTATATAAAAGACAATTGTCTAAATGACTGCTTGTGAAAGGAGTTGCCTACAGCGATGAAACCTCAAAGGATTATCACCCAAATCTGCGGTTTGTTATTATGTTTCTTGTGTCTTTTAGCTCATTGTTTTGGTTTTACGTCCCTGATCTAATTCACGTATGAAACTGCAGCCATTTTGAGTGAAAGAAGATCTGAACTGTCGGCTACAAAGAGCAAGAAAGATAGTTTATTTAACTTTAATTAATACATTAATAAACATTTCTAGAAACAAATGCAATGTTAAATAAGTGAACTCATGCAACATATTATTGGAAATGCTAATAAAAACAAAGCATACATATTAATGAATATTGGACTTACAGTATATCATCAAAAACAGGGTTAAAATGGATGCTAATGTCGCTATGTGTCTACTAGATATGTAAACAGGCAACAGTTTGCTAACACGTTCAATTTTATAGATGATGTCAAATATGAATGTATATATATAACATTTATTATTCCTTGAAGCACTGCAATGTTATTAAGGCTTATGACTTCGAAGTCTCTTAGCTTTAAGTCGTAAGTTTGTAAATATGGAAACAGCTGCCTTACCTATAACATATTCTAGACCTGTAGTGTAACTCAAATACAATGCTCAGAAACACGATTAGAAGTCAGCCAATCAGGTTCCAGACATCTGAATCCCTGCCTGCATCTGTTTTTTTTTTTACAAGATTCAGACAAGACCAAATTGCAATTCAGTCAGTGAAAACATGGATTTTTTTAAGAGAACATTGACATTTAAATGTAATATAGTGGGGCTACCTGATGTCTCTGGCAGACACAGGTTTCTGTATACGTCTAAAAGGTAATCTCATGTCTCTGCAGGGTCCCAGGGGAGAGCGCGGAGCAGATGGTTTTGCAGGAAAGGCCGGATCCAAGGTACTGACTTCACGATGTACCCGGAAACCCTGAAGACATATGAGATAGCATGTGTGTTTTCCATATGCAAATCTGACATTTTAACGTGCGCGTGTGTCCCCTCTTTAGGGTGAAGGCGGGCCTCCGGGGCCCAGAGGACCTCCAGGGGAGAGAGTGAGTTACCAGCTGTTGGCTTTTCACAATGTTGTGTAAGACAGTGGTTCCCAACCTTTTTTGTCTCGTGTAACCCTTGAGCTGGTCTCCATCACTCATCTGTGATAATTCGACTACATTTCTTCGTGTATTAAAGCATTTGTTATCGTGTTTAACCCAACTGCTCCTAAATGAAAATCACCTGTATAACTCACATTCAATACAAATGCATTTAAACTTGAAATGTACACTTGTTGTCAGGTAACAAAATGATGTTAAGACATACTTATTTAGGAAGCCAATAATGTCTTTTTTTTAGGAGAACACCCCTCCCCTCTGAACAGTCACTTTTCTCCGTCATATTTGAAAGGAAACATTGTTATTTTCTGTATTTCATGTAAGACCAAAGTTATTTATTTATTTGGCGATGACTGCGTACCCCCTGCGATCCCTTGAAGAACCCCTAGGGGTCCCCGTACCCCCGGTTGGGAACCACTGGTGTAAGATAATGAAACATGGGTCATCCTTACATTTGTGTTTTTGTCGTGTTTCACAGGGAGTGTCTGGTTCCTCTGGTCTGTCAGGTGTGGCTGGAGGGAGAGGAGACAGAGGCGTCCCGGTGAGTGAGATTGTTTATCAAGAAACACCAGAAATATGTTTAAATATGTTAATTAATCTCCACCAGGGGGGATAATTCGTTTGGACCAATCATAGTAATATTGTGTTTACACATCGATGACTTTAGGCTCAAGGATCTTGTGGTTGCAGTTTACAATGTTAGACAAAAAAGGGTTTTAATTGAGTGTATTCAACTGTTTTTGACTGCTGGACCCTTCTCTTAAAGGGCCGGTACGCGCGCCACAAGTGATCAATAACTGCTTCAGTAGCAAAAGGCATTTCCGGCATTTATTTTAGGCCAAAATCAACCTTTACTGGTTGTGTTTCAGGACCCCATTTGGCCTTTGTCGAGACTCAAAAAAAAAAACTGACTTCCATAGAAATGTTTGCTCTCCTTTTGAACCAATCTGCAGATTCATCCACACTCATTCTGTCTTATACTATGTACACATATTTTCTTAGTCCTGCAATTGACTATTCTGCTTATTGTGGTTTACCCTTTCCCTGTAGTGTGTTATATAGGTGTGAGTGTTGCATTTTAATATCTGCAAAACAGGATGGGGAGAACTCCTTAAGGTCCTTCTTATTTGATTATACAACAGAAAACCTTTCTGGTGAAATAAAGTCCAGTGAAATTAACTTTTCCCTAATTTGCCCGGTAACCTGTGGGACCCTCAGAGGCTGGTCCCTGAAAGACACTCTGATACACACTGCTCTGCACTTCTCCAATTTAAAAAGATTGCATTTAAATTGAAATTGGGTCTGTGATATCAGTAGAACTTTTATTTAATTTGATCCAAGGGGAAAATCTTTTTTGTTAATTATTTGTTGGCTTCTCTTTCATAGGGAGAAAGAGGAGTGGCTGGACCTTTCGGACCAAAAGGAGACAGAGGAGACAAGGTAAATAATCTGTGTGTGTTTCACTAGTGGTTACGGAGTGTTCTTCTTCTGTCTCAGTAATGGTCGCCCTGCATGTGATCTTTAATGAGGTCATTAGTATGCAGACAGTGTGAATGTTGTGTCTCTCGCCTCAGGGTGAAGTCGGAGCGAGTGGAAAACCTGGGATTCCAGGAAATGTGAGTATCTTTTACTTTTCTGTTTTCAGTGTGCATCTTAACCCACTGACAAGTCACTACCAAAGTATGATGAAGGACATAGAGCCAGTTATTTAGATATTTGTTCAGATATACATTTATTTTGGACATAATAAGTAAAAAAATAAGCAAACAAATGTATTAAATCAGATGTCTGAAAAGTGTTATTGGCCCTAACTGATGACCCTTTTCCTTACAGGTAGCAAATGTAATCCCTGAGCCTGGTGAACCTGTGAGTACACTTCTTTTATTACACATAAAACATGTTTTTAGTAACACTTAAATTATGTATATTTGGTTTGAGATGTGATCCCGCTCAAGGTTTCATAAAGATCACTTCTGTTCTCCATCTTGTTTTCTTGTACTTCTTCATTTTAATTTGAACTTCTGGTGGTGGTAGAATAAAGTATTCAGATCATTATGAGATTAATAATTGAATTGTTTGCTTTTGCTTGTAGGGGATGCCTGGAGAGAGAGGAGAGAAAGGGGAGCAAGGGACCCCAGGACTTAAGGTGAGTTTTACTCTCCATTTCTTGCTAATTTATTTCTTTGCAAAGCAATACACACATGTGTCCACTAGGTGTCAGCAGAGATTAGAGAATGGCAGCCGTGCTACAGTAATGTGACTCAGGGGTCTTCCACTAACTGGGCTGTGGAAATTAAACTGAACTCACAATCAAAAAACATTTCCCCACCCCTGATCTACCCTAATTCACCCATCATTATTTTACCACACATGTATTGTAATATTTGGACAAAAATAAGTGGAAAAAACGTATTTATATTAAGTCAATTCAAGCTTTATTGGCATGACTATATCAACAGCATAGTATTGCCAAAGCGCATTGTAATAATAATACGTTTATTTATTATAGCACCTTTCACAGAAATCAAATTCACAAAGTGCTTCACAAGTAAGAACAAAACTTAAAGGGGACCTATCATGCAAAATGCACTTGTTGATGTCTTTTATACATCAATATGTGTCCCCGGTGTATCGGGGAAAATAAAACCCTCTCTCTTTTCCTCCATACCCAAATCTTTTAAAAACGGGGGTACAACGAGCGGATACAGATTTGCTGCCGATATGACGTAAAATCGGCAGCGGACCCACAGAGAGTTGCTATCAGAAACAATGCCTGACGTGTTTTGGACGTAATCTCGTCTTTGTTTACATTAGCATCGCTAACACTCAGAGCTAACCTGTACTGGAGAGCACATGTGTTTTAAAAAGCACCTTGTGATAACCCTGCGAGAGAAAAAGCATTTGAGCTCCATACTGTTTCAGAAATAATCCTTGATGTGGTTTAGAACAGGATGGCGTTTTATCACAGCAGAATTTAACTTTATCTCCAGTAGAATTCTGATCAGGCATTAGCTCCGCCTCCTTTTTTTTCAAGCTAAGGACCCAACATCCGCGCTTCTCTAACAGCTGAAATAGAGGGGTTTGAGCAGAATGAGGCACGGCTACAACGGGGGATCTGTTTGGGATTTTAAGCACAAAACTTCACAGACATGTTTTCTATAGGTATGGCCCTACAATATATGTTTCCAATATAGCATGATAGGTCCCCTTTAAAATGAAGACCACAGGAACATGAATACAATAACCACATGAGGCAGAAATGTAAGGTTAACATAAAAACAAAACACAGACCACGTGGAGTCCCGAAAGGAACAGACATAAGAACAGAACACATCACACACATTTCAAATAGAAATAAAAGCCAATGTTAAAAAAGATAGATAGGTGGTGCAACAGTAAAACATACAAAGTTGTATGTAAATAAAAAACAAGGAAAGAAGCTGCACATAACTGAGAGATATCATCAACTAAATCACAATTATGGTAATACAAATAATATCAATGTGTACACAACAGTCTCACTCAATTAAAATGTGTGTTTCCTCCCAAAGGGCCAGGGAGGGCTTCCTGGAGAACAAGGCTTTAAGGGACCAGCTGGGTTGGCGGTACGTTTCTGATCTTCCTGTAACTCAGTTTACTGTACAGCTGATTTATTAAAAACACGTCTAATTTGACTTCTTTATTGCAGGGTCCTAATGGAGAGACTGGACTGACGGGAGAGACTGGACGAGTTGGAGACCCTGTGAGTTTTCTGTTCATATCTAATACACTTTTTCACGCTGTACGTAGTGTGTTTTATTAACTCGTATATGATGTGTTTCTCTCAGGGTCCACCGGGTATAGCTGGTCCTTCGGGTCTTCGTGGATTACCAGGGAATGTGGTGAGTCTTTCTAAATCTTTACAGACACTTCAGACAAAACCATTATTTTTTTAAAACACTGATCAATGAGGATTCGGAATATTCTCCTATTCTTTCAGACACATGGAATAAAAAACATCCAAAATACACATTTAGGTTATTTCTTTCTGTCTAACTTTATTTGCGTATCTTAATTTCTCTACAAATAGTTAGCATTGGATGTCTCATTAGCGTATTCTAATATAACATTTTAGTAAACCTGTAATACAGAAAATAATATCATTCCTGTACGGCATCCACTGTGGAAGTTATGGGGTTATTAATTGTATATTTGTTTACCCTATTCACCTATAGTGTCGTGCAAATTGTACAATATATACTTTAAAGGCTGTTTTCTGTGTTACCGTAACGTTTTCTAACTCTTCACTTCAGTAACACTTACACAAACCATTCCTATCTATATTCTGAAGGTTGTTACTGAGGGGTTGGTTATCATTCATAGCATGATTTAAACATTTCATTTACTTTAATGACTGTTTTCACTATTTTCTGATTTATACCAAATGATATCAAAAGCCCTTCTGTATAAACTTTCTTCTAACATGTTAACCAAACAAAATGATAGTTTTTAACATGGCATTATCCAATGTTCAAGTTATCTCTTCTTAAAATGTATTCAAATGAACACATAACCAAGAAAGTAAGGCTTCACTTGCATTTAAACAGACATTTTCAGGTATTGTTCAATAAAATGTTTAATCTTAATGTAAGTAATTGACTCGGACAGTTTTTTAAGTGATATCTATAATGTAGTTTAAAATATGTATCCCTGTAGTCTCTCCTTTAAACTAAACATTTCTCTGTCTTCAGGGCATCCCCGGGATCATCGGGCCTCCGGGTCCATCCGGACAGAGAGGAGACAAGGTCAGTCGGATATTTGTAAATTGTAAATATACTGCAGGGGTGTACACACTTCTTTCACCGAGGGCCACATACAGAAACATATTCGAAGGGCTGGGCCGCTCACTAGAGGTTTATTGGCTCATAAGTGAAGTTATAAGTTGGCTAAATTAATCAAATGTAAGTAAATGATGCTGCAGCCTACATGACAGCTTTCTACAGGGTTTCATTTAGTTAGTTAGCAGCTCATCCCTTAAAACAGAAGCCTTAGATTGCTTATCATAAGAGGAAATAGGAAGGGTATATTTAAAGGTTGTTATGTCATTAAATGATTGGGCTTTTTTCTTATCAACTTAGATTTGTTAGAATGTCTTTTCAACTTGAATTGACTGAAAGTGGGCTTATTAACACATGAACACTGCTTAACATATGTTTACAGATATATGTAACCCTCATGTTGTGTTGGGGTCTCCCGTGACCCGTTTCAAGTTAAAATGATATAATAACTACGCTTTAGTTTTTTGATCGGAACAAGGCTTCATGATATCCTCCACAACAGATATATAAACACTCATTTTGACAATTTAAGCCAAGTCTGAAAGTCTCTAAAAAAATAAAGTGTATTATTTGGTGTTCGGCAGAATTGTTTTGGGTGACACGGCGTCAAATTTGGCCCAATCAAGATTCATCTTTGACTTTAGACACCCCTCCCCACCCCCTTCATCAACTGTAACAATCATTTAAAACTTATTTTGTGGAGATTGTATTCTAATATGAGTCTATTATAGTCAGATAACGTAATGATCCACCGTCTTCACTATAGGAACTATAATGAGTGAATTGAATCACATGCTTTACTTAAATATGTCATGTTTTTTGGGGCCATAAAATAAAATTACAACAGGATTGTACGGTTATGAATGCATAATAAGTTAGTTATGATGTAGTTAAAACAATATTGGATGATAGTCATTACTTATGAGTGTTTTGGACTGAGATAAATCATGGGTCAAAATTGACCCGCGAACACCATGACCGGTAACAGCTTTTGAACACAACACAAGGGTTAAGAAGTACAATACAAGACAAGCTCAAGTTTCATTTGTGGACCGCATTCCATTATACTTTTTATAATTTGGCCCACAGGCCGTAGTTTGGACACCCCGGATATACTGTATGTGTGTTTGTTGACTAAGGGACAGTTTGAACCGACACCTGAGCTCTGCTAAGTGCCCCGATAAACATTCTTGTTTGTCATCTTGCAATCTACTTATTTATCGAAATAGTTATCACCGCAATAAACCGTATTTAATTTTGTCTTAAAGGTAGGGTAGGTAAGAATGGAGAAACCAGCTCGAGTGCGCTAGAATTTGAAAGTACGCAGCCGAAACAAATCTGCCCCTTCCTTCAGACTTCCTCACAGAGCCCCTCCTCCAACACACACGAACGCGCACATGACCAATGAGGGCACGAGATAAGTTTGTGCACAGATGGAAGGCTGACAGGCAGGTAGGCCATCCAGTTATTTTAGCCGGGCCGGCTCAGATGATTGGTCGTGCTTTTTACAGTACCACGGCTTCCACAGATCAAAGCATTTAATGCAGGGGTGTCAAACTCAATTTCATTGCGGGCCACATTCGCATAAAGGTTGCACTCAAAGGGCCGGTTGTAACTATATAAATATATAATATATATATATAAAATAATGTATTATATTAGATTATTGCCTCTGAATTGGATTATTATCGGATAGGATAAAAACTTAGTAATTAACTACGTCTGAAAGCAGAAGTCCAGGGCAAGTAATTGCAAGTCTCTTCAGTGCGCATGTCACAAAACGAGATGCATTGTGGGACATGTAGTTTATGGGCAACCTGCTTCTGTAAAGTGGCATGTAACCGTATAATAAACGTATTATATTCTTTGCAAGCTTTTGCGGGGCCACATAAAATGAAGTTGCGGGCCGGATTTGGCCCCCGGGCCTTGAGTTTGAGACCCCTGATTTAATGTATTCATTGCTATCAGGATGCTAAGAGCATTCAATGGAATATAACAAGTGTTTCTGAAGTGAATTACCTACCCCACCTTTAATGTACATTATTTAATTTCATATTCGGTTCTTGTACATCATATTCTATTTACATGTATATAGACTTCTTGCACTATTTTTGTATTTTATTATATATGTTGCATTGTTGGAGGAGCTCAGGTCAGAATAATTTCATTGCCATTTCTACACTGTGTGCATATTTGGTTGGTTGGTATTGTGATAGTATTCAGATGATGTGCATTGGTTTGGCTCAGAGAGCTGAGAAGAGAAAGAGAGTGACCTTGTGTGTCCTCCACTTTATTGTTCCAGCAGAAGAATGTATTTCCATCCTGCAGCTACACACATTCAGAAACCTTTCCCACCCTCTCTCCCTGCTTTTACTGTCTTTGTTCTTTCTATTTCATCTTTTGTTCTTGTTCCCGTTGTGTTGTTACTGTTCTTCCACTAAAGTAAGGACGACAGGCGGTGGATCGCTCACTGATTCATAACGACACACTGCAATAAAAAGGCCATGTTAAAACCAGAATAATTATGCATTTTGAGAAGATACAGATTTGATTAGCTCCTACTTCGCCCTGAGGCCTTTTTAAAAGTGCAATAAACTCCCTGTGCAGTGAGATTATAAGACGTTATACGAGTTTTTGAAATATAAAATATATCTGGATGCTAGAAAAGAGATACACGTCTTGTTGTAAGCCAAATATACTCAAAACAAGCTGTCAATTCTTCTTTGACCATTTGTTGTTTCCCTCATTTAAAGGGGACCTATCATGCAAAAGTCACTTTGTGATGTCTTGTATACATAAAGATGTGTCCCCGGTGTGTCCCCGGTGTGTCCCCGGTGTGTCAGGGAACTCACGCAGCGTCAGAAAATAAAACCCTCTCTCTTTTCCTCCGTACCCAAATCTCTAAAAACGGGGGAACAACGGAGCTGATCCAGATTTGCGTCCGATATGACGTAATATCTGAAATGTGGACCCACGGCCCAATCAGAAACGTTGCTATCAGAAACAATGCCCGACTGTTTTGGACGTAATATGGTCGGTGTTTACATTAGCATCGCTAACACTCAGAGCTAACCTGTACTGGAGAGCATGTGTGTGAAGAAGCAGGAAATAAAAAGGAACTCACCTTGTGGTATAACCGGCAAGAGAGAAAGCCTTTGAGCTCCATACTGTTTCAGAGAGAATCCTTGATAATCCATGATATGGCGTTTCATCACGGCAGCATTTAGTTTAGACAGTAGCTGCCGGGTCCCGCATGAGCTCAGACCCCTACTTTTTTTTAATCAATTTTTTATTTTTTAAAGCTTTATACCCCAAATCAGCACTTTAGAAACAGGAAGTGAAATAGAGGGATATGAGGCATGGCTAGAATGGGTGATCTGTTTGGTATTTTGAGCAAAACACTTCATAGACATGTTTTTTATATATTTTTGATATATCTGAGACCTATGCTATTACCTAAAAATAGCATGATAGGTGACCTTTAAGTAAAAGGATCTTAAAACAGAGCTTTTATTCTTGAATTAGAAAGATATCTGGATGCTAAGAAAGTTGAAAAATCTCTTGAAATAAGCAGAAAAACACAGATTTTAAGCACAATTATAAGCCAAATATACCCAAAACTAACTGTCAATTCTTCATTGTTTCTTATTTACTTAAATTATTTTTTAAATTGAAGTTGATAACCATATTAAATGAGCATTTACATATCTGTTTTCCTGCTCCATGCTGTGGTCCTGACCTATTTTCCCAATAGATGTATTAGACATTGATAACAATTAGCTTTCAAAGATATAAACCAATAGAAAGAGCCTCTGAGGCGCCGGCTGATGTTCCTCCTGTAGCCTCGACAGACAATAACGTCTCTCTGTTCCCTTCAGGGTGAAGCAGGTAAACCGGGACAGGCCGGACCTGCTGGCCGAGGCGGAGACCCCGGACTGACCGGACCCCCCGGACCCCCAGGGAAAGGGAAAGAGGGACAAAACGTAAGAAATATATATCTTCTCTGTCTGTGTTTTTAATTATTGACCATGACATCAAGTCAAATTCCTCGTACGTGTCAACCTACCTGGTGATAAACCTGTTTCTGTTTCTGATTCTGATCTTCAGTCACATTTTATTTATTACATAGTAAACCTTAAACATCTTGTTTTGCCGGATAACGTTCAGCCATGTTTTCAGTGACAGGATTTTTGTAAGGTTTGTGGCATTTTCAGGGAAACGTCCAACAGATCAAAGTGAAATGGATTTATGAGAAAAAACAAACTACATTTTTGTTATATAATGGATCATGTGTAACGTGGTGTTCTTTATTTAGTTTGATGATAAGATTTAAAGGAAAGGTTCTCTGCTTTTAGCCAAGACTTGTGTATACAAATATATCGTTTTTTATGATAAAATAATACTGAATGAAAACGATTTGACACATTTTGGAGAAACGTTTGGCTAAAAAGCACGTTTTTTCTTATTGTAACATATTAAGTCTTTGTTTATGCTGTTTATTATATATAGTTCTTTAGAGATAAAACAGTATTCCATGTGTCCAAAGATTAAATATAGTATGATAGTATGATTTATGTCAAAGAAGCTACAAGGAGAAAAATGTGGCACCTTTGAACTTTAGCAGGTTGAATATCAATGCAGTGTAATTGGAAATGTAATTAACATAATAATCCCTACTACTACTATAAGTGTGATATCTCATGTGATCTAAGAGTGGATAGTGGTACTGTTAGACACTTGTCCAAAGCCCCTACCAGATTAAAAAACTTAAGACCCCAGAATATATTTTATTGCACATTTCCCTCATAATAAATATAGTAGTTGGGCAGTTATGGGTTCCTAAAAATGTAACTGTGGCAGCTTGATGAAAGGTTTTAGTCCAGTCAAATTCATTTAACAACCAGCTGTTCCTTTTGATGTTCCTTTAAAGCCTGGAGGTTGGAATAGAAATCAGTGCCATATCTACTTATAGATCCTGCAACATGACATCAAATGGCATTATTTTGTGCGCATTTTATTATATATTTGGACACGTTTGCATGTCCACTAGAATAAAGGATGTCTGTGTTAAAAAAAGCTTTCTTCCACGGTGTTCATAAGTCACATTTGATAACAGAAATGCATCTCCATCACTTCCATCAGTAGTTGAAGCCTCATTAATGTCTCTTTTCCACACGTGTTGTGCGTGTAATCCATGCTGAACCACAAACACAATATGTTCAGCTGTATGGAGGAAAAAGAGGCTGCGTTGGCACATTTCCACTCTGCACCTCGACATGTTTCTTCATCATTTTTCACCCCGACATGTGGCCGTGCTGCTGACGAGGCAAACAGGAAGAACATTGTTAAGACATACAGGATCACATTAAAGCAACACACACTGTTTTGTTTTTTTACAGCTGCCAGGTGCGCTCCCCCCAGGCCTTTTTCACACTGAACAACAGCGGCTCACACACACTTTTATATATGTAATTATTTATTAGAAAGAGGTGTAATAACAGTGTGATTTATGTCATGTGTGGTGTTACAGGGGGATCCAGGACCACAGGGAATTCAAGGACCTTCAGGACCAAAGGTAATGTCATTGCAGAAGTTAGCAAGACGTTTGTTGTTAGAAGAGTGTTTTTTTTTTTAATCATGCACAGGTGCTTTTTTGTTGACGTGAAAAATGCTTTCTTCTGGCACGGAGGAGAAAAAACAATTCATTTTTGTTGAAAGCAGCAAAAGCAATTTCTATGTCCACTGCACTGTGACCGCTGCTCTGATTCTCTTTGCTGAGAGGAGTTTGATGTCGGGGAGGGGGGGGCGGGGGTCCAGAGGCAAGGAGAGGAAGGACAGCGGGGCATTTTCTGGATTGATGGTGTCAAATCGCTCACCCTCATCACCAATACCGTTTTCTCTTCTTGGTTCCAAAATGTCAACGGCAGATTGTAAAAAAAGGAAAGACGTTTGATTAAAACCCGAGGTGACATTTCTGGGATCAGAAGGCATCGCTGAACTTTTTCTCAGGGATTCTTAGCCAAAACATTACGGCTGAACTGATATTATCTGAGTTAACTTTGTTTTCTTTCTTTCTCCCAGGGACAAACCGGGTCACGAGGAGAACCGGGGTCACCGGGAGACAGAGGATCAATAGGAGAGGGAAAAGTGGGACAACAGGTAGGAGCTTCAATGCATTATATCATTCCACATCCCACATTTAAAGGTCACCTATTATGCTAAATCAATTTTTCTACATCAACATGTGTCCCCTCTTCTTCATGTCTCTTCTTCATCAACATGTGTCCCCTCTTCTTCATGTCTCTTCTTCATCAACATGTGTCCCCTCTTCTTCATGTCTCTTCTACATCAACATGTGTCCCCTCTTCTTCATGTCTCTTCTACATCAACATGTGTCCCCTCTTCTTCATGTCTCTTCTTCATCAACATGTGTCCCCTCTTCTTCATGTCTCTTCTACATCAACATGTGTCCCCTCTTCTTCATGTCTCTTCTACATCAACATGTGTCCCCTCTTCTTCATGTCTCTTCTACATCAACATGTGTCCCCTCTTCTTCATGTCTCTTCTACATCAACATGTGTCCCCTCTTCTTCATGTCTCTTCTACATCAACATGTGTCCCCTCTTCTTCATGTCTCTTCTTCATCAACATGTGTCCCCTCTTCTTCATGTCTCTTCTTCATCAACATGTGTCCCCTCTTCTTCATGTCTCTTCTACATCAACATGTGTCCCCTCTTCTTCATGTCTCTTCTTCATCAACATGTGTCCCCTCTTCTTCATGTCTCTTCTACATCAACATGTGTCCCCTCTTCTTCATGTCTCTTCTTCATCAACATGTGTCCCCTCTTCTTCATGTCTCTTCTACATCAACATGTGTCCCCTCTTCTTCATGTCTCTTCTTCATCAACATGTGTCCCCTCTTCTTCATGTCTCTTCTACATCAACATGTGTCCCCTCTTCTTCATGTCTCTTCTACATCAACATGTGTCCCCTCTTCTTCATGTCTCTTCTTCATCAACATGTGTCCCCTCTTCTTCATGTCTCTTCTACATCAACATGTGTCCCCTCTTCTTCATGTCTCTTCTTCATCAACATGTGTCCCCTCTTCTTCATGTCTCTTCTTCATCAACATGTGTCCCCTCTTCTTCATGTCTCTTCTTCATCAACATGTGTCCCCTCTTCTTCATGTCTCTTCTTCATCAACATGTGTCCCCTCTTCTTCATGTCTCTTCTTCATCAACATGTGTCCCCTCTGTGGAAAGAGACTCTAAAGTTTCAGGAACAAAGATTCTCTCTCTTTTTGATCCATTTCTATAAAAACCTGTCTGAAAATGAGCTGATCAGATTTTGGCCACTTTGTGATGTCATAACGATGTTTTGTCTTGTGTAACCATTAGCCAATCACCAACCAAGGTAACCCCCCCCCCCCACCTTATCACCTGAATCTCCTCCTAGAGCACCATTGAGTTCTTTGTAACCAAATCTCTCTCAGAGGGGCGTGGGGAGGGGCTCCTTATTTTCATCTAAAGTAACAGACAGAGAATCAGCACTTTGGAAACAGGGCTGAAACAGAGGGGATTATGGGTAATGCTGCAATGATCTGTTTGGTGTTTCAGACAAACACTTCAGAGACATGTTCTGTATATATCTGAGACCTATAATATATTGATGAAAAACAGTATAATAGGAGACCTTTAAATAGCCTGTGTCAGCTGTTATCTGCAGCATAGATTTGAAGTGTTATGGCCCTACTCTACCTTATAATTGGATCAGTAGGCCGTTATGTATAAGTGACCTGGAGAGAGGTTCACTTTGCTTATGCGACGACCTCTAGTGGTCATAGTAATTATGACAGGAGCAAATGAAGAATTTAGGTTGGTAGACAGTACATGTGATTAATTGAACATATGCTACGTTAGTTAAAGGGACCCTGTTATGCTTTTTGGGGTTTTCTCTTTCTTGTATTGTGTTATATAGGGTTTTTGTGCATGTAAATGGTCTGCAGAGGCTAAAATCTCAAAGCTCCCACCAGAGGGAGTTCCTCTCCCTTACAGAGTTGAAATCTGCAATGTTTTTTCTTTTGTAGGGGCTTGTGGGAAAAGATGGACAACCTGGACCTGCGGTAAATATTATCATCTTAGACTCATTTTAAAAAGGTTTATTTTTATAAAAATGTCTAATATCTGTCTTTCTTGGTTCCAGGGCTTGAGGGGTCTAACAGGAGTCGCCGGACAAATGGGTCCTGCAGGACATAATGTGAGTGCAGAAATAACAAAACAAATGGATAAAGAATTTGAAGATGTTGTCTTGTTTCTTGAGACATGGATCCATTAGAGCCTCATTCAGTCCACAGCTAACCACACTGCATTGATTGTTGGCATATTGAATAATAAAATGACGAGATAAACGTTTTATAAAACTTTGTCAATCGTCATACTTTGAACAATTTATTGGGTTACCTTTTATACTTTAATTGTGATGTCATTGAATTTCTTTGTATTTATTTTTAACAAGTCTTTATTTCGTGTATTATAAATGTATGTATATTTATATATAGTATAATATTTATGTCATTTCATTACCTTTGCATCGAATGCAGGGTTTACCAGGACGGCCGGGAGACAAGGGATCACAAGGAGATCCTGTAAGTACAAAAAATACATTATCGATCAACTAACATGTCAAATTTTGCTTAAATAAAATATTGAACTTGTTGTATCATGTATATATCATATTTAACTTACATATACTGCTTTTGATACATGGCAAATTAACTTATTCTCATTAAAACCATAATCTTTTACTGAAACTTACCAAGTACTTATTTTATTTTAAATGCACCCTCCTTGTATGGGAACATTATTTTGAAGGAAATAGGGTTGAAATGTGCATTTTACAGCATAGAGAGCTGCAGTTCTCTCATTGATTAACTATTGTATGTCCTGTCTCTCAGGGAAAGGCAGCAGACCTCTCTGACCTGGATCTGAAGGTAAGGAGGAACATTTCCTCCCGTCTCAAATGAGAAAGATTTTACATTGAGAGTAATAGCCTGATGAAATCCCTGTGTCTTCCATGTTACAGGATGTTTGCTCAGACTGCCCTGCAGGTCCAGCTGGAGCACCCGGTCTCCCAGGAGTCCCCGGAGAGAAAGGACACATCGGACCTCCAGGGAAAGATGGTCAAGACGGTTATCAAGTACGACACGTTCATTAATATTCAACCATAACCTCACATCGCCTGGTAAAGGATTACAACATGTTCTACCAGGTCCAGGGGTCTTCACCTACAAACTGTCCCTCAGAAAAACTCACACCAACCATGAGAGAAATGACCACAAAGAGACAACAAATGACCACAAAGAGACAACGAAGAGACTCTGAACTGTGAAATGGGGCAAAACAGCCACAAAGAGACACAAAACAACTACAAAGAGACTCCACTTGACTACAGAGAGACTCCACTTGACTACAAAGAGAAACAAAATGACCAAAAGAGACACAAAACAACTACAAAGAGACTCCACTTGTGAAAGTAAATGCACCTAAAATGACACACAGAGACACACAAGCCATAGAGTGATGAGTAAAGACTGCAAATATACACACAGAAATAAATATATGTGTGTCTTGCTCATACTGTATGAAGTAGCCACAAATCAACTATTAAAAGACTCCAAACAACAACAAAAATATGTAAAACAGATACAAAGAGACAACGAAGAGACTCTGAACTGTGACATGGGGCAAAACAGCCACAAAGAGACACAACACAACTACAAAGAGACTACACTTGACTACAGAGAGAAACAAAATGACCGTAAGAGACACAAAACAACTTCAAAGAGACTCCACTTGACCTAAAGAGACACAAAACAACTTCAAAGAGACTCCACTTGACCTAAAGAGACACAAAACAACTTCAAAGAGACTCCACTTGACCACAAAGAGACACAAAACAACTTCAAAGAGACTCCACTTGACCACAAAGAGACACAAAACAACTTCAAAGAGACTCCACCTGACCACAAAGAGACACAAAACAACTTCAAAGAGACTCCACTTGACCACAAAGAGACACAAAACAACTTCAAAGAGACTCCACTTGACCACAAAGAGACACAAAACAACTTCAAAGAGACTCCACTTGACCACAAAGAGACACAAAACAACTTCAAAGAGACTCCACTTGACCTAAAGAGACACAAAACAACTTCAAAGAGACTCCACTTGACCACAAAGAGACACAAAACAACTTCAAAGAGACTCCACTTGACCACAAAGAGACACAAAACAACTTCAAAGAGACTCCACTTGACCACAAAGAGACACAAAACAACTTCAAAGAGACTCCAATGCACCTAAAATGACACCCAGAGACTCAAAAGCCGCCGAGTGATGAGTAAACACTGCACATACACACACACAACATGTAGTATGTAGTAGAGGTAGTGGCCCCTGTAAACATTGAAGAGTCTCCACTCAGTGAGGGATGAGGTCTCCATCACGTTTGTCATCATCAGTCACGCTTGGTATGATCCGTGTGACGGATGGAGGCTCTGCTCCATTAACCAGGCCCTCCTCTGGGGGCCACAGTGAGGGATTAGGACCCCCAGACAGAGACTGATGTTCTGCTGTGTTGTTACAGGGCTCTCCGGGAACAGCTGGACCTCAAGGGCCCCCTGGAGCTGATGGAGCAAAGGCAAGTTAACACAATAAACTCCACCTTGATCGCTCCCAAAGGGCCGATTAGATGCTTTTGTCAACAATGTTCAGCAGGCACTGCATGATGTCCCAAACACAACACCGTTGGTGCTACATCCACTTTCTAATAACTGTGAACATATTTCCTTTGATGAACTGTGTTTCACGTAGGGCTGCTCGATTATGGCAAAAATCATAATCACGATTATTTTGGTCAATAATTGATATCACGATTATTAAATACGATTATTCATTGACTTTGAAAACATCAATTTATTGAACTTTAAAACAAATAATAATTTGAACAGTATCTTTTTAACTGTTGATTACCCTGAACGTATAATTCAACTGAAAAACCAATACACAAATAAATTAAATAATAAATAAATAATAAATTAAATAATAAATTAAAATAAATTAAATAAATTATATAAATAATATCAAAATAATAAATACAAAGATCAACAAATATTTTGGAGCGCACTTCCACAAGCTATTAAACATATATAAATATGATAAATACAAATAAATTAGACTAAAATTAATTAGATCAAATATGCACAACCTAGCAAAGCTAAATAATAGTTTGATTATGTTGTTTTTGTAATTGTGGCAGGCCAAAATATGATTAATTGCACAGCCCTAGTTTCACGTGGATGCTTTCCTCCTGAAATATAACATTTTGTCTCGTTTTCTGTTCACCTCAGGGTATTAAAGGTGATGGAGGACCCCCTGGGGGCGCTGGAGACAAAGGAGACAAGGTATATTTGTTCTATTACAAGTTTCACGCTTATCGGTTGCTTCCCCTCCTTTCTCTCTCTGTGATTAAAACAAACCGTCATCAGGATATTGTTATAAGATTCAGATTTGTGTATTCGTCCCGCAGCGGGGACATTTATGCTTTTACAGCTAGTAGAGAAGAAAGAGTAGGTTTTACATATTATTTAATAAGGCAAGCAGACGTTAAGACATATTTTTAAATAATTTAAAACAATTAACAAACAAGTCCACCATGTATTGAAGCTGGATAACACATTTTAACTACATTGTAAGAACAAGTTAAAGCGTAAAAAGTGTATATTGCACACAGTTTATATGAGTTTTATGTATAATTGACCTACTTTTGATCACTTTCTCCTCCATTATCAGGGTCACCCGGGACCTCCAGGTCACCCAGGTGCTGCTGGAATGATGGGAACAGCTGTAAGTCGTTACGCTGGGCTTAATTATGTGTCCTTATGAGCCTAACATGGTCTTATTTATTTGACCGTTGTATTTCTTCTAACCCCCACTGACACGCTCTCTTTCCTCTTTCAGGGTAACGATGGTCAGCCGGGTCCTCTCGGCCCCCCGGGGTCCCCTGGAGAAAAGGTGAGGATGCACTTTGTGCCATTATTATTTTTTAACACTCTTTTTTTATTGTCCTTTTTGTAAACATTCAGACATAACATACATACGTACAACATAAACACGCATACGTACTCAAATGTGTGCAGACTAGTTACTGCTCATATAACTACATCTCTCCATGGGTGACAATATTCACCTTAATCATGTAGCAAGATATCTATGTGTATCTCAGCTTACATACCGATTACTTAAATAAAAGCACAGAGAGAACATTAATAAGAATAATACATTATAATCATAATGGCCTGAGGTGTGGTCTCATTACAACGAGAAACATCAAATAGAAGGGAAAGAAAAATACACATATATATATATATATATATATATATATATATATATAAATCATAATCACGATTATTTTGGTCAATAATTGATATCACGATTATTAAATACGATTATTCATTGACTTTGAAAACATCAACTCAGGGCCCACATAAGAATCAAAAAAAAGTTTGCGGCCCACATTCAACCATAAACAATACGGAGGCTAAATAAAGTTCTGATTGGTCAATTCAGAACATGTGACACATTTCCAAGTCCAGTAGAACAGACCGCTGTCAAGGACTGTGATTACCGTTGCTAAGGAGAATCGAGAAAGAGAAAGGAAAAGAGGTTCAAATAAAAAAAATCTCAATAATGAAATGTTTCCACACAAATCATAAGGTTTTGCTAATTATTTGGCGGCCCACTTGCAATGCCTTTGCGGCCCACTAGGGGGCCACGGCCCACAGGTTGGGATCAGCTGATATATAGTAATAATAATAATAATAATAACAAATACAAAAATAAAAAGGGGTTGTTGCCTTCTATAAGTTAACCTCACAGGGCTGTCAGGGGTAGCAAACATTTTGCAGAAAGGTATAACGGAAAGATATTCCAATTAAGACATTATCTCGCTAAATAAAAATGTGCCATTCACTACAAAAACTCGAAATCTTGCCAAGTATTTTCATCTAATATCTAGTCAGAATATGTCTTTACACCTGATTTAAGACATAATAACTTCAGAAGTAACACTGCAGTGAGATATCGGGTCTTATTTTTAGACGATGCATCATCTTATTAAGTCAAAACATCTTATTTTGAGTTGCATCTCAGATGAAACACATATTTTTTCACATATGTATTAGAAAATCACCAACTAACTTCAGAAAACAGAAAACTTCTGAGCATTTGTGGCTTAGACTGTAACACAACATGTCCTGATCCTGTTAAAATATAGTTCAAAATGAGTTCTCCCAGCTAATTACAAGATGTGATTTATCTAAATATCACTTCTTATTGCAAGAAATCTCACCAAGCAACTTTTCACTTGTTCTATTGGCAGATTTTTGTACTTATTTCACGTGAAAACAGCTTGTTTTCATTATTGTTAAACTTGTTTTTGGAGTAGTAGCATTTTTTTCCAGTGTTATAGTTCAAACGTCTCCCTGCAGCATGTAGGTCAGCCAGGCTGTGGGTAATGGTGGCCATTCATCACTTATTCTGACCTGCTTGTGTTTGTGTGTTTCTCACCAGGGCAAAGAGGGTCTCAAAGGAATCATGGGACCACCCGGTCTCCCTGGATTAATCGTAAGATTTGATACACTGCATCATTAATATTCACACCGTTCCTGCAGTGTGGAGTAAACAGTTTTTAATACAGTTACAGACGCTAAATAATGTCTTTCATTAATCCTGCAGGGTCAGGATGGAAAAATGGGCAAAGATGGGCAACCAGGAGAAACTGGAGAATCTGTAAGTAGACGGAGATGCTTAACTTGTTAGTGATCCAATATAAAGTTACACATCATTCATTTCTGGAAGGTATTGATAGTATGACGTGGCCAGATGATGCACCTACTTCTGATTCAATTTCAGGGCAAGCAAGGTGAACCTGGACCTCAAGGAAACCAGGGGCTCAGGGGGCTACCGGTGAGTAACTACCAGTGAATATTCAGATTTAAATGAGCTTGCCGTGCTAATAGCTGTGTCTGATTCACTTCTCTTTATCAACAGGGCTTTAAGGGCCACCGAGGAGAACCTGGACCTGCAGGAACCAAGGTGAGTGTGTTACTTTGTCTTTTGTATTGGAACAAGTGCATTTAGGAACCACAAGTCGATTCCTGAAACAGATAATGTTCATTTTTTATTGTATCGTACCGTTTTCATCTGGCAGAACCATTTATTTGACTGTTTGCATATTAGTACCTCCACAGGCCTGATGCGGTCTTGTGTCCTTTATGAAATGTGCCATACATAAAGTCTTATCAATGAATATGACACACAATTGGAATCATGCCAATTCCATTCATAAAATAACAAAATAAAAAAGAACTGAAAATAATAAGAATCAGCATTCTTGGATTTTAATACTATTGAATTTTCACTCACAGACATTTTCCTGAGCTCATACCTGAAGCTGCTCATCAGGAACAGCACACACGCACGCACGCACGCACGCACTCACACACACACACACACACACACACACACACACACACACACACACACACACACACACTCAGCTCGTCTCACTGTGATGTCAAGATATTTCTGACACCTTCAAACAACAACCCCCCCGCAAGAATGGTTTCTACCACCGCGCCGTGACCAATAGCACGGCTCATTAATGACAGCTCTGACTGCAGATACACACACACACACACACACACACACACACACACACACACACACACACACACACACACACACACACACACACACACACACACACACACACAAAAGTTATTAGAGGAGCCATGACGAGTTGTATTATACACACTGAACACTGTAATCATAATCGCTGTCCCTCAGCGCCGATCATAAGGAAATTGTCTCCCCTATTATTCAGGATTAGATGTTGAAGCCTACAATTAGATGTAGAGATTGATCAGAGTACTTAAACACAATGTATATAATATGTGTGTATATATCCTAATGCTCAACTGTGGATCTCTATTGCTCTTTCAACTGATTGTATTTTTATTTGTATACTTTAATAATTAAAGAATAGATTTTTAAGAGTCGCAAAATACATCTTGTTGTACTTGTAAAATCACATTAATGTTATTCTATTTAATTGTATTATACAAGCGCTCCTTTGCAATCGACAATCTTAGATCCAACAATGCTCATTAAATATGTAAAATAGGGAAATCATGCACGTAAAAACCAGGAAGTAGTATTAGAAAGTATAACAGATTCTGGGTCTATGTAATGGAGCTCCAAACCGACAGAAGGCAGTAAAGGGATCTCAGATGAGGCAAACATTGAAACCAAATATTGTTTCTCTGATGCCATGCAATGTTTACCTGATTACATAAGTATCATTACCTCAAATAAATGTCTAAAAGTTTATCTTATAAAATGTGTTTTGTATATCTTGTGTCGAACAGGGAGAGGATGGGAAGCCTGGGTCTGCTGGGCGTGATGGGAAACCTGGAAAGGAGGTAAGACTTTATTTTTTCTTTTTGTTAAGATTAACTTTATAATTCATATCCATTGAAATTGCATATAGGCAAATACAAACTGTGTGTACACCTTTGTATTCTAACCCAACTTGAAGTCAATTAAGCGTATTTTCAAAGCCTTGAATACTGAACTGCATACACTGTATTTCAGCAGCTTGTTAAGTCGGCAGCAGGGGTGTCAAACTCAAGGCCCGGGGGCCAAATCCAGCCCGCGACTTCATTTTATGTGGCCCGCAAGAGCTTGCCAAGAATATAATACGTTTATTACACGGTTACATGCTACTTTACAGAATATCTATATATGTTCATTTTAATTAATTTCTTATCTTATAGTTATTTTTTATTTTTAATTTTTATCTTTGATTTATCCTTAATTTTATTAATCTGTGTGAATCTGTGCTGTCCTGTTTTTCAATCTCACCCTGTTGCTGATAAACTACTGAATTTCCCCACGGGGATAAATAAAGGTCCATCTTATCTTATCTTATCTTACAGAAGCATGTCGCCCATAAACTATATGTCCCACAATGCATCTCATTTTGTGACATGCGACTGAAGAGACTTGCAATGATTTGCCCTAGACTTCTGCTTTCAGACCTAGTTAATTATGAAGTAATTATGAAGTTATTCCCAATAATAATCCAATGCAGAGGCAATAATATAATATAATACATTATTTCATATATATTATGTATTTATATATGTATATTTATATAGTTACAACCGGCCCTTTGAGTGCAACCATAATGCTAATGTGGCTCACGATGAAATTGAGTTTGACACCCCTGGTCTACAGTATATCACACACACAGGTAAAAAAGTTGCAAAAAGTAACTACTTCATATTTAAAAAGAATGCAATCCTGAGAATTAACCTGTTCCACTCTGAGCTGTTACCTCAGATGTCCTCTTGGCATTTACTCTGTTCAAGTAATACACGTGTCCCCACAGCAAACATTTGTCTTCCCTTCTAAAAACCTATATGCCATTCTTTTCTAATGCAGAATCCATTTATAACTCACCCAGTCCCTGCGAATAATCATATTTCTGCCTGGAACCAATCCTCAAGTGATGGAGGGAATGCAGATACAACTCCTCCTGAAATTAAAACAGGTTTTGGACAGAATTCAAAATGTGCAGCACAGTATTTAATCACGCATGTAAGGCTAGATCTCCATTAGCAGCAGAGTAACACTTTGAAGCACAGCAGCTATATATATTTTTTAAGTTGTGCGGAAGTCTTACACCATATATCTTCACAGAGTGACAACTGAAATCCCTCTCACATACACATTTTAAGGCTGCAGCACTTTTGTCCCCCCATTTGTCTGGTGGCAGGATATAACACTTCATCAAAAGAAATAAAACCATGAACCCATCCTGCTGCTGCTGCTGTGGGGTTTAGAGACTAAATGTTCTTGCAGCATGACTCAGGAAATAAGAATATATTTCCCACCTCCATTCAGAATAAAAGAACGAGATTAAACTCACGGTAGACGCTGTTTTCCAATAAATATAAAAATGAATGGACTTCGAATCAGGGGTTCGAGTCCCACTGCAGTCAGCATGTCGTTGTGTCCCTGAGACACTTCACCCCAAATTGCTCCTGTGGGGATTGCCCACAGAACTGAATGTAAGTCGCTTTGGATAAAAGCGTCTAACAAATGTAATGTAATGAATACAAAATCAATTCTACCACTGTAAAACACATACTAACACTGTCTATGTGTCTGTGTTGCAGGGCTCTATGGGAACTCCAGGCAGAGAAGGACTTAGTGGACCAAGAGGAGAGCCGGTGAGTCGTTTTGAATCACCTGCAGACCGGAGACACAGCACAGTGTCAGGCAGACGGATGGATACAGACATGAAGTGGCACTCACGTCGTTTCTCTTGCTGTCCTTACACATCACTTTTTCTCATCCTGTCTGTTTTGTTTTCCCATCTCCATCCCAGGGAAAGCCAGGTGAACCGGGTCCATCGGGGAAATCAGGACTCCCTGGAACTCCTGTGAGTTTTCTTTTACTACTTACATTATCTTAAATTATGCAACAGACACGTGGATGGCTGACATACAATAGAAACCAGAGGCGAACCGTCAGGGCCTTCAAGGTATTCAGAGAATACCCTGGAACACTCAGATCAAACAAACGAAAAATCGATTTAATTATATAAATCAAATATTATAAAATGTATATAAAATGAATAAATGAGAATGGTATCTGTGTTGTTGATCTGTAATATTACAGTGTTACATTGATTTGTTTGTCCTTCTCGGTCCATGCACGACGCATTTCAGTGGTTTTGTGTTAGAAAAGAAATGCTACCAATTGTTCTGGGTCTCTGGGTAGAATATCCTTCAACCAGGTATTCTATATCCTTGATAGAATGCCCTGGCCGTTGCACTGAATGAGAGCGTACCTTTGGATTGACAGTTTGATCAACCAATCATATATTGATTTGTAGCCAATGGGCGTATTCTTTCAGAGTTCCCCTCGGTTCCAGGGTATTCTAGAAGGCCCGGTAGTTCACTGGCTCGAGACAGAGGATCTTGATAAATGCCACGTAGCAATTCATTTGCCGTTTTATTGTTTTTAACGTTGAAATGGCAAGTGCAACAGGTGAAGATGATGTTGTTGTGAGTACCCTTTTCAAGACGACAATTCAGTGAAAAGACGGACATTATAATGGTGGGGGGGGGGGCGCGGCGGGGTGTTTGTGTGTCTACAGAAGGTCCAGTTGCGATAGACACGGTTCACCACTGATAGAAACACCAAAACACTGTTTGCAACCTTTAAATAATAACAAACCAATGAATGATAGTGAACAGAAATGTACGGAAGTCTTGAAATGCCAACTGTAAGAACAACTCATTTTGTTGATCTATTGTCCGTATCAAAGGAATCTGTTTTTTTTAATGTTTTTTATGATTTTAAGAATAGGTGAAAAATAATAATGTGGGAAAAAATAAGTTTTTGTTGTAATTTTTTTTTTGGCCACAAGATGTCCTAAATGGGACTAACAAAATATTAACGCTGATGAATAGTTATTTCTTTAAAATAAATAAATTGATTTGATGTTACGTAACTTTAACACGCAGTATATGTATCTTGTTTTTGAGTGCATGTAGACATTGCAATTAACCTGGAAGAAGTAACCTTTGTCTTATTGGTGAAGTTGTGCATTTCAGCCCCTTGTGGCCAACATGAGTATTACATCAACACATATCTGTTACCACAAAAGGGTAGCAGAAATATTATCCTGGCAAAACCTTTTTTCACCTGTTTTTAAATCATACACACAGGAGAAAAACATCACAACATGTTTTTTCTTATACTTGCCTCTCAGGGCTTCCATATATTAAATACAGGAGAGCTAATAGAATAAATAGAGCCTGCAGGGACTGTGTGTGGGATGTATCTGAAGGTGAGAGGAGGGTGTGAATTATTTCTGGAGGAGATGAGCTGTCACCTGATGATGAAAGATGGGAGTAAATGTTGTCCTGACCTGGCAGGAACATCACCTCCCAGTGGGGGGGTCGGAGTCGAAGGAGTTCACCGTGTTGTTGCCAGTAGAAGAAAACTGACTGACTGCCAAGTAATATCAGAGCACAGGGAACAGGTGGGAGGAGAGCATCTTCACAGGGAACAAGGTGTAATATGGCCTCGGCATGATGGGATTTAATGAGTGCATCTATAGAGAAATATGTATATAGAATCCCTGGTGACAGAAAGTCTGAATTATATGATGATGCAGAATGAAGGGCATTTGGGGATAGCGATTGCCGCATGTCTCAGGGGAAAAACCAGGACTTATTGTACTTTATTTAGAGATAGGAGAAAGAATAAAAGGGGATTAACGTGGCACCTTTACACCTGGCATTACCTGTAATCAATGCGAGTGGCATTGATTGAAAAATGCAACTAATCCAATGGTAAATACTTCCAAGTAATAATGAAGATTTAATCACCAGAACTTCAGAGAGTGGCCAGAACCTAGTGGTTTTGTAGAGAGCATAGATTACGGCTTCAGTTCCTTGTTGGAAAAGGCTGCTTTATGACAAGGTAAAGGGGTACAAGGTAATATTCAAAATAAAGACATTTAAATAATTATTTTCACTATCTTGTAGTATTGGGTCTTCTATGGTTCAAGACAGCTTTACTTTGAAACCAGCAAGCCGTTAAGCAGACCATTGTGTTACCAAAATTGGTCACAATTCATAAAAATATAATGTTAGAAATTGGGATTAAAAACCATATCAGCAAGCGCCGTGCACAACTCTTTATTTCTGATCATTTAGCTACTTGTGTAATAGAGAGGCGAAGTCCGGCCCTTCTACTTCCGACCCATGGGACCTTATTTCGGAAGAATTATGTATTGAAGTCAATGGAGAGAGAAAGATTATCTTTCGATCCCGTTTGAATTGTGCCACAAATTACACATATGATGTTTGTCAATTTAAATAATAATTTCCATGTCAAAAAAGTCACAGTTTGTCGTAAAACTGTTGAAATATAAGACTATGAAAAATAGGCAACTAGAAAGACTACAAATCCCAGAATCCCGGTCCCGCTTGCTGGCTCTTAGGAACCGACTAACTCCCCTTGTGTGTATGCACAGCTCTCAACATGCCCAGACTTGGAGTGATTTTCACCTCTTTTAATACTTTCCGCCTCATTCTGAAAGAAAGAAGTGAAATGTGCCAACGTGACGGCCGTCTGGGTGTGTGGTGCGAGACGGGAGATGGAGTTCATTGAGCGGTTTCACACAAACAAAGTGTTACTTCACAGTTTTACGACACATTTGTATTTTTTTGACTTGCAAATGTATCTTTTAAATTGACAAACATCATGTGTAATTCGTGGCACAATTCAAACGGGATCAAAAGATAATCTTTCTCTCTCCATTGACTTCAATACATACTTTCTCCGAAATAAGGTCCCATGGAGGAAAGGGAGGGACTTCACCTCTCTATATGAGCTTTACACGTGTCCTTTCAAAGAGCTGTGCTATTCCTCATTAAGCTTTAGGAGCTCCTTATGTACTCTCAAATGTTGCTGAGCTCACAGAAGAGGTTCATTAAAGTCAGCGAGGGTTCGGTGATTACTGAGTTTATTGGGTGACACTGGCTCCTGGGGATAGGGATGAAGAGGAGGAGGAGGAAGGCAGAGGTCAAGATGATAGATATAGAATGTCACAGAGATAACAAGAGATAGTGGGAGCTGAGAGTGAGGAGAATATTACATTTGGACTGAAATAGAAGGAGCAATACACTTCTTCAGGGAGAGCAGGGGTGTCCAAACTACATTTTGAAACGGCCCTCAGCTAATTAAAAAAAGTATAATAAAATATGGCCCACAAATAAAACGTGTGCTTGTCTTATATTGTACTTCTGAAATATATATACGTGAAGAAAAAGCCCAATAACTTAATTACATAACAAGCTTGAAATAGACCCTTCATATTTCCCCTTTTTATGAGCAATCTGAGGCTTTTGTTTTAAGGAATGAGCTTTTAACTAAATAAATGAAAGCCTAAAGGAGAGCTCTTTGTGTTTCTTAAAGCATTTTCAAGTATCAAGAATAATTTACCTACATTTGATTGATTTTGCTCACTTATAACTAGGGCTGTCCCGAATACCATTTTTCGGGCTCCGGATATTCGGTAGTAATCAGCAGCGAATATTCTAATATTCGGCCCCCGCGGGGGGGGGGGCGTAGTAATCAGCAGCGAACCGCTTCAACACGTGTATTTCGGTTTATTCACGGCATTCATTTAGTTATTCTACAGTATTGTTGTTTTATAGTTATTTGTTAATGTATATACTGTAACCCAATTTATGTTCTTTGAAATTGAAAAGGATATTGCATTGTGTTTGTTACTTTTGTTGCAGTTGTATATGTCTTAAGTGTAATTTGGCTTGGCTTTCTATTTTGTATGGATGGACATGCTTTTATTTTGAAGGAGAGTTAGCGCTGTTGACAGGAAGTTGTTGTTGCTATGGAAACAACGTGACGGAGATCAACCTGAGATCAACGGAGAAAAAGTTATATCTACTGTACATATAAAGACGGAGAAAGTAAACGATAACGTTTATGGTTAAGTGTTAGCACCCCCCGAAGAGGCACAAGCTCTTACGTTGATATTGGAGATTTCAATAAATTCAATTTGAAAAAGAAAACGGGAAAAAAAAAATATATATATATCCGAATAACGAAATTGAAACCCGAATAGTACTCCAACGAACGAATATTCGGATATTCGGATAACTCATTTTATGAGGCAGTATACCTCTAGTGAGTGGCCCAGCCCTTCGTATATTTTTCTGTATGTGGCCCTCGGTGAAAACAGTTTGGACACCCCTGGATTAGAGGAAGGTTTCTCAGGAGGAAGAGGAGTAACTAACTGCAGGGTGGATGACATGCTGCCAGCTATCAGAGAGGAGAGGATCAAATCAGTCAGCAGAGGGAGCAGATGATCAGAAATAGCCTGGAGGAGGCAGAGAGGAGATGGAGATAGATTTCAGTGGAGAGGAGGTATTTAGAGGAAGGATCAGATGTTTACCACACAGAGAGAGGAGGAGGCAGTGAAGCAGAAGAGGTAGTTTCAACGATATACAGATCAGTATGGAAGCCCACAGAGGACTTTCAAAATGCAAATTTCTTAAAAGCATCAACTTTCCTAAATATAAAAAAAAACATTACAAAAGGAAAAAAGTGGTCAGTTTTTTATTTTAAGTTGTATCATTTCAAATGTTTTAATTTTACATTCAAATAAAAAAATGTAAATGTATAACAATAAATGAAATAAATACAAATGAAAACAGCGTTAGACATTTCATTCTCAAAGACTTACAGTACCCTGCATTACAGTGGACAAAATATTGAATTTGAAGTAATTTGAATATCAAAAATGCGATGTAATCGATGAAGCTTTTTCCATTTTTGCAAGCATTACTTAAGTGACAATGTTCTAACAATTAGAACATTACAATTAAAACAGCATTACACAATTTTCATTATTAGTGTTGCCAAAATAACGTAATTTACTAAGAACTTTAAAATTCTAATTAAAACAGCCTTTTACTTTTAACCTGCTCTACAGTGGAATATACTCTCTAACACATTCCTTAATTCCAGCTTGTCTTCAGGCCCATGTGTCCTCTGTAAATATGAATTGTAATCTCTTCAAGCTGCTATGTCCCGCCACAAGATTGGTTTATGAGTTGTTTGTTATCCAGGCCACTTGTAGCATGTTGATAAGAACCCCAGCTAAATGTTAATCTTCCTGAATCCTCAGTAATGAGCGGTACTGTACATGACGTGTGATGACCGGCCATTTCTCTGCTGTCACAGGGACAGAGGTGGGAAGTAGTGGAGGACAAATACCTTGTTACTGTACTTAAGAACATTTTTCTGGTATCAGTACTTTACTCCACTACTTATTTTTCTGACGACTTTTTACTTTGACTTCTTACATGTTGAACACAAATAGCTGTACTTTCTACTTCTTACATGTTGAACACAAATACCTGTACTTTCTACTTCTTACATGTTGAACACAAATACCTGTACTTTCTACTTCTTACATGTTGAACACAAATACCTGTACTTTCTACTTCTTACATGTTGAACCCAAATACCTGTACTTTCTACTTCTTACATGTTGAACACAAATACCTGTACTTTCTACTTCTTACATGTTGAACCCAAATACCTGTACTTTCTACTTCTCACATTTTCCAAACAGGCTGGTTCCTTTAGTTTGAATGTGTGTTTGGTGGCGTGATCATTATTATTTAGAGTCATTGCGTGCCTATTGATTTGAACACGATCCGTGTATCCATCATTTTCTGGTCTTCTCTAAAGAAGAGGGACCAATGAAAACGTTGTCATGTTGCCGTTGTTCAGCATGGAAACATTCATTAGCTAACAATGACATTATTGTTCTATTAATATAAAGGGAGGTCAGGTACTCTTTAAAACAGCTGCTAGTTATGGGTACTTTTTACTGAAGTACATTTCAAAGCCCTCTTTACTTTGACTTGAGTAAAGAAGTTTAGTCAGTACTTCTACTTTTACCAGAGTATTTTTAAACACGAGTATCTGTACTTCTACTTGAGTAAAGGATGTGTGTACTTTTGCCATCTCTGCACAGGGAACCCGGGGAGACAAGGGAGAGCCCGGAAACCCCGGATTGCCAGGCTTTAGTGGCCCTAAAGGCCCCTCGGTGAGTGGGACATTTTATATTATTGTATTCCAACTTTAAATGCAGCTCAGAAATATGACCGGCTGTTGGTAACGCCAACTTTTATCTTGATTTTCAGGGTCCATCTGGTCCAGTCGGCCCTGAGGGAAAACAGGTAAGAACCTCATAAATCTGTATATGAATAATATGATATTATATTAAGAGATTTGTTCTTTATATGTATGTTTTTTTGTGATTTGTAGGGTATGCCAGGCAGAGTTGGTGATCGTGGTACCAAGGGAGAAAAGGTGAGTTCTAGAAATGGAACAAATAGGAAAAGATCATTCGAATATGCACTTTAAACGTGCTCAAAATAGATAAAAACATGTATCCTAAGTGACTCAACAAAAGGAACCAAATGAATCAGAGTAACACACATCTAGTGGCGCATTTCCACTACAGCGCAGTTTAAGCGTGCCGTGCCGTGCCGTGCCGTGCCCGGCCCGTTTTTGGTTGCGTTTCCACTAGGCGTAGTTCCGGCTAGCGGGTACTTTTTCACAATTTTCTGGCTCTCCAAAATCCAGGTTCTTTCCGGGCCAACAACCGGGCTGAGTATGCTAAACTAGAGAGAGAATCGCTGGCAACTACAACAAGATGAACATATTTGACCGTGATTTAATTGTAATAGACGTTTCAAAATGATGCCGAAGTAACAACATACTGATACCGGTTAGTAAAAACCATGAATTAATGCTTTGTCAAGTCTGCAGACAGACGGCAGGCGAGAAACCTTTTAAAATGCGTGTTTTCTGAATGGAGATTGGCTAAGCTAACGCAGTATATGCTCCGACCGTCCACACTCACAACAACGGCCTACAGACATAAATAAAGCAGCGACTGTATTCACCATGACACAGGCAGTCTGTGGTTTGTACTTGTTTCACTTCTAGTTTCTGAACAGATATGAGGAGCTGTGAGCTCTGAGTGCTAACAGCTAACGGCTGATGTTGGTTTTGTGTTTCACATTGAAGATGACGTCACGGCTCCGCCTACACTGCGTTACTATAGTTACTGCTCCAGCTACTAAACTGTAATGGAAACGCAGCATAAAGTGAGCCTGGCCTACCAAGGCCTAACTATACCGTACTAAGCCGTGCGAGGTCCTGCAGTGGAAATGTGCCATTAGATGCACTGCTACACTTAAAAACATATTAAAAGTGAATAAATGGAAAAAAATTACCTTTTTTAATTTGCATTCTTAACTCAAAATTGTAGGTACAACGAATGTGACATTTTTAAACCTTGGAATAGGATTTACATTTTTTTTTAAAACATTTTCTATATTGAACTATTATATGTAATAATAATAATAACAATAAATAATTAAAATCCAGTTTAAATGAATGTGTTTGTAAGAAATGCAAAACTGCCAAAAAAAAGAATTAAATGTAGAAAATGAAGCATTCTAGATCATTTTTCATCAACAGTTTACGGTATAGTTTTTAACCTGTATAATTTCTGTGATCTAACTCAGGGAGACGGTGGTACGAAGGGAGATAAAGGACATTCAGGAGAGTCAGGTATGCCCGGAAACCCCGGACCCTCCGGCAGGAAGGGCCACACAGGGATGATGGGCATGTCGGGGCCCCCGGGAGAATTGGGCGCTCCTGGGTCACAGGGACCTTCAGGAAACCCAGGGATCCCCGGACAGAGGGTGAGTTTCCTGAACACAGGGGGGAAGAAGTACTTAAGTCCATTACAAGTAAAAGTCCTAGATATAGAAGTAGAAGCCAAAGGTACTTCAAATATCAAAGTAAAAGTATGCAGAATGGCTACTTTCACAGTATTATAGTATGATAAAATACCATCATTCTGTATTAAAAACTAGCAAATACCTGTCTTATGGATTTAAGGTTGTAGTTTGTCAATGTTGAGATAATGTTTAGATACTTTACTCTTGTAAAATACTGGGTTTATTAAGTTAAGCAGGAAATATCACTCTGGTGTTATTTTACAATTACACATGTTTACACACAGCCTAGGAAATATAGTGGAGTTTGAGCATATTGGAGCATACTAGTATACTAGTATAGAAATACTCAAGTAAAGTACGAGTATGTCAACGTATTTGAGTAAATGTACTTTAAAGTGGACCTATCATGCTATATTTGAATAATATAGTGTAGGACCATACTTATATAAGGCATATTTATACTTTTTTTTTTTCAAAATACCAAACAGATCATGTATTTTAGCCATGCCTCATTTCGCTCAATTTGACAATTTCTAGCTCTGTTTTAGCAAGGGCAGATTCAGTGAGAACAGCACCACCTACAGGCCTGGCATATGTACTACAGCGTCTCCAGCGCTTTCGAACAGCAATGGCCGTGGCTGTCTCCTCCTGATTGGTGGAGTTGGCCCAATAGCCGTAGCGCCACCGTCCTGACGTCAGGACAGTGTTCAAATCTGGATCAGTTTTTATCAGATCCGTTGCAGCCCCTTTTTTAGAGATTTGGGTATGGAGGAAAATAGAGAGGGTTGTGTTTTCTGACACTTGGTGAGTTCCCTGGAACACCGGGGACACATATTCATGTAGAAAAGACGTACACAAGTGCATTTTGCATGATAGGTCCCCTTTAAGTCATGAGACCTTTAATGTTGATGCTACAGTAATAAGCACAGAAAAAGCCAATTAAGATGTAGGTATTAATACATTTGTTAAATATATATTTTGTTGTGTGTGTCAGGGAGAGTCGGTATCACTGGAGCAGATGAGACGCCTCATCCAGGAGGAGCTGTCCAAACAGTTAGATGGTGAGGACGAGATGTTTTATATGTATCTCTTCTTTCTGCAAGATTTTTATATAAAATGACATAATACTCAAACTGTCTGTTATGTGTGATTGCACCATCGGGAATGCTTGGAATTTCGCTGTACTCTGTGTAGTGACAATAAAGGAATCTAATCTAATAATCTTTTCTTTTGTGTCCAGCCAAAATGGCCTACCTAATGGCTCAGTTGCAGCCGGCCCATGTGAAGAGTACTGCCGGCCGCCCAGGACCCCCTGGTCCTTCAGGAAAAGAAGGATCTTCTGGACGCTCGGGACCCCCTGGAGAGTCTGGTATGCCCGGACAGAACGGAGGAGAAGGACCCAGGGGACCCTTGGGTGCTAAAGGTAGGACAACGACTAAAACAGCACTTTATTTCATGCTCTGTGCTTACATTAAAGGTCACCTATTGTGCAAAATCCACTTTTGGCCACTTTATGATGTCATAACGATGTTTTGTCTTGTGTAACCAATAGCCAATCACCAACCAAGGTAACCCCCCCCCCCCCTTATCACCTGAATCTCCTCCTAGAGCACCATTGAGTTCTTTGTAACCAAATCTCTCTCAGAGGGGCGTGGGGAGGGGCTCCTTATTTTCATCTGAAGTAACAGACAGAGAATCAGCACTTTGGAAACAGGGCTGAAACAGAGGGGATTATGGGTAATGCTGCAATGATCTGTTTGGTGTTTCAGCCAATCAGAGACAGGTTCTGTATATATCTGAGACCTGTAATATATTGATGGAAAACAGTGTAATAGGGGACCTTTAATTCCTAAACTTGATTACTTGTATTTCTACCATATATAAGATTCCTCGCAGTGTCATATTCTGATTTGTATTTATAGGTTGTGACACACTGCCTCTGAACGTAGCCAAGTGTTAAAAATCTGTATCTCTGGGAATGCAGAAAGCTGTTTCACTGGCAATACTGATCGCAGTCATAACGGCTATTTTTAGCATATCATGCACACACATGTAGCGCTATGTGTGTGTGAATACATATGAATAAGAGGAATTTTGAAATGTCCAATCGTGTAAAAACAACTGGTTATGGATTAATTAAGGTGAACTGACTATATCTAAATGCGATGTCTTGAAATCCTGTCATGACCGTGAGGTTGCCAGGCAACCAGCAGACTCTCAAGGAAGTGGTTGGCCAAGAAATATAGACTGTGACCTCCCCCCCCATCTTGTTTTTCACACTGCGGTTTCTGTAGAGATTAAACAATAAACCCGATCCGTGCTGCATCCATCCCATTAAACATGCATGAGTTGTTTTGACTCAACTGATATCATCAGAGTTGTTTTTTTACACACTTGACATTTTTTACTCCAGAGCTGCATACGATATTATAGCCTCCATCAGTTCACAGGCAGGGTAACACTATCATGGACACGAAGATTTAGTTTTGACATTAAAACCAGCGGAGTTTGCATTTGAAGTTGACTTTTGTCACCCTGAGATAGCTCAAATAAAGTTGTGCAGAGACGGCTATAAAGGCTTGGTACACACACACACACACACACACACACACACACACACACACACACACACACACACACACACACACACACACACACACACACACACACACACACACACACACACACACACACACACACACACACACACACACACACACACACACACACACACACACACACACAGTAATGCTCAAGGTTGTAAGAAGTGTTGATTAATAGATTTAACAGCTTTGAATGTGAAGAAATCACAAAACATATATTTTTTTCAAACTTCCAGGTGAGAAAGGAGGAAGAGGAGAAAAGGGCGAAGCTGGAGCCGGCGACAGAGGAGAACAAGGACCCGTCGGCCCCATAGGTAATGATTCATCTCTTTCTCTTTCTATACAATATTATTATTAGAGTGGTTTAACCCAATTTGGAGCCCCAGATTAAGATAAACTCAACCCTTGGATGTCCAAAAAAAAAGCTTGTTGTGTAAAGAGATTCTGAAAGTTTCAGGAACAAAGATTCTCTCTCTTTTTGATCCATTTCTATAAAAACCTGTCTGAAAATGAGCTGATCAGATTTTGGCCACTTTATGATGTCATAACGATGTTTTGTCTTGTGTAACCATTAGCCAATCAGCAACCAAGGTAACCCCCCCCCCCCCCCCTTATCACCTGAATCTCCTCCTAGAGCACCATTGAGTTCTTTGTAACCAAATCTCTCTCAGAGGGGCGTGGGGAGGGGCTCCTTATTTTCATCTAAAGTAACAGACAGAGAATCAGCACTTTGGAAACAGGGCTGAAACAGAGGGGATTATGGGTAATGCTGCAATGATCTGTTTGGTGTTTGGAGCCAAACACTTCAGAGATATGTTTTTTATATATCTCAGACCCATAATATATGCCTAAAAATAGCATAATAGGAGACCTTTAAGTCATAATTGTTCTTCTTCCTGCTTTAGGTCCAGCCGGTCTGCCTGGTTACGGTAAAGATGGAAGCCCAGGACAGGCAGGGACCCAGGGAGAGCCAGGGAACCCCGGACCTCATGGTCAAACTGGTCCTTCAGGTCCTATTGGCCAATGTGACCCCACCCAGTGTGCCTATTATGCCAGCCTGGCACAAAGACCCCACACCAAAAATGTCAAGGGGACTTAAGTAAGAAGAGTCACAAAGAGCGGCTGTATTTATGAACTTGGTCAGAATCAAGAACTTTTTCAAGATAACCTCAGTACGGAGGGCTGAAGCAGTGCTGCCGTCAGATTCTTTGATTTGTTTGTTTTTGGTAAGAGGGATTAAGCATCAAGAGACTTGTTCACATTTCATATGGGGGTAAAGAGGGCAGCGAACCAGGTGTTTCACTACCATGCTTCATGTAGGGAGATAACAATGATGAAACTTCCTCCTCTAAAACCCCATATCAGGAGGTAAGATTCGGGAGTCTGATATTGTAGCGTTACATCAGTAATCATGTTAAAAAAAGTTCAGCTTTTCTTCGATTTCTTGCAGGATAATGTCTGCACCATGGGTTTTTCTTTCTCTGCCTTACACCACTTTGCATCAGTTACCATTCACATCCACTGTCCTACATTTAAGCAATAGTTGTCAGTCACTGCTCACTAAATTGATCTCTCGCTGTGAGTCTATTGGTAATTACTCAGCCAGGGGAAATATCTCGTCGTTGATGACGAAGGGGGAGGACAGACTGACTCAAATTTAAAATAGTGCTTTTGTGTAGGAGTGTTAACGAGTTAGTGTCAAGAGTGATGGATGACCACTTTTATTCACTTCTTGCTTCCAAGCATCTAGCAGTGATCTTATTTGGCCTTGATTTGCATCCAAAAACATGTAGAAATGTAATTACTTTTACAACAACAACCACTCCCTTTTTAAAATCTGAATGTAGTTGCAATGTGATCTTTTAGACAGTAACAGAGCAAGCATCAGCAGAGCATCACATATTGCCTCTGTCACAACTCAAAAATGAAATCCTTGGAAACGTTTTTTGGTTACCCTAAAGCACACAACCCACACTATAAATCATATTGAGTGATTTGTGTATTATTCAAAGGTAGATTTGAAGTGAAAGTCATTTGAATGTGGTTGAATTATGTGCGAGATTACATTACATTCCATTTGTTAGACGCTGTTATCCGAAGCGACTTACATACATTCAGTACTGTTTGAATGTATGTTCTGGGAATTTGGGGTGAAGTGTCTTGCCCAGGGACACAACAACATGCTGACTGCAGTGGGACTCGAACTTGCTACCCCCTGATTCGAAGTCCAGCCACAGCCTCCCTCATGGATATAAAATGATATTTTTGCATTATTCAGCTCACCCACATAGTTACGTTTAGAAAGAAAGACAAAAGTTGACACAGAAAAACATTTCTTTGTTAGATTTGTACTCCTATGTTTAATGAAGTGGCTCTGGTCTTTCTCTTTCTGTGGGTGCATAGACCGGAGCCGTAAACAGCTTTGAGGAGGTGGTATAATTGCAGTCTTTGTTCACCTTTCTTGAAAAGCTGCTTGTTTCTCAGCCCTTTCTCTAAATGTGTCACTTCCTTTTGGTCCGGTGAGGCTTATTAAGTGCCTGAGCTGTGGCAGCTTTGTATAGACGTTTTTTGTCCCTGGAACCTAAAATTGGAGAGTTGCATCCCTGAATCTTGATGACCAGACCCTTTGTGGTAACCATTTGAAAGATGTTTGGCCTTTTTGTCCCTCATGGACCAATTACACTTCTCCCCAAATCTCACTTGTGCTGCTCATCTAAAACGATGTAATAGCCTCTATCCTATTCTATTATAAGGAACTACAATCATACATTAATAGCAAAAGTGAAATGGGGGATTAATCTCCAAGAAGATAATATAGACATTTTATAACTTTTCACGACAAACAGTATTACTAACAGGTCAAAGTTTATCTTTCGCATACTCATTTTTACTTGCACAAGTTACCAAAGGTAAGGTCACCAATACAAAAGTGAAGTTACTCTGAAACAACTTGGTTTTGAAGATGTTGGTAAAGCAGATTGGAGTGTTTTTGCTGCTCTGGATGCAGGAGCAATTTGTTGAGTTAAAGCTAGGCTATGTTGAGGAAGAAATATCTTACAAAAAAAGTTGAAATCAGGAGCAATAAAATGAAACCTTACAAAAGTTGGTACACTCAGGGGTTTTGTAAGGACAAGCCTCCCTTGGTGCGGTACAACCATCAGCTAATGGTGGTTAATAGAGTGCCACAGTGACGCGTCCTAAAACCCGGAAGTAAGTTAGCATGTTACCACTTCCGGTTCCTTCGACAAAAAAGCAAAGTAATCTCTCCATAGGGTTTTGGAAAATATCTGTAAATAAGGTCTGTGGTTGAGACACATTGAAGACACGGGTCACGTTTTGTTCTACGACATTAAATCCATCAGCAGTGACCCCACTGGTGATTTCTGAAGAGTTGACGTGTCTGAAAAACGATGGTTGTTACCAAGTGGCTGAATAGGACTACAGAAGTTATCGAGGCCGTTGTACGTCATTACACCGAACACGTAAACACTCCCGCTAAGTTTGTTTGCCCTGTTCTGCTTGAAAGCAAGTACCTGAAAATTATAAAAGTAGGGTAGACATGTGGAGATTATCCGGCTGAACAAAACGTGATCCGTCTCTTCAATGTGTCTCAACCACAGACCTTATTTCCAGCTATTTACCAAAATCCTATGGAGAGATTGCATTGCGTTTTTGTAGAAGGAACCGGAAGGAGTTTACTTCCGGGTTTTACGACGCGTCACTGTGGCACTCTATAAAAGCTAATGTTAGCTAATAGTGGCTAAAACAAGCTTATCTTAGCTAACATTAGCTTTTAAAGGCTAGCTCATGGTGGCTAATAAAAGCTAGTGTTAGCTCATGGTGGCTAATACAAGTGAATGTTAGCTCAGTATGGCTAATAAAAGCTAATGTTAACTCAGTATGGCTAATAAAAGCTAGTATTAGCTCATGGTGGCTTGTAGATGCCAATGTAAGCAAAACGTTCAATTTAACATTTATAATTATCAGGTTTATCCCCAGGTGGATGTTTTTTTAACATTTTGAGCAGCTCTGCCTCTTAGACATGTCCTTTTTATCGTCAAATGTTTGTAGCTACAGCTAAATAAATGTGTTTCATGGAAGTGTTAATGAGCTGCTTTAAATGCAATGTACTTACAGTCACTTCAGAATCAGTGTGCGTCCTTAAATGTGTGATTAGAATAAGTTACCTGCTCTGTCAATGGTATCATATCATGTAATATATAGTAGTTTCTTATTGAACAATTTAAACCGTATCAGTATTGCCCTTTTTTTTGGTTGTGTAAATGCTTGTAACAGTTACCAATAGACTGTGTGTTATAGGGAGGGATGGTAAGATGCTGCACACGTACAGCTTCAAATGTTGTAATACATATAAGCCAAACATCTTTCATTATTTTAAATTAGCATGTTCTAGCTAATTTAAAGTTTTTTTTAAGTTATACCGCTAAATTATTCATGATTTGAACCATTAAAAATGTGTTTTAACACATTAGCTAAACTGTATTAACCTGTTTTTTCAACCCTATTGTCCTTATGATTGGTGCTAAAATATGTTAAAGTGGTAGCATATTGTAAGTATTTGAAAGACACATGTACTGTACTGTATAATAAAGACTGGAAAGGATTCATTTTATAATACAAACTTTGCTTGGTTTGTTTGACAGCTTGTCTCAACGTTGTTTGAAAGCCTCTGCTCTGTTCTGTCGATTTTCATTAATTAATCACCTGTCTTCTGGTAAATCAAATTTCACGAACCCGGTGAACCCTTTTTACCGATGCACACAACTTCAAATCCCCTGGCGCGGAGCCACAATAGAATCTATTAAATCAAAGTGATGTCCTTGGGACGGCGGCTACGCTAACTCTGTCCCGCAGCTTGCTAAAGGTCATGTTTGATGTGTGTGTGTGTGTGTGTGTGTGTGTGTGTGTACAGACAGATGTAGGGATGATGTTGTCTGTCCTTTGTCACCAGGCAACAGTGAAATGCCCTCATGAATCCAGATTATATCCATAACAACCCAGGCACCTTGTTTCCATTACAACCAGGAATTTCATTGATTATCCACTCTTTGGTGACACTAAAAGTGAATAGGGTGAATATTTGTAACTAAATGATATCACTGTGAAACTTCCTCAGTTGATTACTTACATTTAGACAATTGTTTTTTGTATTACACGTTTGCTGAAATGTATTGTTTAAATATGCAAATAAGGAGATATGTTAATCTCATTTGCATCAGGAACAAAAATCAGGTAATTGGATTCCTATTTTCTGTTTTTGACATTTATGTTCGAGTAAAAGGTTATCACAGGGGAAATGTTGGCTTTACAAAAAAAGAAATGTTAATATGAATTAGGATCTGAATGATACAGGAACAGACCTCCAGAATATTGATGGAAAGGATGTGGGAAGTTTGGTGTCTGTACAGTAAGTGCTACTGAAGTGGAGATGATTTGAGAAAATGAACTTTAACGATATGTTTTGTAACGATCCTTAAATGTTGCAAAACCCTACATGCACGGGAACATCCGGTATCTTTTATTTTTAGCAATAGATGCATAATCTAATGCTAACTATTGGTGGATTTAGGAGAAATCGTTACAACGTTAGTAACAATAAAGACCTAAATGTGTATTTTGGATGCTGTCTAATAGTGACTCATTAATACGTGCATATATTTGAATGTTAGTAGCTGCAGCTGCTCAAAGATGTTATGCTTCATTGAATGGAAACGGGGATAAAAACAGTAGTGTGACACCCTTCCAAAACATATCACTTTATTACATCGCTTGAAACAATAAATGACAAAATCAGGCAAAACAGGTATGATCGTAAATTAAAAAGCACATTGTTGGATATCTCAGCTCAGCTCTGCACTTGAAGGGACATTTTAGATTTTTGTTTTGGAAACAGACTCAGAACATAGTTCCACTTTACCAAATCCTGTGAGTAGAAGCAATGTGTTTCAGAGAGCTTATTCGAGGAATGCAAAAGTATATTCATAAGAGAAAATCAGAGAGGGTGTAGCTTTAAAATACTTTACAAAATGCTGATATTGGTTTTTCTGAAGACTCGTGGGTGTCTGTCAAACAAGTTGCTTCGGCGTCAGTAGCAGCTTTCTTTCAACATGTGATAAAATGTCTTTCCAGTATTCTACAATTGTGCCTTGTCTCTGTTTCCCTTTGCGTCTCTTAGCTCCACGGTTCAGATGGAGACTTTGAGGGGCTTTCTTCTGAAGAAGCCCTGGTCACTGCAGGATGAGATCTGGAGTGTGTCTCAGTGGTGATGTCTCATGGTTTTCTGTAGCTGGCGGACTTCTTTCCACTGACCATGTAGAACGGGGGAATAGACCTGCTGATACAGGTCGAAGGATCACAAAGCCCCTGAGGCCCTGAAGGCCCTCTTGGACCGGAGGCTCCTGGGACTCCGGGGTTTCCTGTCTCACCGCGTTGTCCATCTTTGCCGTCCTTTCCAACGCCAGGAACACCTGCTGCACCTGAGAAGAAGAGACATTGGACATTTTTAAGAAAAAGTGAAATATTACTTGCAAGTGAAGCTTATGAATATAATATAGAAAGGTGTAGTCTTTCACATTCATTTTTCAACTTAATATACCAATACTTTTTTCAACATGGTATTATTACTATGCTGTGTAATAAAATAAAAAAATACTAAACCATAACAAGTTTCAACATACTATTCTAGGATTTTTTGGGACATACAATATTGTGACTTTTTTCAACATTGTATACTATGATTTTTTCTCAAGATACTATACTATAAAAAACTGTTCAACATAGCATACTATGATATTTTTCAAAACAGTATACTTAAATATACTTTTTGGGGGGGGGGTTTGACAAACTATACAGTGACATTTTTCAAAATGTTCCCAATAATATAGTTTGCATACTTTTTGGGAACATTTTATACTATGACCTTTTTTTCGAAATTCTATAATAAGACTTTTTGGTCACTTTGTATGTATCATTATAGTAGATATTTCCTTAGACATTTTTAATTTGAGTGCCAGTTACTAAAGAGGATCATTCTCACCTTGTGCACCTGGTTCTCCGGTGCTTCCTTTGATTCCTACCCCGTCCTCTCCCTTGACTCCATTATCTCCCTTTTCCCCAGAGTCACCTGCAGGACACAACGTCACAAAGATGACACACAAACTAATGCTGCAATGAAATGAGGAGGCATACTGTTTCCACAGTTATGAAGGGAGGCAATGAGGAAACGTAATATCTCCACTCTGATCTTTCACTGAATCATTGATTGTATAATGTCTTGCATGAGTGTTTCCTTTCCATCTGCTGTGGCAGTGTGAAGACAAAAGTCAAACTCTCTGCTTTTGTTTTTTAAGGCTTCGCTTAACCTCTTAAGCCCGGCGGTCGGACCCCTCCCACTTTTTTAGACAATGTCTCAGGGCTTCTTACATTTTTGAAACTATTAATGTGTAGCACCAGATTAACGGTAAGAATCTCAGCTAACTGAAGATATGAACCATTTTTAGCTAAAAGAAACACAAGAGTAATACCAAGCCTTTGAATTAGCATTTTGCGAAAAGATGCTAACTAATGCTAACGGAGTTTTCCACAGCACTCACTCTCAAAATGCCCTTATTACTTATCGTAACTGCACAAACAAGATATCCGATTAAAGCTGAGACTCCACATATTCCATACATGTAGTGTCATCACTGTACGACCCCGAATTTGCGGAGCTTTCAGCCAGAAAAGAGAAAGTAAACAACATCCGGTTTCAAAAATATTACAATAATTACATCTTACCTTTTTTGATTTGTGATCAAAAGTTGTGTTCAATTTTGATACAGGGTACTTATTATATGTTGTACTTTGGATTCCTGAAGCTTTTAGTCTACTAACCCATCATCCAAGGGTGGTTTTCACTATCTGTAATGGGGTTTTTTTAGGCGGAGATAGAATTTACATGTTTTTACTATGTTCCATATGAATTTATTTTAAAATAAAAACATCTATATTGATTTCTGACACGTCTACATCCAACTCACAGATGTAACCTTGCTTTGAGAAAAAAGATTATTAATTTACCCCTTTTAGAAGTGAAGATATAGTCTTTGTTGTGTTAGTGGCATTTTCGAGCCTGAAAGCTGAAAAACAGGCTCAGGGCTCAACAGGTTAATTTCCTGCCACTGTGTTCTCTGTATGAGTTCTGGATGCTCTCCAGGAAAATAAGAGAAAGGAAAAAACGCTATCACAGCGGTACAGCTTATCTTTCCCACTGCTGGTGAAACTCACGCTGTATTTCCAAAACACTTTTGCTCAATTGTGTTGAAAGAAGCAGTTCTACTTATCTCACAGCTGGCTTGGATACAGTTTTGGGTAACACTTTATATTAAGGTACACATATTCACCATCAACTAGTTGTTAATTAACATGCATATTAGCAGTATATTGGCTCTTTAGTAGTCAGTATAAAACACGTATTAATGCCTTATTCTACATGACCATATTCTACAAGTAATAGGCCATTAGTTGAGAGTTTTTCCTCAATAACCCTCTAATTAGTGCTTATTTATTGTATGGAAGTTGTACATGAGTTTTGGTCTCAATATGCTCAATATGGGCCTAATAAGGCAGTAGTACCACAAGAATAGTAATTCTCACATAATAACACTTAACAAATATGATCTATTCTTTATATGTAACAATACATGAAACTAATGAAGCTCAGCGCAAGTTCAACCAGGAAGACCTTCTTTACTCATTAATTTACTATGCCATGTCACTACTCTCTCTCCTCTCAATAAGTGATCGGGGGCGTCACTCCCCAGCTTAACCAATCACTTCGCTCTATTCTCACAAGCCTATCACAGCGCTCCGCTAACCCTTTTAAATCTGTTCTCCCCCCTCTGACAGCTGTCATTTCAGGTGACTCAACGCAACCGTCCTCCACCCCTTTTCACCTCCTGTCCCTCTGAATCCAGGGTCAAGCTAAGCCCCTCCCCTTCAGACCGGACCTAACTATCCATTCACCACCACCAGGGTCTAGACCCCGGGGGGTTTCATCGGATCGGTTCTCCCCTCCCGAATGATACTCCTGCACAACGGGGCCTAATCGCCAAAACTCCATTACATTCATTCGTGTATTCCTGGCAATAAATATGTATTCTTATCAAAACCGTCTCTCCTGATTGAACACGTGTTAATTGTGTCAAAATAACTCAAAATGTGGTATTTCTAACTCAGAATATGTTCCCTATTTTAAAGTGAAGTCTTGTTCATGACCAATAAGCCAGTAGTTTTACTCTAATATGTTAATGAACAACTAGTTGATGGTGAATATGTGTACCTTAATCTAAAGTGTTACCCATTTTAGTTTTTTGAGCAGTGGAGGGTGAATTATTAGAGACTCACTGACCGTTCTTGCCTGGCATGCCTGGAAGTCCAAAGAAGCCTGGATGACCTTTGGCCCCTGCTGACCCCGGGGCCCCTGCTGCTCCTGATGGTCCAGCTGATCCTTCGGGTCCGGAGGCTCCTACAGGTCCAGGAGTACCAGGGGCACCAAGGGCTGAGGGCCTCTTCAGCATCTCCCTCATGAACTCTGCTAGTTGCTCTACAAAGACGAAAAACAGAAAATGAGCTTGAAACAGGAACGTATTTTCATTACCATGGGTTAGATATGAGTGAGGATATGGATTTAATAAATACAAGTGACTGTATGCACCTTCAACGACGACTGAGCACATTTCCCGAAGCTTGTCATCGTTCACTTTAGGACCCTGTGGATGGATGATTGAATGAATGGATGAACATCAACACGGCACAGCCTAATATATATGACATCATTTTTTATGACAATTTTATTGCAAACAACTCTGACATTTCTTAACATGTCTTGTAACTCTAACATATAATATGATGAAATGTGTGATGATACGATACCTTATTATACTATATTATGAAAGTATCAATTGACAACTAAGTCATACAACTTCATACAACAAGACATCTACATAATATTTTCGTTTTTAGGACACACTGAAGTTGTTGTTTTTTGCCATTTTTATTATGATTCTCTTCACTGTGAAATGATTTGTTGAATATTAAATATATTATATCATACTGTACATTATATAATTGTACATATTTTATGTCAATTTTATGACATCCTATACTAGGATTTTTGTAAACCTTTTGTATAACCGGCTAGCATGTTAGCTTGTCTAGTCATTCCCAACAAATTATTGGATCAGGAAAAATAGGTATTCAAATATTAACAATATAGTTTTGACACATATTTACTAAAATTAAATGAATTAAAAAGTGACCCAAGTCTGTTGACTGTTATAGAATAAGCTATAATATTTAAATTCACCCTCTTAGCTTAGCCTGTTACCATTTTAACATGTACTTATTAGCACACAGTACACCTGAACTTGATTATAATGTATTTGTAGTTTAATATGCAAATAGTGTTTTCAATTATAACACTTACAGGTACACCTCTGGGGCCTGGGGTTCCATGAAGACCTTGTTCTCCATCCAGTCCTCGGGACCCCATTGGACCGGATAAACCCCCGTGACCCGTCTGACCCGGTCTGCCTTCGTCTCCGGTAGCTCCTCGTGTGCCTTTCTCACCACGCTTCAGGTGGAAAAACAACATTCAGATCCCATTCAGAGGAAACTATAAGTCTGAAGGTTAGGATTTGTTCACATACAATGTAGGTTGCTTCCAGAGATGGCAAAAGTACACATCCTTTACTCAAGTAGAAGTACAGATACTCGTGTTTAAAAATACTCTGGTGAAAGTAGAAGTACTGACTAAACTTCTTTACTCAAGTAAAAGTAAAGAGGGCTTTGAAATGTACTTCAGTAAAAAGTACCCATAACTAGCAGCTGTTTTAAAGAGTACCTGACCTCCCTTTATATTAATAGAACAATAATGTCATTGTTAGCTAATGAATGTTTCCATGCTGAACAACGGCAACATGACAACGTTTTCATTGGTCCCTCTTCTTTAGAGAAGACCAGGAAATGATGGATACACGGATCGTGTTCAAATCAATAGGCACGCAATGACTCTAAATAATAATGATCACGCCACCAAACACACATTCAAACTAAAGGAACCAGCCTGTTTGGGAAATGTGAGAAGTAGAAAGTACAGGTATTTGGGTTCAACATGTGAGAAGTAGAAAGTACAGGTATTTGTGTTCAACATGTAAGAAGTAGAAAGTACAGGTATTTGGGTTCAACATGTAAGAAGTAGAAAGTACAGGTATTTGTGTTCAACATGTAAGAAGTAGAAAGTACAGGTATTTGTGTTCAACATGTAAGAAGTAGAAAGTACAGGTATTTGTGTTCAACATGTAAGAAGTAGAAAGTACAGGTATTTGGGTTCAACATGTAAGAAGTAGAAAGTACAGGTATTTGTGTTCAACATGTAAGAAGTAGAAAGTACAGGTATTTGTGTTCAACATGTAAGAAGTAGAAAGTACAGGTATTTGTGTTCAACATGTAAGAAGTAGAAAGTACAGGTATTTGTGTTCAACATGTAAGAAGTAGAAAGTACAGGTATTTGGGTTCAACATGTAAGAAGTAGAAAGTACAGGTATTTGTGTTCAACATGTGAAAAGTAGAAAGTACAGGTATTTGTGTTCAACATGTAAGAAGTAGAAAGTACAGGTATTTGTGTTCAACATGTGAGAAGTAGAAAGTACAGGTGTTTGTGTTCAACATGTAAGAAGTCAAAGTAAAAAGTCGTCAGAAAAATGTACTTAAGTACAGTAATGAAGTATTTGTACTCCACTACTTCCCACTTCTGGTCGCTTCAAATCCATTGTGTTACAGCTATGGTAAGGATCAATTTCTATGTGAAAAGACACTCAGGCAACAGTTAAGTAAACAGTCATGTAAGAAGAGTACAGAGTGTAGTTTTATTTGTTTACCTCTCCTTTGAGTCCAGTGATACCAGGAGGGCCCTGAAAACACACACATATTAGTTTAAAATCCTCTCAAGGACAAGTTGACGCATTTTAACACACATGATGAGATCTCAAAACACCGATTAGCTTCACACACCTGGTCTCCCTTTATCCCGAGATCTCCTGCCATTCCTGTGTCTCCCTGTGTACAAAAACGTAATGAGTCTGTAATTGGCGGACCAGTGTAATCGCTGGAAAAGTGTCACTCAAAAACACGATCAAAATAAATGCAGAGGTTATAATGGTTCTTACCAAACTTCCCTTTGGTCCCATTGGTCCCATATCCCCCTAGAACACACATACAAACACATTATGTACTTCAACTACTCCAACACTTCATTTTCTATATTTGAATATTATACCATAACATAGGTAAAAAGGGATTGTTCTAACCTGATCACCTTTGTGTCCAGTGTGACCCTTCAGTCCTCTGTCTCCCATGTCACCTTTATCTCCTTTGTCTCCCTGAAAATACAGAGTTGTTCATATGCATATTCTACACGTTGATATTTTCCGATTTCTTTTTTCTATAATTTACTTTAAATTGGATTAGATTAGACATGTATTGATACCAAAATAGGAAATTGTTCTGTCAAAGCAGCAGGTTAACAAGGCATTGGAGTCAATAAATACAAAAATTAACAGATAATACATACATATCAACAGGACAAATATATATATCCATCATTGTTAACTGCTTTGTAAAGTATTTTGGTTAATGAAAGTGCTTTGTAAATAAGATTTTTTTGGGATTTCACCGTCAACATTTCTGTTTGTGGAACATAATATCAATCATTTCTCACCACGATGCCTGAAGGACCCTCAGCCCCGAGTGGCCCTTGTTTTCCGGTTTCACCCTGGAAATATATAATCAATAGAGTACAATTTACTTTTGGACTTGAAATGTATGTACTTAAAACCTTCAAAAAAGAGTGCAACTAAAATCAACGAAACACCAAATGCAAAAGAACTGAAACCTTAAAATATCCTGAAACTGAAAAGTAAACATGAACTCACAGTGGATCCTTTCTCTCCAGTGTTCCCATCTTCTCCATTATCTCCAGGCTCTCCCTTTATGAAAACACAGGTTGGGTTTGAACATATAGGACTGGCAGCACACGCATGAATAAAGAACGATTGTAATGAAAGAGTGATCAGATAATAAAACGGATAATCTCACAATCTTTCCAGGAAGTCCAACTGGCCCGACGGGACCCTCAGCTCCGATGTCCCCCTAAAACCAAACAGGGATTGTGTTCAAATGTCTCTCAGCTCAATGTTAATGTCTAATGGTGCGGGAATAACATTCTGGATGCACATTGTGGACATGGTTCATTAAAAAGAGGTGATGAGTCCAATTACGTTTGCACCAGCGGGTCCTGCTACTCCCTGCTTCCCTGGCAGGCCCTATAGGAAAAAATACAAAAATAGGATTTAGTAATACATTTATACTGTATTTTTAAAAGTAAGGTCAATAAAGTATAGAAATCTGGAATATGTAATTGTTTTATTAGTTATTTATTATTCTACTCAATGTGAATTGTTTGTATTCCTGTTACCTGTGACGTGTATTGTATTTATTATTTTATGTATTTGTATTATTATTATTTCTTCTGTGACCATGACCTAACGGGGTAGGGGTGGGGATAGGGGATGGGTATTTGTCTTTCCTGTAACAGACAAATTGTCCTGTACTTTATATAATGTGCTGGAAGTGTAATGTCTGCAAAAAAACAAATACAAATATGTTTTATTTTGAAACACCACTACAGCCTTACTAGTTGCTCTGATTATATATACTAATGCTGCCTATTAGCCATATTAGAGATATCATTATCAACAGTTTTTGAGTTGTAAACAGTGCTAATGTCACTTTTCAAAGTTGTAATTAAGATTCGATGGATCTGGTGTTTTTAAAAGCTCTATTATCTCTGGCTTTGACCGTACTAATACCTCTTTCTATAATCATCCGCTTGCTAACATGCTTGCTAACATGCTAATACACTTCAGAGATGTGTTTTGTGCTCTTTGGCAGCCCCTCTGGTGATAAGCTGTAATTGCAGGTGTTTTTATTCTGGCATACTGTACATGTTTACACAGGACTTTTTTTAAGGTTCTCACATTTAACTTTATGATATAAAAACAACAATGAAAGAAAATGAAGTCAGACTTACAGGAATACCCACAATCCCCCTGAGACCGACAGTCCCAGCAGTGCCAGCTTCTCCCTGTTGAGAACATTGTATGCATCACAATTAATAATAATTGGTGTTAGATGAACAAATATATATCTGGCCTTCAAACACTTTTCTACTTTTCTAAAAGTTGTATAATAAGCTTCAAACCTTGGCTCCATCAACTCCAGGAATACCATCAATGCCATCTTTTCCGGACTCTCCCTGTAAATACACAGCACACAGTTAGACTTCAAATACATTTTAAACAATGTTGTGCTCAACAATACAATTATTTAATCGAATCCAATCAGTGTACTCACAACGTCTCCTTTTTCTCCCACAAGACCCTGCTCTCCTTGAGGTCCCACAGCTCCCTGATCAATTAAAACATGTTCTTAATCATTACAATCTTTCCAATAATAATTTGCAATAGTATCCACAAAGAAAGAAACTTACATCCTCGCCCTTAGGTCCCTCCAAACCCTGACGACCACGGATTCCCTCCACACCCTAAAAGAGGAGAGATCAGACGCACATCGGAGAATTAGATTTCAATATATCCAAGTATTTTGCTTTTAGAATAAATGCCAATCAGCAGAAGAAACTAAGTCGCTTACAGGAGCTCCAGGTGGGCCAGTAGGTCCTTGGACACCATTGAAACCAGGAGGACCCTTTGAACAGAAATATATGTATATCAGTATCTAGTAAATATCATCTTTATTTGTAAAAAGCATGCTTTAGTAGGAACTGTGGTGTAACATACTTTATCTCCCTTTTCTCCCAGGGTTCCAGGGAATCCAATGGGTCCTCGTACGCCCTACAATGACAATAAATAATTAAATATATATACATATACATTCTGTAATACACCTTGTGACTGAGGTGTCCTTACATCATCTCCCATGCGACCGGGTGGCCCCTGAGGACCTGCCTCTCCATCTGTTCCCTGCGCAAACAAGAACAAATTAATTAAATTGCGAGAACAGAGATAATCAGATTGAGCCGTATGTTTGCTGCCAGGTTGTGTTCGGTATCCATCTTCCATACATATGACCAATTACTGGAACTCACACAGTTGTTTGTTTTTGCAGAGAAAGGGTTTTGTCATGTGTCAAAAGGAAAATTGGATATTAAGAATAAACATCATTTGTTGTCTAGACGATTATCTGTTACGTACCTTCTCTCCAGGAATCCCATCCTTTCCAGGCTCACCAGGCAAACCTGTGTATCCCTGAAGGCAACAATCAAATGCATTAATATTGTTGAACAATTGTATCAACACAACTATTATATTTCTATATCTATTCTGAAAACTGAAAACGAGTACATGTATCATAAAGTTTCCCTATTGACTTCATACTGTTTTCCACTTTTACCATAATATCTAACAAGACTAATATAGCCACACTTCTGCACTGGAAAAAATGCTGCTCCAAAAACAAGTAAATGTATAATAAAAACAAGGTGTTTTCGCTTTTAACAAGTGAACAAATCTACCAATAGAACAAGTACAAAATGGCTTGGTAAGATCTCTTGAAGTAAAGATGGGATAATTAGATAAATGACATCTTGTATTTAGCTTGGAAAACTTATTTTGAACTATATTTGACCAGAATCAGGGACATTGTTACAAAAAAAGCCAGAAATGATAAGACGTTTTCTGTTTTCTGATGTTAGTTGGTGATTTTCCTAAAAAATAAGATGTTTTTAATTAAGAGACTTTGACCTAAAGATGCTTAAGATGCATTGTCTAAAAACAAGACTTAAAGGTCCCATGTCATGGCCATTTCTACTGATCATAATTCCATTGTTGAGGTCTACTAGAATAGATGTACATTGTGCAATTTTCCAAACTCACATTGGTTTCTCATACAGCATCTCTGTATAGTATGTGTATTCACTCTCTGTCCTAAACGGCTTGTTGGAGCTCCTGCCCCCCCCCCCCCTCCCTATGAGCCCAGTGGCCGTCTGCGAGACAGCGAGACACAGAGAAACCCAGCCCGAACACACACACACACCCACAGCCTGGCTGGGAGTTTGTGTGTGTGCTCACACACCGACTCACAGCCTCGCCGCGTCCCGCCGTCTCAAGGAGGAGAAATCGGCGGAGCTGCAGCTGAGAAAAGATTGATTGTGTGTGAGGACGTAACGGCTCCACGGATTGGTCCATTTTGACCAATCCACGGAGGGGTCGCCGTTACGTCACTTGGTTCCTGGTTGAAAAAAATTGAAAAAGAAAATCTCCAACGAGGCGTTCTGGGGCAGCATCGACAGGTCTTTTCTATGTTAGAGTTTTACTCGCTACAGGGTGTACTTTGAGGGTTTGTGACTCTGCAGACCGTTTACGTGCATACAAACCTTCATAACAGACAAGGGGACGGGTAATAACCGGAAAAGCATGACCTTTAAGTTGTTAGGTTTGATATCAAGTGTAAAGACATATTCTGACTAGAAATTAGACAAATATACCTGGCAAGATTTTGAATTTTTGCAGTGTGTGAGGCTACTTTTAGAAACAGCTGTGTTTCAAACTGATTGCTAACGTCAGCATGCTAACAATGCTGCTAATGACAATGTTTGCATGATGATGTTTAAGCGCTGGCTATGTTTAGCACCTGAGATAAGGCTGTAAGAGGGCTTACATTTGCGTATTAGCAGGAGATTTGATGAGGCTGATGGGAATGAGTTTGCCAGCATTAAACTATCAGACACAATTAGATTTGGATGGGATGATAATTACAATCACTTATGAACCACTAGAGTGTGGCGGTGTGTCTATCTGAAGAAACCCTGCTGCCGTGTCCCTGTGTTTTCAGTTTTTCCGTCTTATTTTGCTGTGTCACAGAGACCTGGCAACCTCTCAACATAGCGACCAGGTTTAAGCATGCACCCTAAAATGTTGCTGTGTCAAATACAAATAACGGAAACATCATCAATAAAAGGCAATTGTATGAGAACCATAAAGGTCTGGAAAAGATTTAACGACAATCCATCGAATAGTTAAGATATATTAGATATTTCAGTCGAGAAAAAAAAGTTACAATTTGCAAGGTACAATAAAAATACAACGCTAAGCAGGTATTCGGTAGAAACGTTGTAATGCAGTTCATAAACAGCAACAATTTGACCTCACAAAGCTACTTGTTTTAAACACATTCTTATATTAATATTTGATTTGTTGATGATGTCCAAGTATACTTAGTGCTGATCAATTCCAGAACACGACGACTTTAATATCTCGCCTTGTTAGCATCGTTATTCATTTAGCTAATACAAGTGTAACCTTTGCCTGATGATTGACAATCGGTTCTATTTTGGCAGAGGCTTGTTGTTGATCTCCACACGGGGAAATGTGTACCTCCGTTTAATAACCGAAGCCTGCTCAAATGTGAAGCTACTCGTACTATAAATAGTAACCGGAACACTTCTGAAACCGACATCTTGTCACGTTGCATTAGCACGTTGTGTAAGTATGTTTTGCTTTTAGCTAATACATTCAATGATATAAGTCATGTGACCCTTGTGAATCCTACAGAGGGAAGAGTACCCAAAATCATAACTAAATAAAACTAAATATTAAGTCTTATGTTCTTGACATTCCTCACCTTCAGACCAGGTAGTCCAGCCAATCCCTGAGGGCCAGCGGGGCAGGCAGCTGGACACTAGGAAGGACAGATGGGACAGATATATATTCAGATACTTTACAAACATGGCCTGCTGCAGAGCCTCTTAACTTCAAGGACTCTATCTACTCAGAAATTCACTGTCACCAATCCAATTGCCATGCATCCAGGAAACATTTGGCAGTGTGAAAAGAGATGAAAACACTCACAGGATCCCCGCTCTCCTCAATGCCGGCACCAGGCGCTCCCTAAAACACAGCAGAGTGACATCTAAAACAGCCTCTCGGAGGTTTAGATGTGAAAATAAATACACCAGCAGAAATTCCCAGAGAGTGAGAAGAGTGAGAAGAGACTGCAACATGCAACGCCACCATAATCATGGACATCTGAGCTAAAGAAGAATTATTTAGTGCCCAAATAGAGATGAGAAATCAGTATGAGATTACACCTGTTCAGCAGGTGGTCAATATTGAGTTTGTTTCTGATATTGAAAAGGCATGCAGAAACGAATCATAATTGTTCCCAAATATCCATGTGGTGTTAAAATATATTTGTAATTGTTTGTGTCCAATTCAAACATATCATAAAGGCTCTTGAATATGGAAAATCCAAAATGCCTGAATACATTTTGTAATATGTGTATTGTTTGAATTATATGCAAAAGATATTAGTAAATGTAAGTAAAACAGGGGTTAGTTGTGGTCCATACCGCTGGCCCTGGTGGACCAGGAGGGCCAGGAAGCCCTGAGGTGCCGGATGATCCTTTGGTTCCAGGTGAACCCTGCAGGTACAGGAAATATTATCAGAACATTTGATATACAGTACGTCACTTATAAGCAAGCGTTTAGTATTTGACCAAGACCAAAATCTGTCAAATCCAATAAATAGTTTAAAGGGGACCTATCATGCAAAATGCACTTGTGTACGTCTTTTCTACATGAATATGTGTCCCCGGTGTTCCAGGGAACTCACCAAGTGTCAGAAAACATAACCCTCTCTATTTTCCTCCATACCCAAATCTCTAAAAAAGGGGCTGCAACGGATCTGATCAAAACTGATCCAGATTTGAACACTGTCCTGACGTCAGGACGGTGGCGCTACGGCTATTGGGCCAACTCCACCAATCAGGAGGAGACAGCCACGGCCATTGCCGTTCGAAAGCGCTGGAGACGCTGTAGTACATATGCCAGGCCTGTAGGTGGTGCTGTTCTCACAGAATCAACCCTTGCTAAAACAGATCTAAAAAATTTCAAATTGAGCAAAATGAGGCATGGCTAAAATGCATGATCTGTTTGGTATGTTTTTTTTTTAAAGTATAAATAATAATATGCCTTATATAGGTATGGTCCTACACTATATTATTCAAATATAGCATGATAGGTCCACTTTAAAAAAGAAACCTAAACTCAAATGTTTGACATTTTGCTATGTCGTTGTTTTCAGTGGAACGGATAGGATTTCCAGTGAAAGTAGAAATCAATGGTTATAATAAATGTGTAAGCAGTATTTCAGTGCTGTAGCTAGTCAAGCTGTTCCAAACTATTCATAATGTCAGCGGTGCAAAGTAACAGTTGCAGCACTAAAATAAAAGTTCTGGGTTTAGTCGGCCAGCTACTAATTAAAAAAGAACACATGAAAAATGAAACAAATATTAACATGCAAAATAAACGTTCAATTAAAATGCCCCAGACGTGTAAAGGCTTTTAAATATACAATGTTTCCCTCTGAAAGTCTGTGGAATAGAAATGTAAAGTGGCGTATAATGGAAATACTTAATGTACATGAACTTTATTAAGAAAGATACTGGAATAAACATATAAACATTTATTCAAACTTTTGGTGTATCTCACCTCAGGCCCGATGTTTCCTTCGTCTCCGGGGATTCCTGGTTTCCCTGCTGGTCCCTGTCAGAATCAGACACACAGCATTTACTACAGTAAGACGTCCATTTTGTAAGCCATTTATTAGCATTTCAACAATTAGCATTTCAACAATTGTTTGAGAGTAAACACATACGGAGGGTCCTTCACTTGATGGGCCCTGCGAATAAACAGAGAAAAGATGATTGGTAACTTCGTCATAGTCACATAATCCTAATGTGTGTTGCTTTAATAAGATATATTTCTACGTACAGGAGGACCTTCGGGTCCAGGAAAGCCAGGAAGTCCCTGTAATCAGTAGATTAAAACATCAGTCACATGTTCTATGGATGCAAAACATGATAATCCCAATAAATGAATGTTTTCAGAGGGATATAAACGGTTACTGACTCTCTCGCCAACAGGCGCTCTGGGACCCATTGGACCAGAAGAACCCTGCAGACGAAAAAAAACACACAATTACATACAGACAGACAAGTACTGGCAGATATAATAAAGAGTGTGTGTTCGTGGATGAAGGTGATGTTTCCTACACCAATTCCTTGAAGGCCAGGAAGCCCTCTCTGTCCAGGAAGACCGACCTCCCCCTTCTCCCCTTTGCTGCCCTGGGAAACAGAAACAACAGAAGTCAAACAGCTTAATCTTCTTTCCTGGATCTCTCTGCATCGTCGCTAAGATACACAGAGGCAGTTACAGTCAATATTTAATCAATGAAAGACCAGCCACTCCTGTTGTTTCGTAGATCAACGACAAACAAAGTACTGTAAGGCTATAGAGATAAATAGTGGGTTTGACAGGAAAGGGACAATAATAAAGTACCAAGGCACTGGTAAACAGTTCGCCTCTACTTGACACCCAGGTACCATCAGTTATTAAAACATTTTGGGTATCTTATGTATCATTGTTCATACATTTTGTGGAGTCATTTATGTTTCAGTCTGTGAGTTAGCGTGTAAGAAGAATTACTTTAGAGAAAATGTATTATTCAGTACATTGATCGTCCTGGGGGCAAAGTTCATGCAGAAAAGACGGTCAGATCTCCAAGCTGGATCCCATGTCTTTCCAATTGAGAGAGTTCAAGATAAAGTCCTGAAACGTAGATAATCTGTTTCCTGCACCAGATTTCCATTTTCTTTTTCGTTGATACAAACATTAGATGTCTTAACCACCGTGCCAAAGCTGAAGACCGACTAGAAGTCAACACATCGCTTGAAACTGTTGCTTCTCACTATACGAAAGTACTGTTGCTTTCTCGTTGGCAAACATTGTCTAAATAGGCAGCCTTCATCTTTCTCTGTTAGTTTCTGGGACTTTGCGTCAATCATTTTTGTGATATTGTAAATAAGGGATACATGAGGAAGTCCAGATATTCCATAGACATGTTTCCACAGGACTAAACGTTGTTGTCCATCGTTGCAAAAGGGTTGCTTTGTAAAGTTTTAGGAAGATCCCCGGGACGCTTTTTACATTACATTACATGTCACTTGTTAGACGCTTTTATCCAAAGCGACTTACATACTCAATACTGTGGACAATCCCCACAGGAGCAGTTTGGGGTGAAGTGTCTCAGGGACACAATGGGTGTTTCTCAATCGCGAGTAAAGCTGTTTCAGAGCCACTATTTCAAGCATACTACGTCATCGAGTGCCGCCGAAGTACTGTTCCAATCTCCAGCATACTTGGAAATCTACCGAGCCCGGCGTACTCCGTTTGGAGAAATATCGAGGCTGCACATCCCCACAATGCTTTGCGCACGGACCAATTTCCCCAAATCTGTGGCGGAAGATGTAAGGCGGGGCCTCTCATATGACGCACACCTGCACACTTGCTCGCCTTCGTTTTCCGAATGCCAGGAAGTATTCTTGACTCGCTTCTGAAGCAAGATGCTCGGCAGACGTGTGCTACCAAGCAAGCGTACTCGCGATTGAGAAACACCCAATGACATGCTGACTGCAGTGGGGTTTGAACCTGTGACCCCCTGATGCGAACACCAACGCACAACCCACTGCACCACACGCCTCCCTCCACGCTTTTAGGTAAATACGCACCTTATATATACCTAGATATTCAACACTGAATATGTAAACTCTGCGTCATGTTAAGAGGGGTTTCTCTGTTAACCTGCAGCCACTGAGGCCTGACACCAGAATGAAGGATGCTTGATTTTGAACTAAAAGAGCTTCTGATGTTTTACTCCATGACCTAATCTGTTACCATCCGAGGGTTGAAATCTTTGTTTCATGTCGACTTAGTACAGTATGATTTTCTTTTCTGAGTTCAAGCTTCATGAATCATAACGTCCAAAAACGTAAACCTGGTACTCAGAACCTGCGAGGTTCAGGTCAGGTTTAAGTTGGATTTCGGCCATTTTATGTACAAGTAAAATTGTCTTGGACTTATCAGCTTGTATGTGTGTTGCATGCTTTACCACAGACGTAAAGTGAATACTAAGTACCACACAAAAAGAGGGAGATCCACAGCCAAAATGTTGTCCGTACATCATTTAACATTTCATACTTACAGTAACACCTGGAGTACCAGTAGAACCTGGAAGGCCCTGAAGAGACAAATAAAACATCATAGTTACAGAAAGCAGATAGGATAATACTTGCTCTTTGGTAATAAAAATGATTTGTTTGTAGAAAGAAAGAGATGTGTTCAGGAGGAAACACTTACATCTCTTCCATCTCTGCCGTTCTCTCCTCCGGGCCCTCGGGGGCCTTCTGGGCCAGTAACTCCAGGGGGTCCTTGGATCGATCTGTCAGGCTGCGAGTGGGGAAAACCAGTCAGCAAATGATAGTGAAATGACAACCATTATTATAGCTTTTAATCAAATTCGAGGAATCAGGCTATAATAAATATAATACAATAATAAATGTAGTTAGGGGGTCAATTTATTTGAGTAATGTTAATATTAATATTCATAAAGTGCATTTTTCTTTCTACAGCCTGCAGGCGTGTTTCTAATTTCAAACATCTCAGATATAATTCAATATATCTGCTCCCTTCAAAACAGCAAACAAGCACAACCACCATTATAAATTAGGTTTAGAACAAAGCAATGAGGCAATTAGGCAACCAAAGCACTGAAGTAGATTATAAAGCAAAGTAGTAGAGTAGATAAATACCTCAGCATTGGCATACATCTGAAGAAGCAAGAGAGATCAGATAAAGGGAGAGTTAGTGAAAGTAGTCACACCACCCTCACCACCAAAAGTGTCAGCCGAAGCCTTTTCATTTTCATACAGTAGTAGTGAGTAAATCATGCTGTCATTTGAATATACAGCCCATAGTACCAACACTCCTCGTGTACAGAACCACCTCGCAGCTTGATGCAGGAATGTTAGCCTGAAATCTAATAGAGCGCACCAGGAAATATGACTTTCTATAGTGGGAAGGAACATTTGCATCTTGATACAAGTGATTGAATAAAAACACAGTAGCTGATTCTGATTAATTGCTCTGCAGACGTTAAAGGTGGGGTAGGTAAGTTTGAGAAACCGGCTCGAGATACACTTTTTGTTATATTCCATGGAATGCTCTTAACATCCCGATAGCAATGAATATCTGAAGTGCTTTGACAAAAAATCCATAAAAAATATCATCTGTGGAAGCTGTAGTACTGTAAAAAGCACGACCAATCATCTGAGCCGGCCCGGCTAAAATAACTGGATGGCCTACCTGCCTGTCAGCCTTCCATCTGTGCACAAACTTATCTCGTGCCCTCATTGGTCATGTGCGCGTTCGTGTGTGTTGGAGGAGGGGCTCTGTAAGGAAGTGGCAGATTTTCTCCGGTTGTGTATTTTCAAATTCTAGCGCACTCGAGCCGGTTTCTCAAAATTACCTACCCTACCTTTAAACAAAATGAGATACTGTGAGACAGCAGAGTGGCATTGTCATTATAGACTGCACATATTTCTCTCAGACGGGAATCTCATTAATTGTGCAAAAACCTCGGAAAAGTGACAGATAATATTTAGTCATGAAGGCCATAAACCGTACCTTACTCAAGGCATGGATGTTTTTATCATAAATGTTTCGACATAGCAAAGACATTTGAGCTATCTGGAGATTTATGAACCTCTTAAAGGCAACATGTAGATGACAAAGAAACTGGAGGGAAATAAGAGAACAACTGAAGCTAGCCTACAGCTAACGTCTGAACATTTGGTGTATTTGCTGTTTCACAAACCGTCTAGAGGCCAACACTCATGAATGAGGCGAGATTTGCCTTACTTTCTGTTTGAACAATCTAAAGAACAGCTTTGTTTGCTTAATGAATACAAAAAAACGTCAAAGAATGCAACAGCTAGGAAATTAAGCTAGTTAGCGTGTTGCTCATTTCTGACTCTTAAAGCTAATGTTAAAGCTAAAGAACAGCTTTTTCGCTTGTTGAAATCACATTAGCCTGTAAATGAAACAGCTAAGAGAACATTCAGCTAACTACTTAACTAACTAGTTGCTCTGGTATGAGCAACAAGCTACAAAACTCCTGCTAACATTATCTATCTTTCTGAGCTAGTTAAGCTAACTGTCCTTCAAATGTAAGGTAGTAGGCTAATAATTGTCTCTGTTAAAGTTAGTAAACCTGCTTATGCTCCATCATAGCAAAAGCCGTAAGCACAATCTGTTTGTCGTTGCCAGCTTGCTGTTCCTCAGTAAAAAGGGAGGAGAAAACCACTTTTAATGGTCTTAAGCAGCAGGCGGCAGGTGTTATAATGCATTCCTGTCAGCTGATAATCAAGTAGCAGCAGGTAGTGTGTGTTTATGAGGAAAGTTATTTAAGGCAAGGCAACATACGTTACTTGTTAAAGCATTTTCTATTATTCCCCATTATATGTGCCTATCACCAGGACTTCTAATTATCCTCATTTGGGTGTGGGCAACGTCAGTAACTTTTCAGTTTAGCTGTAATTATGGAAAACCATGTTGTTAAGCTTAATGTTGTTTTTATGTTGAAGGAAGTAGTGCATGCTAAAGCCTATTATGTGCTGACTTTAGATGAAATGGTAACCACAAAAATCTAGCACACTTTGCAGGTTGGGTTGATCTCAGACTATTAATTTGATAAAACTTCCTGTTTGTTATTAAAAGTGTGCCATTAAGCTAACTAGGGTTTGTGTTTTGGCTCCATGCATTGAGGTTTAACAGCCAATGAGATCATGTCTGCCTGCTCCTAACACCTCTGCCTCAAGAAATGTTTGTCGTGCTTCAACTCCAATCTGCTGTCCAGCTTGCAAATTGTTTGGGATGAACTGCAACCTCTTGATACAGGCTACTGAAGGAAAGTCCTTGGTTGAGTATGTGTTACACTTCTACAACCCAATCTCAGCATATGTCTGCCCTTGTTTTCTCTCAGCATGCTGTAAGGCTTATTAACCCTGAGTAAAAACCACAAACCACAGCAGATGCTGAGCAGATCCGTGTTACTGTACCTCGGTGGCCGGCAGCTCGTTGCAGCTCTCTCTCTGGGCCCTCTTTGGGTCGCAGTGAATCAACATCCACTGGAGCTCAAACTGAAAAGAGATTGTATAATGTTACCGCAAAAGAAATAGCCTACTATGCATTCATTTTCAGATGTGACAGTGACAAAATGCCTCATTATGGTGCCTCGGTTTTGTTCGTGTATCCGTCTGTCAGCAGGATTACAGAAAACCTGATTTCTTTGAAAATTGGTGTAAGGATGTAGCATGGGCAAGAAGGAACTCTTTTGGAGTGAAATGGGATGACACACACATTATTTTTCACTTATATTAACAGTGCAAAATGTGGCCTTTGGTGGTCTATCCCGAGTGCCCTTGTTGTTAAATTGTAGGTTTGAAGCAATTCCCTCTGTGTGTTGTTGAGCTTCATTTTCCACCGTGGCTATTTTCTGCAGGGATTAAGCTTTTATATTTTTCCCACTGGAACCCAGCTGAGCCGCTTTGCTGTGACAGCAGCACTTTAAAATTATAAGAGAGCTCAGCACACATATAAACCTGAATGTGTTTGTTCACGGAAAGCACCATTTCACTGGTAAATAGATTTCAGAGAACAGGATTAAATGCAGCCGGCAGTTTTCCGTCCGTGCTTACCACTACGGACGCGTCAGGGTCGGTATCCAGCCTGCCAATGAGAGTGTCTCCCTCTGTGTTGATGGGGCCTTTGCCCTTGATGGGTCTCAGATCCACAGGCTGGCAGTCCACGTACAGAGTGACCTGGTCGCGCTCCACGCCAATCATCACTTTGTGCCACTTGGTGTTGAAGAGCACAGAAAGGCCGGGGAAGGTGACGGTCTGCAGGTTTCCATCAGCGCCCATCAGGAAGTATTCAAGCGCCTGCTGGTCTCCGTTCAGCCTCAGTCCGGCTTGTTTGTTGCCGTCTTCGTCCACTATTTGCCAGACGTTCCACACCTTGCTCACGGTGTTCTTGATCATGCGGAAAGTCACCATGAAGGAGTACTCGTCAGGGAAGCCGCGAGGAAAGTTTAACCTAAGAGGGACATTTAGCAAAAGGGGTTAGCTGAGGTAGCGGGTTAGAATTATGGTTTTTGAATGACACAAGCTCAAACACATTTTTATTCATGATCACAAAATAAACACCACTTAGTAAAGCTATCATTACAACACAAGACAAGGATAAAAATAACTTAAAAGCCTTGAGATCTCTGCCAGAGAGTCAAATACAAGCTGCAGACTTCAAAGAAACAAGGCATGCTATTATATCACCGAGGAGAAAGAGGCTGCCTCTGTGCATAAATCAATGCTTCAATTAGAACATGCAGTCCAGGTTAGCTTCCACAGTCTGGGGTTTTAACAAGCCAGATTCTCAGTAGGTGGTGCATTCATAGATGGGCACTGCAGCCGGACTTTTACCATCTTGTAAACTATCAAGGTGAGGCAATAAAAAAAACGAGTTTCCTGTATCCAGTAAAACAAATGAAGACCACTCTCTAGCCTTGCCTGAGGTGAGAAAGTCTGAAGTATGTGCTGCTTTTGGCCTGCAGGAGAAAATAAAGGGCAGGCAGCAAAAAGCCTGCTGGCAGGACGGACATCAAAGCACAGTCTGTGCCACGGGACATGTGGGGTGGGGGGGGGAAATAAACATGTATTTACATTCAGTTGGACAGCCCCAGTGGTGTGGGGTACCAGAAAGTTGCATAACTGCTTTTAAGGCAAGCTGGCCTGCAGAGATAAGCCAAAGCAGACAGAAGCAGACCAACTGGGAAACATCAGGAGATGACTTTGGTTATGTAAAGCGATATTAAGTTATAAACCTACACACTAACCCACATTTCCTTTTGTGCATCATGTTTTTTTAAATGTAAAACAAAATGCAAGACAGTTGCAGAAACATAGATGGCTTTATTTGACCTTTCTTTAAGTGCAATACAAATATGCAAATATAGCTTTTAATTATATTATGAACATAATCCAAACCCTAACCCTTTCTGTTTCTACATTATCTACTAACATTCTTGTTTCGTGGCAAACATCGAGTTTTCCATATTTTAGATTCAACAAACTATTGATTTCATTGTAAATCAATTGATAACTTCATTGTTTTGTCTGTATAAGTCAGGGGGGTCAAACTCAAATACACAGTGGGCCAAAATTAAAAAATGGGTACTAGTCGAGGGCCGGACTGGTTCAATGTTTATTGCAGAACTTATGTAAATGAACTTATTGCACATATTAAACCTGGAACTAACAAAGCTTCAATGATTGCCTATAAAAACAACATTAAACATTAAATAATCAGTTGCATTCATTTCTTATCTTTTCCAGAGTCATTTCTTATGAGTACATTTCTCCACAGGCCAACAACAGCTTCAACAAAACTATTTCCCTCAAAGAACAAACCAAACATGCCCTGTTGTCGTGAGAGAAAAAGTGCAGAAGGAAACATCCATGTAAACTCAGTGTGCTGCTCTGTGATGCTAGCTCAGATACTTGGCATCTCATCTTGGGTGCAAGGTCATCAATGTTTGGGGTCAGGCTCTGAGCTGAGGAGACCCTCAGGATGGAGTGAAGGTGTGCGTGCAATATACCGGCGGGCCAGATCTAATAGTAATTAGAAATTATCCTACGGGCCGAAATGAAATCCACCAAGGGCCTGATTTGGCCCCCGGGCCTTGAGTTTGACACATGTGCTATAAGTCATAAGCACATAACCTTTTCCCCATAACACTCTGTGACATCTTCAAATTGCTTTTATTGTCCAAAAACCGATAAATTATGAAATGCTCACATTGGAGAGAAGTTGTGATTTACAGTAAAAGGGTAAATTACCAAAGGTCTGCACATGTGCTAGGCAGGTAGGGAACATGTGCAAATGTATGCATTATGGGAAACATTATAAACGCTTGACTAGTGGTCAGGGTCAGCCTCCGCACGTTTTGTTTTTGAACATTCTTTAAAAATGTGGATTCTAACTTTAAAAAAGAGCAACACTTAATTGCTTGTAGACTTCCCATTAAGAAAGGGTAACTCAAAATATATTGATTATGAAAGCAATGTCCATTCTTATTGAAGACTTGTGGATTAGTTGGAGACGTATCTTTTTGGAACAACATACCCTTTTTTCAAGGGGGTGGGATTTCTCCAAAGGGGCACACATAACATTTTTGCCCCAGGGTCTATAAGCGGGGTCTTGCTACAACTTACCTTTAATTAAAAACTGGGGGAAATCTTAACAGGAAGCATGCTTTTGTTCAGGTTAAACCTTTAAAGTACTACTGTATGTACAACCTAAGATAAATCATTACCAAATAGACATGGTGAAATAAGTCTCTACTGTACATTTACAAAGGCCTTCGAGTAATGTGCTCTTTGAGACGCTCATACATAAAAACGCCTCTTCTCGCCTTGGTGTCTAAGAGATGCCAAATATGTTCAGACTTGTTTTTTCTCCACCGATTATATGCTTTTCGCCATGCAGTAACATCTGTGGCGGACCTATAATAATGCAACACCTGCATCGGGAGGACCGCTGCCGCCTGTCAACATTTCTGTGTTTTTATCTGTTTTCTTTTCGGCCTTTAAAGTACTTACATGGTAGGAATTTGGAAGTTGGCCTCCCTGTCGAGACGGTAGGCGACCTGAAGGGGCGTCGAACCCTCAACCTTCCTTACTCCTTTCAGAGGGATCACATCCAGCTGGAACTGGGTGATCAGATCAAAACCTGCAAAATAATAATACATAATAATAGATTACAATTGTATAGCGCCTTTCAAGGGACCCAAGGCCGCTTTACATGGTGAACAAACAAACAAAAGGGTTAGAGAGACAGATAGATAGATAGATAGATAGATAGATAGATAGATAGATAGATAGATAGATAGATAGATATATAAATAGATAGATGGATAGATAGATAGATAGATAGATAGATAGATAGATAGATAGATAGATAGATAGATAGATAGATAGATAGATAGATAGATAGACAGATAGATAGATAGATAGATAGATAGATAGATAGATAGATAGATAGATGGATAGATGGATAGATAGATAGATAGATAGATAGATAGATAGATAGACAGATAGATAGATAGATAGATAGATAGATAGATAGATAGATAGATAGATAGATAGATATATAGATATATAGCTGGATAGAGTACTTTATTGATCCCAATTTGGGAATTGTTTGCGTTGCAGCAGCATAAAAAACAAGGCAACGTACATAAGAGAAATTAAGATACAAGATAACAGTTAACATATTATGACTTTAATTGATTTAAGATTGACTAGGTTTGTGTTTCTATCTTTACTGATGGATGGATTAATAATTTTGGAAGATGTTCTTTACATTGGCAAGCACAGGTTGTAGTTTAAGATTCAGTTTGTCTGTTCGACAGAACTGTGAAACTGCTTGCCTGATTTTCATGAAACTTGATGGAAGAGAGTAGCATGGGTCACAGGAGGTTCATGTTTTCATCTTTTCAAATTAATGAATTTAATATTTGGAAGATGAAAGTATTATTATAAAACTGTTAGCCAGATTTTCATGAATGATGATGAGTGTAGCACGACCCATGAAAGAACCCATTACATTTGGAGTGGATCCAAATCAGGGGGAAGATATCCAAACCATTTTTCAATTATTACAAAAATGGTGTTGGCAGAGGTATGCAATCCCAAGTGCTCTTCTAGTATAAATGCTAATTTCTGGTTATCACGATGGGCATACTTTGTCACTTCAACTTGCAGAACGAAGCTTGTTTCATTGAGATATAGCATAGTAGTATTGGACCAGAAAACTAGGTAAAGGAAATGTATGATTAAGCTAAGGGTGACATGTTAAACAAAAACAACTTACTTTTTTCTTTACAACAATGCATATCTTTACAAAACCACAGAGCAGCAGGAGTGCAGATGTGTTTGAAACGGGGCAGTGGTGAGCAATTACAGTCTTGCTGAGTTTGGATTGTTCTGACTCAAATTCTGTACAGCTCAAGTGGAACATTTTATTTGCCTCATTTGACATCCAGAGGAGTTTCCAGGCATGAAGCGGCCCGCCCTGTTCAACTAATTAAACTCAGCACCTAGTCTATTGTCCCTTTAAAGGTTTTGAAGGGCTTAAGTTTGCGGTCATCTTAAACCACTGCTTTTACTTACGTTTGAGTACAATCAAAATAAAAAGTCGATCATTACCTGGAAGGTCATCTTGTCCGCTTCTCATTGGTGGGCAGACGGTGTCGCCATCCAAACGATTGAGGTCTAGTTCTGATTGGACGAAACAAAAAAGCTGATTTGATTCTGTTCTTTGCTGAATTTAACAAATGCAATAAATCACTGTCAGTTTAATTCAGTTAGCGTCCAAATACAAGAGAAAGGGCAACCTCTATAATGTCAAAGGGTATTAACATGACAATGCACTGTTGTTAAAGTTTAATGCACTGTTCTCTTACGTCTACACTAACAGTATTTCAGTGTTTGGACACAAATCAACATTGATTTATAAAGCAGACGGCTCACAGACACCACTTGTGATCCAAATGTGTCCTCAGAGATGGAATTAAAGGTGATAAATATGGCAGCTAGTGTTGCATGACTGTGCCCAAAACCATATGTCATTGGAAACATTTTTAGAATGTGGCAGGTGAGCCTTATGTGTTTGATTTATCAAGATTACAGTGTCCTTTGGGTGAAACTGCAACCTGTAATTCATCATGCTGCCATTTGATTTGCACTTTCATCATAACTTTTTGTTGGTGTGAAAAAATCTATACTTTAACGTTAGAACAGTTGTGTTTTGTTCATCTCCAAATACAAGACTGGTCTAGGTTTTCATTGTCATTATCCGCTGAGTTTCTATCTACAGTATGAACTCATACTAAGTTGTATATCAATGATATGCCCACATACATACGCACTATACACATGGTATTTCATTATTTTGAATAAACACAATATGAGCATTTTCTAATTTCCCAAATGTATTATGGATCAAAAGTGGGATTTTCCATGCATCCATTTGAAATGTTAAATACCTACCAAAAAGTATGTTAGAACAATTAGAACAACGTTTTTGAAATGTTTCCTTATCACACTAAATCTAATCTTTTGGCACCAATTGGCAAACAACCAAAAATATAAAGTATGAGCGAATTTAGAACAGCTTCTACTTGCTGCAATAATGACTTATTCAGTTATGATCCAACAGCTGTTTAGTACTTGGTTTACAGCAGAGGTGGGAAGTAGTGGAGTACAAATACTTTGTTACTGTACTTAAGTACATTTTTCTGGTATCAGTACTTTACTCCACTACTTATTTTCCTGACGACTTTTTACTTTGACTTCTTACATTTTGAACACAAATACCTGTACTTTCTACTTCTTACATTTTGAACACAAATACCTGTACTTTCTACTTCTTACATGTTGAACACAAATACCTGTACTTTCTACTTCTTACATTTTGAACACTAATACCTGTACTTTCTACTTCTTACATTTTGAACACTAATACCTGTACTTTCTACTTCTTACATGTTGAACACAAATACCTGTACTTTCTACTTCTTACATGTTGAACACAAATACCTGTACTTTCTACTTCTTACATGTTGAACACAAATACCTGTACTTTCTACTTCTTACATGTTGAACACAAATACCTGTACTTTCTACTTCTTACATGTTGAACACAAATACCTGTACTTTCTACTTCTCACATGTTGAACCCAAATACCTGTACTTTCTACTTCTTACATGTTGAACACAAATACCTGTACTTTCTACTTCTTACATGTTGAACACAAATACCTGTACTTTCTACTTCTTACATGTTGAACACAAATACCTGTACTTTCTACTTCTTACATTTTGAACACTAATACCTGTACTTTCTACTTCTCACATGTTGAACCCAAATACCTGTACTTTCTACTTCTCACATGTTGAACACAAATACCTGTACTTTCTACTTCTTACATGTTGAACACAAATACCTGTACTTTCTACTTCTTACATGTTGAACACAAATACCTGTACTTTCTACTTCTTACATTTTGAACACTAATACCTGTACTTTCTACTTCTTACATGTTGAACACAAATACCTGTACTTTCTACTTCTTACATGTTGAACACAAATACCTGTACTTTCTACTTCTTACATTTTGAACACTAATACCTGTACTTTCTACTTCTTACATGTTGAACACAAATACCTGTACTTTCTACTTCTTACATGTTGAACACAAATACCTGTACTTTCTACTTCTTACATTTTGAACACTAATACCTGTACTTTCTACTTCTTACATGTTGAACACAAATACCTGTACTTTCTACTTCTTACATGTTGAACACAAATACCTGTACTTTCTACTTCTTACATTTTGAACACTAATACCTGTACTTTCTACTTCTTACATGTTGAACACAAATACCTGTACTTTCTACTTCTTACATTTTGAACACTAATACCTGTACTTTCTACTTCTCACATGTTGAACTCAAATACCTGTACTTTCTACTTCTTACATGTTGAACCCAAATACCTGTACTTTCTACTTCTCACATTTTCCAAACAGGCTGGTTCCTTTAGTTTGAATGTGTGTTTGGTGGCGTGATCATTATTATTTAGAGTCATTGCGTGCCTATTGATTTGAACACGATCCGTGTATCCATCATTTCCTGGTCTTCTCTAAAGAAGAGGGACCAATGAAAACGTTGTCATGTTGCCGTTGTTCAGCATGGAAACATTCATTAGCTAACAATGACATTATTGTTCTATTAATATAAAGGGAGGTCAGGTACTCTTTAAAACAGCTGCTAGTTATGGGTACTTTTTACTGAAGTACATTTCAAAGCCCTCTTTACTTTGACTTGAGTAAAGAAGTTTAGTCAGTACTTCTACTTTCACCAGAGTATTTTTAAACATGAGTATCTGTACTTCTACTTGAGTAAAGGATGTGTGTACTTTTGCCATCTGTGGTTTACTTTTTCAAAGTCAATTCCTTGGCACTTTCGTTAGGAAGGAGAAGAACCTCCCAAACAAACAAACTAAAACATGTTGACAGCCAGAGGGCCTCCCCAGTCAATAACCTGAGTCAGCTCATTTACAGTGAGCAGCGTGAACACATCTGGAAGCCATTACCAGATCCCACACAACTGCTGAGAAATGATATAAAGTGGTGAGACGGTATTTATAATCCTATATTTGCTACCGCTAAACACTTATCTGACTGTGCATGTGGCCCTCAAGTTGTTAAAGTTACTGCCTGCCGCTGCACAACGCTCACAGAGTTAGTCATTAGTGCAATGAGCGGGAGATGAACCACAATTAAGATGTCACATGCAGTTTGTATGTGTAGTAATGAGGTGAGTTTCAAAAGCAGTACATCTACATCTGGCACTCACCGTGTCTCCGAACAACAGTGAAGAATGGGTTTGTTGTGCTTATCAGAGGGGACATTTAATCTGATGTAATCCTACAGCACAGTGTGTTGGCTATTTCTGGCCTATGCTTTGTGAGTTGTGATGAAAAGAATGACCTAGCAACAGTCAACATGCAGGCGTTCACAATAACCTGAGTTCTCTTTGTCTGCATTCACAGACCAAACAGTTTCATCGTGGCATTCTTGTAATACGGTACACACTGATTATTGATGTGTAGATGATTGCACAATAGAGTCACTTACGTCCAAGAGCTGGAGCAAAGAGGACGGACAGCAGAGCCACAAGGACAGGGGAGCTCGCAGACATCGATGGACGCCACGGTTGCATTCTGTTCAGAAAATGACGGAGAAAATCAGAATTCAGTCGAGCATCTGAACCTCTGTGACAGTTCCTTTGAGCCTGAATCAATAAAACACTGCGAGGTCAACATTAAGCTCTTTGCTGGTGTCCTCTGAGCTCATAAAGAGACTAGAGACGCCTTTCTTTAAGATTTAAGATGAAACAGATTGCTGTGAATGGGATATGACAATAGATCAAATCAAATCAAATCAATGGATGGATGGATGGATGGATGGATGGATGGATGGATGGATGGATGGATGGATGGATGGATGGATGGATGGATGGATGGATGGATGGATGGATGGATGGATGGATGGATGGATGGATGGATGGATGGATGGATGGATGGATGGATGGATGGATGGATGGATAGATAGATAGATAGATAGATAGATAGATAGATAGATAGATAGATAGATAGATAGATAGATAGATAGATAGATAGATGGATGGATAGATGGATAGATGGATGGATGGATGGATGGATGGATGGATGGATGGATAAATAGATAGATAGATAGATAGATAGATAGATAGATAGATAGATAGATAGATAGATAGATAGATAGATAGATAGATAGATAGATAGATAGATAGATAGATACATAGATAGATAGATAGATAGAACTTCTAGGTTGGCCTTCAAAAATCCTTCGGCCTTGCAGTGGTACATTTTGTCCGCCCTTCCACTAGCATTAGCACACTCTCCTCCTTCAGCTTCATTTATATGTATCCTGTTCTCCACAGCAATCCCAAATCCACCGTCAACATGACTGATAGTAATAATACTGAAGACTCTTCCCAAAAGACAAATGTAGCTCATCAATCTGCAAAATGAACGATGTATCTGTGGTGTTTCTGAGGGCCAACCCATCGTCGCTGTTTGAAATCTGATGCAATTATGTGTGTTTTCTTGCAGAGTGTGTTAGTGTGTGTGCACTGTCAGAGAGAAATAACTAATGGCCAAGTCAGCAAGATCTGTTTAGTAGGCAATTGGCTCAAACTTGATGTCCTTCAAGTTCATCTTCAGAGTCCCAGTGGGAGTGTGTGTCTGTCTTACAACACCATCCACAGTGGAGACAGATGTAGCTACACGTCACTAATACACTGTGACAAGAGGGAAGCTTTCATCTTGAACCTTTCATATGTATAAACCCATAGTTATAAGGAATTATTTGACATTTCTGGATTTAGTTTGTGTTGGCTTATTTGACAAAAGTAAGATGGTAAAAACACTCATTTTTATTTCTCCATTAATTATGAAGTGACTGGCAGGAGGAAGTTATGCTAAATTACTTTTAGCAGTCAGAAATCAAAGCTGGGACTGACGTCACACTCTTGTTGTTACGGAACAATTCAGAAAGTTACTGATACTACTTCTTTCTGGGTAAGCCATTGTTAGCAAAACCACTTCTAGCTAAATTAGCCATTGTTAGCAATACCAGTTGTAGCTAGGTTTTAGCAATATAAGTGTGTTAGGCCAGTCTTAAATTGCTCTTATATTAGTGCAAGCTAGACAGTTTTGTAAAAATAAAGACTGACTTGATTTAAACCTTAAAAGTTAGCCACCTCACCCTCTAGCTAGATCTGAACATAGAAGTGAAACCTTTCTAACACTAACGTTTTGTAGGAAATCTGCAATTAAATGTTATGCTCATGATAGTTTTTTTTAATGCAATGAATTGTAAAGTGGCCTTGAAGCTGTTGTTTCATAATTTCCGCTGAACTGGTGGTTTGAAAAGAAGTTTAAGCCATATTTGAGTTTGAAATGAAGTATTGAATCTCACATGGCAAATTAGTGCTATTTACTGTAAGACCATCCAAAGTTTAATTAAGTACTATAACTTTGAACTATGCCATAGTCAAAGTATACATGTGTTAAACTAGCTGTTGTAGCATTATTAACCTTCTAATCAAATTTAAGGTAGACATCTATTAACCCTCCTGTTGTCTTCGGGTCAAATCTGACCGATTTACTACTTTCATCAATCATAACTTTTTTGTTTTACATTTGATTGCATTCAGGCTTTATGATATCCTTCACAGTAGATATTTGAACATATCAAATTGCTGATCACCACTTCATTGGAATTTTGGAGGATTTAGTCAACTTTGAAAACACCCATGGTGGTCAAAAATGACCGCCATAAAGAAAAGGAATTAGTAACCATCTGGATCAGATCACACACACACACACACACACACACACACACACACACACACACACACACACACACACACACACACACACACACACACACACACACACACACACACACACACACACACACACACACACACACACACACACACACACACACACACACACACACACACACACACACACACACACACACACACACCACACACACACACACACACACACACTAAATGTGTTCCCTCCCCACTTATGTGCCCAATCCCCCCATGTGAATCACACCTAACACACACACACACACACACACACACACACACACACACACACACACACACACACACACACACACACACACACACACACACACACACACACACACACACACACACACACACACACACTAAATGTGTTCCCTCCCCACTTATGTGCCCAATCCCCCCATGTGAATCACACCTAACACACACACACACACACACACACACACACACACACACACACACACACACACACACACACACACACACACACACACAGAACAATTTGACACATGTCCCGCTCTTATGTGCCCATCCCCCCACATGAATCACACCTGGCACACGCACACACACACACACACACACACACACACACACACACACACACACACACACACACACACACACACACACACACACACACACACACACACACACACACACACACACACACACACACACACACACACACACACACACACACACACACACACACACACACACACACACACACACACACACACACACACACACACACACACTAAATGTGTTCCCTCCCCACTTATGTGCCCAATCCCCCCATGTGAATCACACCTAACACACACACACACACACACACACACACACACACACACACACACACACACACACACACACACACACACACACACACACACACACACACACACACAGAACAATTTGACACATGTCCCGCTCTTATGTGCCCATCCCCCCACATGAATCACACCTGGCACACGCAATACATGTTCAGTGTCTATTCTTTGTATATGTACTGCAGTTTTTCATGTATACCAGTAGTCTGATACAATATTTACAGTTTGAAGGGGTGTTAAATGAAATTTGGTGATTAATGGTTTTTGTGTTAATGTAATAGCAGTTATAACAGGACCGGTCAAATTTGACCGCGAACAGCAAAGTAAGGGGGGGGGGAAACGGAGACTATAGGAGGGTTGAACTAGCTGTTGTAGTATTATTAACCTTCTAATCAAATTTAAGGTAGACATCTATTAAGTACAAGTCCATAATATAGACCAAATTAACATCATTGTACATATAAGCTTCTTACTTTTCACACTATTTTATTGCCCCTTTCGCTCTGTGTTAACAAATATAGAATATAATCAACACATATTTTTTGTTTATTTGGTGCAAAATGAATGTAGTGACATCTGTCTTCGCTAATAAAGCAACAACCTTGTAAAAACAACTGCTGCTTGCAAGTGTGTTGTGTAGCAGGCAAAGAGCGCCTTGAGGGGTAATTTCTCTCTGCAAATCATGACATGAATACCGTCTGAAGTTTAAAGGCTTTGGAGTTGACAGCTGTCTTAATGTAGGCTTTACGCTGCACACACAGCTTCACTTGCCTAAACACTCACACGTGAAAAGGTGTCAAACTTGCACCCCTATCATATTTTGATGTTTATGCCGTGATTATACATTTCCATTGTGTAAGATGTGGTTGAATTTACTTGAAAAGACAAAGAAAATCCCCGTAGATATTCCAGTAAGTAACCCGCCATGAAAGCAATCAGTCAAGTCAATTAGGGTAATGGCATGTCATCTACTTTAAAACCTGACATTCATCATCACTTGATGGGACTTTCCCTTCGAGGCCACCCGTCTTTTCGATGTCCCCTGAGGTGAGAGTGAGCCAACACTGCTGGCATTATTTCTGCTCTCTCATTTGTTCCAATTACCCCAGAATGGTTGAGCTGGAAGCATTCAGTGTTACAATCCATTCATATTAAAGTTGGCTGTTTGGGAAAATGTGTGCAGTGAGACTTTGAGCGAGCGATAGATGTGCGTGAATGTCTGATGCTGTGAGGCGAGACTTTTCCTTTCCTCTCAGCAGAGGTTTATAGGCTGCATGTGTGCGTGTGTGGGCCAGATTAAAAGACAGCATTTTTAATCCATGCTAAACACTTTTTATTACAGGGGGAAATGTAGATGTTTCCGCCTTTTAAATGGAGATTACAAATATATTATTAGCAGGAGCTGAATGTAATTTAGCACATTTACTCAAGTACTGGATTTAAGAAATATACATATTTTCCACTCCGGTATATTTCTGTTTAATGATACTTTTTTACTAATAATGCACTCATTTTGGTAATTTAGCTACGTATGTATGTGACAGGTTTAGTTACAGATTATAATCCCACAATTAAAATAACTTTTTAAAGTGATAATATGTTACTATATGTTAAATTAACCAGCAATAAGTAATAAAAAGTAGCCCTACCATTATCAGCTGCACCATTAATGTGATGCCTACATTAATAATAACTATAATCCAGTTATATATGTTTCTGAAATGGGCCAATTTGCGTAGTATAGTCGTACCTTTTGTACTTTAAATGTATTTTGATGCTATTTTTTGTAAATTTACTTTGGTAAAATGTGGAATTAAGGATTTATGCTTGAGATGGAGTAATTTTACACTACTTTTAAAAAATCTGAAAACTTCTTCCACCCCCAAATAGAAGTGAACACCAAGTCTGAAAAGAGACGTTATGACGGAAATTTCACAAAAATCTCAAAGAGAAATTATT